GTCACACCAATACAGTGGAACCTCAATTTAAAAAAAACTATATATGACAAAGTCCTTGGTACATGTATAATGAACAACACTCTTCAGCCCATTTGAAGTTACAGTAAAATATACAGGAAAGAACCTCCATATTGCAAACCTCAATATAACAAAATCCTTTTTATAATGAACACAATCCAGAAGCCCAAACTTATAATATAACAAACAAATGTCAACATGTGACAAAAGATAAATGTGGAACAGACAAAAAATAATCAAAACCCTTCAATTCAGTAACAATAAGACAGATTTACAGTTAACAGCTCGTTCTAAATGCCAAAACTGACATTATCGACACATCCAGAGATCAGCTTTATCATCTTTGTCTCTTATTAGTTCTATAAGTTGAATTCAACCTCTTTATTTTTAAAGGCTTCTTGTTGTAAAAGGTGTAAGAGGCAGGAATTCCAGTTCTATGTCATTGTTTCTCTGTTTGCCAGTGACTTCCACTGAAATTTGTCCTCAGTGCTTTAAAAACAAGGTGCTGTAGCTATAATTTGTACAGACTTGTAAAGTGTACTTTAGCTTCATATAGAAATTAAAGCACAAATATTATTTACAGTAATTGTTCTGATCCCAAAATGCTGGGTAGAGTGACATCATACCGCAAAAAATGAAGAAATCAAAAATCGATTAACCATCCCTCAATGTAACAAACATTTTGGTTGTTTTTCTGCAAATTTGTAAAATCAAGGTTTTCTATATAACAAACCCTCCGTATAACAAGCCAATTTCCCCAGTCCCTTGGCACTTAGTTGAATCAAGGTTCCATTATAACTGAAGAATTGAATTTTGCCTTTGTTAAGTACTGTCTTGCAGCAATTTACCTTTAGTTAATAAATTCCCTTGCTACAGACAAACAAGAAAAGTCAGCTTCCAAGAACAGCTGATTTAAACAGCCAAGTGGTTTCTGCTGGCAGTAACAATTCTTGTTTCAACTCAATTTAGATCTTTAACTGGGTTATAAAGCTCATCCATAAATCTCCAAAACCTTGAAGATCTATCGTGGAAGAGGATGGTGCATTTCATAGTGCTTGTATTTCTATCACAAGAGATCATACCCCATTAAACTATTTCAGGGCAGAATTCTGTCTTTTCTTTATGCACTGATATTTTGCCTTGAGAATCACTCAATATTGCTCTAATCAAGTTGTGACATCACTACACTGAAATAAATATCATGGCTGTAAGAATACACTGGATGTAAAGCAATCACTTCCACTTGAATTAATATTCTATTCCTTCAGAAACATTTGTAAGCCACATAATAATGACTTAAGAACCTGTCTTAAACTGAGGCCTTGCTCTATTGCTTGAGCTGTAGCAAGGTTAGTACGGCAAGGCCAAGGTTTGAAATTTTCCCAAAAACACCTCACTTTTGCTTATCAAGTGGATAGTAATGCCCTTGCACTTAGCCTATGAGAATGTGAGGAATATAGACAACAAGTTCCAACCATGTGATAATAACATAGTAAGGGAATCACCTGCTAACTCTTAGTTTGAAATAAGTTATTTGTGTAGTTGTTGATCAATATTTTCAGCAAAGTCCATTCATTGTAAATAAGAAATCTTTCCAGCTTCTTGACAAGAAATGTCAGGGCCAGTTTCAGTTAAAGGTGGCAGGTAAGAAGTTTGACAAACAATTGTCATTTCACTTACATGTAACATCAGTGATCTTTATATGAGATGAGGATAAAATTGTTTACTACTTTGTGATGCATTCAATTCGAAAGAGAAATGTTCCTTGCAAGTGAGCTGCAAATTAATTTTTTTCTCTTCAGCTACAATTTGAGAAGGGCAATGTGGCCAAGTGGTTTGGATTCTGATCTTGTAATCTGGTGGTCCCAGGTTCAACCTCTCCACTCCGCTAATCCCTGGAATTGTTCTTGGTTGTCTCAAGTTCAACCTACTTGGCTATGCTTTGGGATCTATATCGTTATCTAGGGGGGCTCTTATGTTCATGTTTATTTACAATGTTTATATCCAATTTGTTTGACTTTGTAGACCACAAGTTGGTCGGTATGTAACCCTCAATAAATAAAGTATAATTACTTTTATTATTATTATTATTATTATTATTATTATTATCATCATCATTTTTCTAATCGCAGCCCATTTGTGACAATCATTTCTTTACTTGCACTTCATCAACAGGTCAACAAATGATTCATTTCATTTAATTGAAATAATGAAATATTTAAGTCACCTGTCTATTTTGTTCAACCACTCAAGTTTTTCAACGAGGTAACTCGTGAGGCTTTTGAATACTGTCAACAAATACAGTTAAGAGGTTCACAAGCTCCTGCCCACTCCCTCAATCACTAAAGTATTTTTTTTGGGCTGAAATATCTTCCAGCAGCACTTCACTCGTTAGCAATATAACATTACTGGTGTAATTTTGTTTACTATTTACCTTTACAGTTGATCTTTTGTCACACGTGGTCTCCATTTTAAAGTTTCCCAGCCACTATGATGCAATTTTTCCATAAAAATATCACCGAACAAGAGCTAATAGGTACCGAAAGCCAGCTTAAGTTTTCCATACCAAAATGTGTAGTACAACGACATCCTAAATAGGCAGTAGTCTCAAAACATCTTAAACTTGGCGCCGCCATGTTGGGCTACTTAAACTGGTTTCCAGTGTTTTCCGTGCTACGAAGCATACGCGCACGCAACACGCTACACGCCACCTCACAACTACACCCTGCTATTCTGTTGTTCAGACAAAACGCCTAAGCCTCTGAATATTTTTTGCAGGTTGCCTGTCTTTTGCCTTCAAAATGTGTGGATATTTTTGCCCATTATGCGGAACTTTCATTGGTTATGGAAGGGATCCTTCCTGTTCTGGGTGATCACAGTCAGGACGACCCTTCAGGGTAAGCAAGTAGAGTGGAGTAGCTAGATGGTACTATTTCCGCTTCCCCCTTTCCCCCGCCCTTCCCGTCTTAACCAAGTTATCCCTCAGTTTCTCTTGCGGTTATATGACACGTCTTTAGTCGTCTCATACGAATCCTGAAAGACCGCACGAGAGAGACGAGGACGTGTCATGAAGGTGCATGGTGAAGTGGACGAAGGAAAAGCTCATCTCTCCACGCACGCCTGTTAAGAAGGAGAGAGAACACAATGAGAAAACGCGAGGCAGCTATTTTGAAATTTAGCACTCCTGCTATAATCACCTCGCTCGAGCTTGTTATATGAACAACACGACAATATCTCTATTTGGAGCGAAAATATGTACGGATATTTGTCCGCAGATACTACCTGTTCAAAGATGTGAACGGTTTTCCGAGAGCGCAAGGAATAATATACAAACTTCAAATATTTCGCAACGCACGTGAAAAAATACTTACGAACAGCTTACTGTATGCAGCGTGGGATGGTTTCTTTTGAGTGTTCTACGGTACAAACTTTATGAGAAAAAAAAATATTTCCCTTAATTCTTCTGTAACAACCACAAAACGCTGCCTCTCTCGTCTTTAATTAAATTTCAAACAAAGACTTTTCATAGTGGATGTAAGATTTGAAAATTGGGGAATATCACTAGGATGATGTTTGGATATCACTCAGTTTTGGCTAGGGGATATTCGGTCACATGCTGCGTTTCGACCAATCGTGCGTAAGTAAAAATATTTGATGGATATGACGCATTCCTCAACCGATCCGAGTGCGCGCATCTCTATAATCACCGGAGCAACTATACTAATACGTAATTATTACGGGCAACAGCTCAAATTTGCGAAGCTATCACCGGGTCTTCTGAAAAATCAACGCTCTCTGTAAGTTTGAAAGCTACGAAATAACTGATATTTCGATATTTGATAATATGCTGAATAGGAGTCATGGAAATCCCACAGAACGGCAAAAACCACACGAAAGACATTTTTGATTCGTATCAAAAGAATCTCTTAACCACATGAGTGAAAGACTGATTTTCCTGATTCAGTATCAATTTTAAGTGATGAGTTCTCTTGATTAGAGATTATTAGTTGATCCAATACCAAAAACTAATGTCAAAAGAACTATATAGCAAACTTGTTTTGTAATCTCATCTTTTTATCAAGGGTTAAAAAATCTAAACTTGTTTTGTCTTCGTCCATCGACGAATTTAACTTTTTTGCGGCGTCCACGACGAGTTAATTTTTTTCACTTTTTTCCAACTGGATCACGGTGTTTGCGACGGAAGATGACGTTTTCAGGTTATTACTCAAAGAAGCATTCTTTGAAGAACTGTCAAATAAGATCATCTGGATGCAGTCATAACGACCAGAAATCAGCGATGGAATAAATAAACAACGATTTATTTTGTTGTCTTTTTGCAAAAAAAAAATCTTCTTATGTCGCGTGGTTAGTAAATTTCCTTTTTTAATTTTCTTTGGGCAGGATTAAATACCTTCGTGACAAAACTTCATTCATATGTAAAACTGCTCCCTTCAAACAAGGCACGTTTAAACTTGCTGATCAAACAGCAATTGTTCTTTGTAATGAAAAAAAATTGTAAGAATGCGTTCAGCCCCTAAAGAACATTTCCCACCAATGTGTGAAACGAATTCGTCACAAAAATCACACAACAGTTTCGGTTAGTCAAATTAACTTTTAATTGTTTTAAGACTCGTACGCTCCTCGATTTCACCCTTTAACACACCATATGCGATTCGATGAGACAGCTTTGGAAGTATTTGGTAAGCCGGTTTTCGAAATTTGTCATGTAAGACTCTTTCTAATGAAAACTGCCGCGGTGTCCTGTTTGGAGAACAAAGGACAAAGGAATCTTCGCAAATCAATGAGCACAATGCCCAATTATTTTCTCTAAATAAATCACGTCACACCTCCATGTTTAATTTCCGTCCAAAGCCGCCTTATTTCAGCAGTGCACACCAGCCACCTCAAACGACGCTCCATCTCCCATAGACAGCAGATACTGAACTCCACGCAGATTATACAAGTTCGTTTGTTGGGTCTCTATGGCTGTAGCTATAATGCCGCGAAGGCAAATTTACGTCCGTCCAAGAAGTGAGCTGATTACGGTGTTAAATTGGCGACAGGTTTCTGACATTCGAACCGAAAAATGGCGCAGCGAGACTTGTTTGGATGCGAATTTTTTCGAGGATGAAGAGCGCCCTGAAAACACTCGTTACGTTTGTGGAAGCTATGAGTTAACTCGGGGGCATCTTGAGGAATCTGAAGACGAAATGGCGAAAGCCAAAGAAATAGACATTCCCGACACCAAAATGGCCTCAAAAAGGAGTGAATTAACCATCAATCTACAGCCAGCCAGTGTTAAGGTTAAACCGAGGCTTGTCAAGGCTCAATCGATGGCAAATCTGCCGATAAACTCGAGCGGACTTGACAGAGGATACACACGTTCTAACAACTCGGTACCTACAAAGTTGAATCCTAAACGGAAGAGCTCTTTAGATGTGTCTCTAGCAAAACTCCGACACGAGATGGTGGGTACCTATCTCTTATCTTTTTCTTCTTCTTTTTTCTCCATTGGTTGACCTCTTAGAAGTTCTACGATATTATTTTTGTGTAACATGATAAAAATGGTTTATTCTGGCAAAATCCTCCACATAAGCGAGAGAGGCGCCTAAAAAAGAGACGGTTAAAAAGAATGCCCATGATTGCTTTCAGTTGCTTGATCCAGACCCTATACTTTTTCTTTTTGTCTGCAGAGACATTTTCTCGTGCACCTTAGAATTCAAGTCCTTGTTTTCGCCATGATTTAATTGCTAAGCAATTGTCATAAAATTCTATTGAATTCTGGCTTTCTTCTAAATCTTTGTCTCTGGGCCGTGTCCTGTAAGGGTAAATTTCTTTCAATTCGACTTTGTTTTCCCTTGCAAAGTGCTTTGAATTAAGTTATATTTGCTTTAAACAGAATCTAATCATCATTCAGGCTTGTTTCCTCAATAACTGGGTTGATCTCCAAATTAACGGCACCAAAATGATTTTGTGACACAATTTATGCCCTTTGTCAAAAAACAAATTTGTCGGCTTCTTTTCAGTTGTAAAGAGGGTCACAATTAGTAACAATAACCCCTCAATTTCAATGGCTAATTTGCGGTTCTGGTCTTTCAAGTGTACACTTATTTCCTCAAAAGAAGCGAGGTGAACTTAAGGGTGGCCATGCGGACGGTTTTCTTTTGATCTCCCTTAAAACAAGCGTTAAAACACAGTTATCAAAAGGTCCATAGCGTTATAGTCCTAATGTTTGTTGAAAAAGAAAGCGGTTAGCTTTCGGTAGATACTAGCAACGTCTATTATAGACCCCATAAAACTTTGTAAAGTTTATTTTCCTTGGGAGAAGCTCAATGATTTGAGCTAAGGAATATTTTGAAAGAGTTTTTCGTTGCCCTAAACAAAGTGTGCTCGACTTTCAGATTTCTTAAGGAAGATTTTTCAAATTTTCACTTTTGTTCTGTGCTAGTCCAGTGTAAACAACCTTGTTGTTTGATTCAGGTGTTCGATAATCTCGACCTAATTCTGAAGCAAACAAATGGCATATTTTGGAAATTAAACGTACTGTTTGCCAGTCACGTCCAAAAACTACATTAAGGCGTTTTGTCGACAATCAATCAAATCCTGCTGTTTATATCTTTTCCTTATTGGGTTTATCGATTTTTAAAAGGTCATGTTTACGGAGCATACCTGTGTTTAGTTTAATATATTTCAATTGCAAAATACGGTAAGACTGCTCTGTTTAATTGCCTTTCACTGCCATATTCGAGGGGTGTCTAAGTCTTCGCTTAATCCTGAGACAAACAGAGGATGATTGGGCACATATTTTGAAAATTAAAAGTGTTCTTAGAAAGGAACGTTTGAGGCTTACATCACGAATACTATGCGATCCGCTATCCGTTTACAAACAATATTCTGTGAGTATGTTTGAGGATAACGTCACGAGAACTTAACGCATGCTCAAAAACAAAAGTACTACAAGAGTGTGTCGAGGATAACGTCACGGAAACTTGACGCATGTGCACACACATTGTGCCTCTGTTGTCGATTTGACGCATTTGACGACTCTTTGGCCATGCTTACTGGAAATAGTTTTGTCCTATCCGCGTTAATCTTATGGTTTGAGCCCTCAAAGTAATTTTACCATTTCCTTTGTTTTGTCTTGTAGAATTCGCTTAGAAGACAAGACATGGAGTTGTTCGAACAACTTCTCAGTCTTAACAATAGTATCCAGGATTTCAAGCTATCCCAGTATTCTTCGCCGACCGACATGTCCGACTCCTCCTCAGACGAATGTGAGACGGAGACAGTCATGGAAAAACCGCTGAGAGTGAAGCGCTGGCACAGCCGTGGAAGCTTGGCTTCTGACGGAAGTGGTTATCACAGTGCGTCAAGCCGCTCTTCAATCGAAAGTAATCCCTCACTAAACGGAAGTGACGTTGCAAGTTGCGACAGTGGTCATGAGAGCGGTGCTGGACTGAAATCGTGCCGAAGGAGAAATAGAGGGAAATTTAGGTCCGGGGACTCTTTAAGGCGAGTGTCATTTGGATCAGTGAGCCAACGACTAAGCGGAAGTGAGATCTTCAGCAGCGGAAGCGATGTCGTATTTCCGGCACAAGCTGTAAGGCGGAACTCAGAATACCGTGTGGCAGAAATAAGACCGATTAAGACTCTAAGCAAACGACAAAGCACAATATGGTGATTTTCGACTGCTACAGAAAGAGGAGAGGTACAAGATTAAAATTTAGTGTAGAAAAGAAATCAAAAGTTTTAAGTGTCACAATGCTTTTAACAAAGTGTTTCCTATGTCTTCCTCTATTCAAATTAACGATTGAAAAGTTCAAAGCGTGTTACAAATGACGTACTCAAATAACTTAATGAATATTAAGTTAATATTTCAGAGTGATTAATGCAAATTTAAAGGTGATTTAAGAAAAACATTTATAGATTCATTTTATTATACTAGGGGGTAAATTTAGAAACCAACACAATATCCTTGTGAAAAAAAAATTCAAGCTTGACAATGGCATCACCGATGCCTGATTTATGGTAAAAATGCTTATGGTATCGACACGAAATATTTCCAAAAAAAAAAGCTGGATATATTAACTCTTTAACTCCCATGAGTGACCAACACTGAATTTCTCCTTGCAATATCCATACAATAACAAGCAGACAAGTGATGAGAATAAAAAAATTATGAATTAGGGTACATTCATTAGTTAATCCAATTCAAAATTCTACGAACTAAAATCACAAGAATTGTATGGCAGATAGTAAGGAGAATTACTCATAATGAGATCTTGGGAGTTAAAATGTTAATCAGTTTTCCTTTCTTCATTCGCATTGAGCTGCTTACGTTCGCGAAGTTAGGTTAAGCTTATCAGACAAATCATAAAATGTGATGCGAACTTCTCTCTCGGAGCATACTTTATGGACTGCACAACTGGATTTTTTCATCCTTGTTAGTAGCACACAATGATGGTATTAATTATTTCGCTGTTTCGTGAAATCAGTAGATGAATATATTATTTTACATTGCATAATTTTTCCATGTGGAGTTTGCCACACAGTGACTTGGGGAGAACATTTGTTACAACAAATATATACAGAATATATGAATCGAAAGATAAAATAAAAGACAGAGCTTCGCCATTCATTGAGTTAGAGTCTCGTGTTGAATATGCAACGCGTATACAACAGTATGGTGTAGGTCTGGGTGAGGCTGAACAATTAAACGAAATAAAACTCGTTTGGAGAAGTTAGCAGTCTTTAGATGTATTCCCTGGAGGAAAAGGCAATGGCGGAAGGCGTCTAGGCACATACTACCTTTTATTTTATTGCCGTTTCTTTGATCGGTTACCAGGCAACAAAACTGACAGTTCTGAGGTTATTAAAATAGGAATAAGTAAATTCCACCTAACGCTGGGCTACGTTTTCCATCCTCAAGTAAAATGTATCTATACACTGTTAAAAAGCCAATGAACGCTTTTCGCGATTGAAATGGGAACTCAAAATCTGCCAACCATAATCTGTAGTATTTACCTCGTATCACTAATGTTTGGTTTAGTTACGGCTTACAAGGAATCTTCGACTTCATCTCCAGTGCAGCTGTTATCTTGTTTTCGTGTTTGTTGACACTGCTTTGTCATGGAGTATGAACATTTTTCTGCGCCTTCCATCAAAAGCTGCATGCCGATGTCTCGTGCATTTCTTTCTTTTTCTCTGTAGGGGGTCACTGCCTAAGTCGCTTTTCTGTAATGCTGCGTGTTTTCGCGCTAGTGGACTAGATTTTAGTGTGAAGTTTTGCAAAGAAAAGTGAATCACTATAACAATAAATAATCATTTGTTACCAAACCATTATTTCACTACTGCCAGGTGTCATCGAATCTCGAACTTGTACGCGCAGTACAAGAGTTTTCGGAAAAGAGGAGAAATTAAAAACCCGCGAGGATAAAATATATACGCCAAGAGCTTTGTTTCTTCGAAGTTTAACGGACAAATGGATTAGGCTTTACAGATTTGGTGAACAAACTTCAGTGGTGTTTCGATCGTTAAAATAATTGCTATTTTGCTTTTTAAGCTGTATAAACAAACATAGCCTTAATCCTTTCACTTTCTTCATTAATTTGAAAGGTGAATATTATGAAACTAAAGCACATTTTCGATTCAATTTGCTCTCTTTTGGGGTCGGCTGTGAACGCTTGTTATCAAGGTAGGTTGTACTTGTTAAAAGCGTTTATCAAAGTTTCCACACTGAATGATTATATTTTGCTTGTCATGCATTCGCGACCCAACCTAGAGCGTGAGTTTGTTATGCAAATTAAGCTGAAGTTCTCATATCCCTTTCGGAAAATGTCACTCTCCAGCCTCGATTAATGGAAATACATTCACTTCGAACCGGATATTGGTTTGTTCCCATGCACGGCAAATCGCTCAGGCGCCGTACAACCAAAATGCTGGGAGTTTTGTGTCGGTCTTCTTGAAAACTAAATCACAAAACAGCTACAACTTTCAAGGAAGACTGATTTCAGCTCAGATACCACGAGGTAATCTCTATTAATACGAGCTAAAAATATCTTAAGTTATTTACGTTATCAACGATAAATGGCGAGCAACTTTCTTTCTCATACATGTGTTCTCGTTTTCAACAGATTTTCGTCTTTCCTCATTTCTTTTTCTTGTCGTGGAAAATCGAACAAACACAAGCTAGAAAACCGCTGTGTTTTTACGCTGGGTAATGAGTTCAAGGAATTGGAAGGTGAGCGGGAATATTAGCAATAGACCGAGTTGTTTCCCAGTTCGGCTCCTAGCAACCCAAAATTAAAGTATACTTGACGTGTTGCTTTATGGTACTTTGCTGTTCATTTTCGCTTCGTTTTTGTGCTAGCAATTTTGTGATATGAAGTGTAACACCTTTTTAATAAAGAATGCAAGGCTGAGTAAATACTCCGGCTTTTCACGTATCAGTCCAGTGCGTTGCTCAATAGGATAAGTAGTCAAAATAGTTACATTTATTCTGAAAGACGTCCATATAGAAAATTCCAAGTGAAAGCGTCTTAACGTCTTTTTGTACTGTTAGTGCTTAAGTATCCTATTTTCATGGCTTTAAAGGAAGCATTGGAGACAAGAAACAAATTTCTGGAAGAAAGTGAGAATGTAATTTGAATTGCGAGTTTTCGGACCTACCAAAATGTCCTCAGGCTGTTTATACTACGTCAGGATTTCGCGCAGCAAAAAATTTCAAATAATAGAGAAAATAAACGAAAAAAGTAACTGCGCTTTTAAACGACTGGAAAACAACTCATATGGCGATCGGCGTGCTGCGTTGAAGACATTTACAGAACGCAAATTAAATATTCTTTCCGGAAAAAAAAAACAGCTGCCGTAGTTTTCACATTCAAATTAATACGAGTCGAGTTTCGAGTTTCTTCAAGGGAAGTGTTTTCTGCATCTTATCAAAAGAATAGATTTCACTTCCTAGGTGAAGGAACTTTGACTCTGAAACACAGTGGTGCGTTCATTTGTTTGTTTCTTGGTTTCAATGACGATAATACCCCCTAAAAAAATACACAAATTGTAAGAATTATGTTCATTTACGCTATTAATTCACGATTCTTCCGCTCAGCATCAATTTCGCCGAGAATATGCAAAGATTTGAAGGTATAAGAGGCCGAGCTCTCTTCTGGTTGCGTAAGAAATAGTATGCTAATCGAAAAATGTACCTTTTAGGGCTTAAACTAAATTTTTTTTTCATATTCTATCTTTTGGATTGAATTATATTACAAGACAAGAGTATCAAATGACGGCATCTAGGCCATAGTCACGTTTTTCACTCGATTTATCCAAGTGATTCGTTTTCTCACAATTAGATTAAATTTAACCAAAGTTGAGCTTCAGTTTTTTATGAAAACGCAAATTAGATATATCACAAATTCACAGCTCGGGCAAATATTTCTTAATTTACGCATTAAAGAGAAAACTGACCGAACCAGACTCTGGCAGGTTGCAATGAAACACGTGGGCCCTCATTCAGAATTAAGTGGTTTGTTTTTTTCGGTCTCCTACCAAAGCGCTTTTCAGGGCTGACTTTTCATTGGGTTTTACGGTAAGGCAAAACTGCTTTACTCGTTTACAACAACACAGGCCACACTCTTAAAATGAGAAATGAGCTGCTCAGCGAGGTTTTCACACTGATCCATCAGATGTTTGTCAGTATGTTTTAGAGGAAAGTAATTATTTTGGTCAGCTCCTGCAGCTCTTAACGACTTGCTTAATCAACAACTATTGGCCGAAAAGTAATTTCAGACCAAGAAGCAGTAACTCGAAAAGTTGAGTTCGCGTTCTTGCTACAAAAATGCTTTATCCCTTAGTCTCAGGTCGGGTATAATCGTATTATTTTCTGAACAACTGGATCAATTTTAGCCCCTTTGTTTTCAACTAATAAGGTTTTTATAATAAGAAACAATAATGTATTTATGTCTCAAAAATGCTCAGAGCATCACATGGTATTTAACAAGGTATCAAAAAATTGACTGGCTTCCTTATATTCTTCGGTTGGACATCTACGTCGGACCCCTTAAAGTGTAAGGGGTCATAGGCTTTTGGAATTGGTCTGAATAAACCCTATAATTTACAGAAAATACTCCTTGCTAGTCAGAAGTACCGTAAAAATTCTTATAAATTTGGAAAATTTAGAACATTGGACTGCAATTTTAGCGTTCTGATTGGTCCGCTGAATGTCGGTTATTAACTCAGACAATCTTGACTAATTAAGGAAAATGAATAAACTTGGTGTCGCTTGACTGTATTTCTTTTCGATGGCAACCATGTTCTGCGGAAAAATGGACACAAATAAACGGAGCCAACAACTCGCTTCCGCAAAATTCCATGTACCTCTGACAGCTGTCCTTGAAAACTGTTTGTTTCATTCGCCTGCAATCAGGGAGCCAAACGTTTGCCCAAATATGAACTTTTAGGACTTGAATGCATGTCTCTGGGAAAGTTTGTGACTTGTACGCATGAAATTTTCTTGAATTTCAAGGCTTGTTTCACAATGTTGTTTGCTGCGCATTGAGTTCTCATTTATCCCCATTCGTAAAGCGTTGCGCATGTCATGTGATCATTTTATGAAGGTCGGAAGTCTCCGATGTAACAAAGGCAGAGACTTTACATTGCAAGAAAACGTTAAATACTTTATTTCAAGTGTATTCAGCTCGACAAATAACCCCAAAACCTATTTGCGACTTAACAATAATAGCAAAATTTGTATAACTCAGCTGGATTTTCCTTTATGTGAAAATGCACAGTAACGAAAAACCTTTTTAATTCAACATACTAGTAGTTGGTTTGAAATGGTTTTGGTGCCGTTAGTCGCACACCTTGTAGTGGCTACGTTCATATGGTCACTAAACACGCTGAAAATCTCCAAGGATTTCACGTGGTTCATTCAAAATATTAGTTCATAATAGACCCGCCAGATTTCATTTGCACGGGGACAAAAAATACTTCTAAGTTGCCTTGTATCTGCCTTTTAATCATCATTGTTTATGCTTATTTACAGTGGACTAAAAGGGAGTTTTAAACAACCAATGAGAAAGCACCCAGCAATGAAAGCGGGAATGTAATCGAAACAAAATCATGTTAATGACAGCTGCAACAATGCATTACTACCCATTTTCCTCCGATTACTTCATGATAACGTCAAGTTGTCATTGATTGGGACAAGAGGCTGTCCATCTTAATACTGTACACAAATCGTAAAACTTTTCCTGTTGAACATTTGTTGCGAAATCTCCCGTGACAAATGTCTTACACCTCTGTAGACCAGAAAATTTTTGAAGAAAAAGTTTGAAGTGTTTGTTTGAGCCACTAATCAAATCGGCTTTTGTTTAAAAGAAAACAACTAAGGAAATTTGTCGAGCGCGTGATTGGTTCACGAGTTGATTGTACCGGGCCCGATATGACAATTGCTGTTCGCACTTTAGATCTTTGTCTATCAAGAGATAGGATCATCGCATTGCTTTCGAACTAAAAATTGTTGCCATATCGACCTAAACCAGATTTCACGGCAGTAAACGAAGACGGAGAGTGAAATAATTGTTACCTAAGGTAAGGGACAATGATTTTCGTTTCTTTCGTGTTCATTTAGAAATGTTTATATAGATTACTAATAATTGTATTTGCATCCAAAACCGACGTAGAAATCAACCACTGCTATGAAGCATAAAGCGAGCTGATTTTCCACTTTTTTCGAGCGGTTCATTCCTGCATTGGGAGATAAAACGAAAACTTGGCATATCGTTATTTAAACGGAGAAGTATACCTCGAATGACCGCCGCGCTGCCAAAATAAGCCTAATTTTTTTTAAAAAAAAGAAAAAAGCACCACTGTATCAGAAAAAGGCGTAAAAGAGGGTTTTAAAAAAGATATATTCAACAAGAACATATAAATAACTGGAAAACCGACACAGTTCTCTAAATCTGAGAATTACGATTTTAGGACTCAGTTGTTAATTTGCTCCAGAAATTGCATTTTGTCGAATGCGCTGAAGGACGCTTGTTACTCTTCCTTACTGAAAGATAATATTTAATTCGCTACATGAGTTTCCGTCCTTTTATTTAAGAATTACGAGTGAAAAATCAAGATTGGAGAGTAATCTTCGCAAATATCGTGCCGATCTTAAAATTTATGATGGTTTCCTTTTGTTGCTGTGGTAAGAAATATAGGTTTTACTTTCTGTTCGCTTCGTAATTGTTATCTTTGAATAAATACGATGGAAAATGATTCCCATTTTATGTCTGTTGAGGATTGTTTGTGGCTTAAGATTCGTTCGAGATAAGCTGCTCGGTATTAGGGCGTCTTTGTGGTAGCATATGGCTTGAAGCAGATGTTTCGAATTTAAAGCAACTTTTGACTAACGCAACGTAATTATCTTTGATTAAAACCAATCGGCTAAACATGGATGATAAATAGAAATTAGTTAGCGCTGATGACTCTACTCGGTTCATTTGTTTTGGTTTTCATTGTTGCGCAAGCCTGGTCTTGGAAATGTACCATTTGCCGGTAATGCATTCGCAGAAAAAGGATGGGAATCTTCTTAATTAAATATTAATTCCCCTTTCTTTAGGCAAAAGAATAAGTGATTCCTTTCACTCGGCGAGAAATCTGTGGTGTTGAGAATTTATAAGAATAAAGTCTACGGCTAAGACAAATTTTAAATCGAATTTCAATTCTTAAATTCTCCAATTTGTTATTATTCCGTTTGTCTCTTTATCGGCCAGACTATAAGGTTAGTTCTGATCATGATTTCTATTGTTACGCTTTCTTTTTATTGTGTTGCTTTGTACTTCTTATGGTCAATGAATCGATTTGCAAGGACGTGTTTTTGACACTTTTCGACTTTTCAAGAAAAACATATCTGCAAATTATGTTCCTAGGAATAAAACATGGTAAAATCTTTTTGATGATAATTTTTTGCCTGCCTTTTGATGAGCGCTACGAAACTTTATGTTTTATTTAAAACAAATAATTGATCTGAAGGCAATCGACTTTTAGGTAAACAGAAAAGAACAAAAATTAACTGTCATCAAAACTTTGTTTTGCTTCATGTGACACACATAATTCTGATGAAGTTGATTACATTAAAATTGGTCAGGAAAACAATGGTCTCCCGGTTGGATTCAAGTTTTCCTACATGCAGTTTTGTAAGCGAAGTAAAGGACATCTTTCGATCTTTTTTTTTCAGCTAAGAATTTTTTCTGCATAAATCGTCGTGCTCTATTTTTTTTTGACAACAGCGTACTGTTGAATGCGTTTGGGATTTTCATATCATTATTTCCTGTTTGCCATCAAGAAGTTTTTCCTCTGTAAAATTCAAAACATTTCCATTTTGGCTGTGGTCTACAAAACGTGCTGAGCTTACGCTCCTACTGTGTTCAGCACTATACACATATGGAGCATTCCAATTCTCCTGACAACGTTTAAATGCACCTTTAAATGACAGTGCTTCCTCAGTGACTGGTTTTCTTTGCAAACCTTGACTGACTCTTCGAACACATAATCAATCAATCAAAACCCAAGGTGACCAGGGACGTAACAGCGCGGGAAAACAAAACGCGTGCGGCAAGCGCGGCAAAATAAGTAACATGCAATAAGCACAGGACGAAATTTGTACTGTGTTAGCTGTCTTCAACGTACACAATAACGGTGAAAATAATGGGATTTCTCTTGGCTTAAATCAAGGTTTACTCGTAGAACTGACTAATTGAATATCTTGTTTTTCAGAGTGAATCAGTGCAGAGTAGAAAGGCGGATGCATCATGGTATTACGACTTCAGCGAACCGATTGAAAAAGACCGCACAAGGGTATGTCTTATGAAGATACTCGTCAAAGCAGCATCCATCGTTTTTGTAGCATGATAATCATGCACGATTTTATCTATAACAGGGGCGAAGTTTGCACAACCCTTTCACTCCCAGGAGAGACCAAGAAGTTATTTCCTCGTACAATATCAATACCCTACCGAGCAGACATGTGATTCAGTAGAAAAAAAAACAGCATCATCTGCGGAATATCATCTAATTAAACACCATGTTCTCAGAACCAACATTATAAGAAACTTATGACTTAGGAAATAAATTATTATTGGCTTGTTTCGCTCCCTGATACTACCCAGCTCTGGAACATAACTAAATGGTTCTATGTTATATGCTCCTGATTAGGAAAAGAAAAAAGATTGGGTTTCCCGGAATTCACAGTTATTTGCCCCTTTGGGAGCGGGAAATTTGTTTGTTTTGTTAGCTTATGAGAATTTTGAAAGTGAACCGATTTAAATTTGTTCTTTTCATTCAGAGCACCAATACACAGCTTGAAATTTATCTTACTGAGACGAACATTAAAAAAGCCACTCTTGAATTCGAAGAGGTGACACGTGAGCCAATATTGTCGAGACGGAAAGATTACTGTTGTCTCTGCTGGTGTTTCTGTTGCTCGTGCGATTGGTACTGGTAAGTGGCATTCACTGTTTTCGGATATCTGTAACATGTCTAAATTTTCCACGAGCCGATTGGTTAAGATCTTGTTACAGTCAAGTGTGCCTTCTTTGTTTGCTGGTCAGCGTCGTTTAAAGGCTGACCAGCGGTAAATTTATGAAGTGATTTAGAACAAACAAACAAACCAAATCCTGTTTCCATTGAACTCATGGTCTCGTTCCCGGGAATTCTCTCCTCCTGCCTATCTTTAGCTCTAGCTAACGGAAATACGAGAGACCTTTGTATCGAAGTTTGGTGAACGGGTCATCGGAATCGTCTCTGAGTCAATCTTAGTAACCAAGGAGCCTACCAATCTTGCACCCGGAGTCATGTCGATTTCTTGTCATCAGTATGATTGCCAGAATGGCCCTGAGCTCGTGATCAGTTGGGTGCCTTTGGGACCCGTTATTGAGCAGATGCTAAGTAAACATGCCTAGTCTACGGGACTTTTAATTAGTTTATCAACTGAACTTTTTTTCTTATAACAGATTAGTGGACAAATTAGAGTTAGGGTTTGGATTGGTGCAAATACATGGTCTAACTCGATCCAAATATCTTGCGCGTAGTTACAAAATCCGTTGCAGTACATAAATGAGCCAGTTTTTTGCAACCCTCAACGATATTGCGCACAACTATGTTATAACTATGTTGTTATGGCCTTCTGCTCGTGTTCAGTTATGACAGGGGATAACTTATCTACATAAGTCAAATCACGGTAAGGTAATAAATTTTGCACATTGATTACACTGTCGAATTGAGAGGCTTAGATGGAGCGCACTTGTATTTTAATTTTAACTTTTCTAATAAAAAGTACTAGTTTAGACACCAGACACCGTCTCTAATAATAACCAGTACAAAGCAACATATTTCATTTTTCTTTTTAAGATGCAAGAGCACGAGTTTCCTGGCGCTGGAGTACTTTCCTCTATTCTTTTAACGACTCACTTTTCCGATAATTAAAAGCAAATGGTCTGACAGACGTATCTTATTGAACGTTTCTTTCAGACATTACTCTGACTAATTTCAAAGACTTGAAAGCATTGTTAATTCAGAGTTGATAATTACTGATGTCATACTTGAACTTTGCCAATTTGAAGGTGTTCAATACACGCGCTATTAATATCATGAATTTAAATCTCTAATTTTCGTTTGCCTTTTCCAGTTAACCGATAATGTCATCTTACAAATATGGGAGCTTAAACCTCTATGAATAGTTACAATCAATAATGAAAAAGTTATTTTCTCAATCTGTCGGTGGGGGACGGCTTTATTTCATATTAAGCGCGGATTTTCAGTGAAAATAATTATTGTTTATCTAATCGCTAATTCTAACAGTTCAAAATTCTTGGCCCGATAAATAAGATACAAAAACTCCCGATTATATTCAGTTGCTGAAACTTATCTGTAAGCTAGAACTAAAGATTTTCAAAAATATCAACCAGCTTAACCTGTAATGAATATTGCGGATTGAGTCTCGTTGCAGATGACAGATTACCCACTTCCAGTGATAAATGTAATTTATGTATTAGTCTTTTTTGTGGCCTTTTTTTCATTAATAGACCAAATACTTTGAGCGCTCTGCTGGCAGTCCAGATATTATTACCTCTAAAAGAGGCATGAAATCTGCTCTTAAAATCGTTTTATTTTCTAAGTGGATTTCGAAGGACTATGAAATTAAATAGAAATTTAAGAGACCTTGAACGATGCATGCTAATCAGAGATTTAATTTAAATTCCTCATGGATATAGATTTCATGGCAAATATTGGGCTCCTTAAACGTTGCGTGTGGAAAAAAATATATTCAGTCCACGGATTTACACGAAATCACCGCTGGATGCATTTAGAATCGTAATTTTTTTTTACAAGTGTAGCATTCATTATAATTGCGGTCAAGGTTTCGTGCGTGGTCACTGTCGTAGAAAATATAACAAGTCGAGAGTATTTTGCTCTGAAATGTAAATCTCTCAACCGCAAAGGCGACACTTTTAGATTTGCCGAACGCCGAGATAGAGGTTTGTTTGGTGTTAGTCGCTGTTTTTTTTATTTTCCTGTTGGGAGATTGTGGTATCTAACTCAACCAATACGTGCTTTTTCTTTATCTCTTCTATCTCACCAGCCCCGCTCGCCGTTTCAGAGTTGGAAGCATGGAGACAGCGAAGGACAACAAATACAATCCCAAGTAAGACAAAAAAATGAATCGCCGTTCTTCTTGTTGCTGTGTAAAACTAACAGTTTTCCGGATGTCGGCAGTGAAACGTGGCCTATTTCAATATGAACGGAGTCGCGTTATTTCAATTGTATTAAACCGAAAACTTACAAATATATTTCGATATGCTCGATATCCTTGCTCTTAAATTTTAAACTGGATCAGTAGCCGTAACATTTTCCGGATTACTGAAGCTGTGACAAGCACATGACATCGCTTTGATTTTGTATTGAAACCCGTTTAGAGCCGAAACCGCTCTAAACATTTGAATTCTTTGCCTTTAGATGCTACCACAAAAGAAGGACCTTTCCGTAATACTGAACAGCGAAAAACCTGTTTTCTGGCACCGAAGTTACTCGCAGTTCCTTTTGATTTGGTGTTAAGTTTCGTTCACGAGTTATTGATCAGAGTACATTATTCGTCCCACACGTATCAGCTATCTGTAGTTGCAAAAATGTAACTCAATTTTCGCTTTCGGGAAATTTTCATCTCTCTTCTATTGCGGAATGCAGCTGTAATTCTGACAAAAGACCCAAATATTTATTCTGATTCAAACAGGAAATATTCAAAAGGGGTTGCACAATTTCACTTCCGAGAATGCCACAATGCCAGTCAGGTGAACGAAATTCGAGTCGAACCGGCGCTCGGGTCATTTTACGTCAGACATCCATCGAGTGAATTACTTCGTCAGATAGTTCGACACGTTCGCGCAGTGTTCTCGTTAGCTTTATTGGTTCGGAATTTTTCTTGAAATCCATATTGCTAGCATCCAATATAGTCAATACTTTGGAGTTCTTAAAAGGTTTCTGAGCGTAATCCAGGCCGTTTCCTCTGCGGTTTTCGTCACTGTCGCTTCGATGCAGTTGGGTTGTATTTGTCTGAATGGAAATGGAAGGTTTGGTGATGCCAGTGGGTACGTTGATCAACTTTCACCTTCTCTTACCTAGTTCATTATCCATTGTGGTGGAAAGGCTACGACTTAGAGAAATAATGTCAACAACTAGAGTATGTGTATCATGGTGTACATAAAAACAAATGGCTCGGAGACATTTTAAGGAGGATGACTAGAAACTGAAAGGAATTAGACTGAAATGCGAGTGGATTATCGTCGTCACTGTTGTGTTTCTAAATCTGCTGCAATAACGTGATGCTCAAACAATGAGTTGGGACAAACGCTTGGTGGACCATTAAATAGAGTAGAAATTACCAATTCTCTAATGTGCAAATTTGAAACGTAACGAGTACATCTTTTATGTTGTCGGTGAAAATTCGTTCGTAGTTTAATTACGCACTGAGGAAGTGATACGCCCAAGGACCTCTACGTCTCGTTCGTGCACACTAGTATTTTATTACCAAATCCTCCTGTTTACCGGAGGAGTATCATTTTTCAAAAGGTATCAATGACAGCTCAAAATTCTCACTCAACAGCGGAGGGCTATTTTTTTCAAAAGCGGGAATCTTAGACTGTTTTTACCGCCGAATCCACCGTAATTAATTTAACCTTCCGTCAATGGTGTCTGTCTGGAATACATGTCTCACTTGGTTCATTATTTTGACTAGCAACGACACATCAAGTGGTTAATATAAATTTCCTTTGGTCGCTCTGACTTAGGCAGTATGTTCGTCTTCGTGTAGTTGCGTTATATTGTTCACACAATTATGAACGTGAGTTCTTTTCTCACTATCACCGTCTTAGATATACATGTCCAAAGTGACAATGAGCTTCCACACAGTGGGTTTAGTGCACTACTGCGGTCTCATTATTGTAAGGTTTATTAAAACTTGTTTTTCTTTTAGACTTTGCCTCGAATTCGAAAGAGTTCCTCCCTTCTTTGCAATATTTATCATCTTTATATTACTTACAATACACCGCTGACTAATGACTGTAGAGTAAGGTACAGTGTAATACCGTTTCAACCAAACTGCTGCCTCACTTGAACGATACATTTAAAAAGAAAAGTTGTATACTTGTTGATATAACCGTTGTTTGATTATTTCATATCAATTTTCTGTTCCTAGACCTTCCAGAGAAGAAGTTCAAGAATGGGGAATAAGCTTTGAAAAATTGCTCACAAGCAAAAGTAAGTTGCATACAATAAAAACAATATTATTGCAATTTTAAAAGTGTTTACGGAAACCATTCAATTCGCCCCGTTTTCGCGGTAAAACAAAACCAAAACAACAAGTGAGACAAAAACAATTTCTTTATCTCATATTCATCGAAGGCTTTCATGTAGCGTATACTCAAATTTTTCCTTGTTCTCTATGTTTGGACATTTACCTGAAGACTCTTCAGCAACCGTGCTTGTCACACAACCCCCCCCCCCACCCTTTCCCTGTTCTACTTGTTGAGCCCAAGTATAACCGTTATTCAGGATACTGCCATCCATACTGCTGAAGTGGGAGCTTGTTTGCCCTGTAACATTTTTGAAATAGGTTGTGTGATATTGGAAGTGTTTTTCTCAATCTTCTTCTCCTTGTTCCACCGGCTGTGCGGCTGATGAAAGCGTACACTCTTTGTGTATGCTCGTTGTCGAGTGCATTGTGCAAATAGCTTTAAAAGTGTCGGTGATCGCGTGACTCGGGTAACCATCCGGGTTTTGTCGTATTCGATTAGTGTCAGCTGTCACGTTAAGAAATCGCGTAAATTGAGTGCTTGGTACCAAGGGATTTCTTACTCGTCAAGTGCATAATGTGGTAACTTGAGCCAAACTGACAGCCAATTTTCCTTTTAAGCTGGGGTAAAAATTTTCCACGACTTTCTCAAGTCCCAGTACTCAGAGGAGAACTTATTGTTTTGGCTCGCAGTGGAGAAACTTAAAAAGGAAACAGATCAGGCGACCTTTAAAGAACTTGCGCAGTCGATTTACCGGGATTACCTTTCAGCGGAGTCTCCAAAAGAGGTGGGCAAAATAAAATGTGTTTTATGTATATTTAATTCCAAATGCCTTGAAGTCCGTGAAAAGTTTATGTCGGATTTTGTGCAAGTGATCTTTTTAAAAAATGAGAAGTTCGCGGATTTGAGGCTGCTAAAAACAATGAATTTTTTGCTGGATTTAGGTACGTTTTTAATTGGCTTAATTGGGCACTCGAGCAGCTTAGGGGTAAGGGGCACTATAAATGTCGAAGAAGATGTGGATTTTACCGTTAGATGATAATTTTAAAGGAAAGCCTGTAGAAATTCAATACGTAGCAGTCATTTTGAGTCCCTTGAAGAAAAGCTTTGTCTAAACTCGTTTTTGCTGCAGGGCTAGACATGTGGTGAAAGCGTAAGCTTCATTTTTCATGTAAACTCAACATTGCTGCCGAGTGACAAAGGTCTATTTTATGTGTTACAGTTTGTCAGTGTTTGAAAAAAATAATCTGAAACCCATTAAAGGAATGGCAAAAAATTGATGGTTTCTTCAACACGTCCTTCGTTTTAAAGGAAAACTCAAGTAGTAAGACAGATTGTTTCGGGGTTGGTCATTTGTCACATGATCACGTATCACAGACAAACACACCACGTAATAGCGGCAGCAGCGTCGTAGCGCCGCCAAATTGACAAATAGCAAATACTGATAGCTGATCAGTCCAAGGCATCTCTTCCAAAGCACATTCTTGTATCGGTGAGATGATAGGGCAAACATAGTTGTATGACTCGTTGCATCTTAATAAACAGAAAGTATCGAGTTTAATTATTAAATACCTGGCCCGCGATTGGGCAAGGTGAGGCAAATCCTTTATTCTGATTAATTACCTGAGCGGATAATATGAGCCTACCCTAACACAGCGGCCAAACGTCAGGCATGCGCAAGGTGGTCAATGTTGGCTGGCCGCGCGCCGATTTCCCGCGCAAAATAATAGAGAAAAAACATGAGAGACAACCACTGTCACGCATGTGGGCAAGGTTTTTCGTCACTCCTATTACACATTTTAAGAAAACTTGGTTCTGAAAGCATGCCATTTGCCACCTGCGTTTTCTTTCCTAGACAAAGCTGGCGTCTAGTGACGAAGATGTAGGTCATGTTATGCTCTCATTTGCCATAATTTTACCCCCCCACCCGTTAATTTTTTTTATTTCACCTCCTATAGGTCAGTATCGACCACAAGACTCGCCAGCATATCGAAGAAGTCTTGGAGGAACCTGACCAAACGGTGTATGACAATGCGCAACGTCACGTCTATTACGTCATGTATCAGGACTGTTACCCAAGATTCATTGTGTCCAACGTCTTTAAAGCGCTCCTCATAAGTAATGACTGATCACTTGATCTAAGACATTAAGTTACTTTCTAGACTAGATTCGACAGAAAATGACATGGAGTTAGATTAATATAAAGCTAGAGATACTTTCTTCACCGTTTTCTCTGTGGTTATGTCTGCAAAATTCCAAGAAAATGAAGTAAAATTTTTTATGCAACTTTACAATCGACGAGACCATGGCCTTGTCGATCATGTACATAGAAGAATAAACAATAGCTTCGCAAGAATTGCTAAATAAGTAAATTGAAAGATGCTTCTGGTGAGAGCAAGATCCAATGATTTTTAAGGGAGTTAAACGTTTATCGTGCTTGCACACCATATGGATATAGATTTAAATATGCGTTATAAGGGGAGCGTTTGAGAGGCGCAAACCCAGAACCGATCGCACTACTATCCTCTGCTTCTCACATTCCCTACGTGTTTCTCATGTCTATTTGCGTTAATTGGCATGTTTATCTGCGATTCCCGTAACTTTCTATCGGTTTCATTAAATCTCACCTTTAAAGTGTGTTCCCTAATTTAATGATATTTTCAGGAGAGCTCCGATTAAAGTACACGGAAAAAATGTAATTATAATTAAAAAATAACAATGTTTCTTATTCTGAATGCTTTTGTTGTTATTTTTTTTCATTCAGTTTGGTTCTCAGCTTTTTTCTTTCTATAGGAATGAAAAGCCTGAGGTATTCTTTCCTTCCACCGTCTAGTCTTGTCTCGAAATGTTTTCTCGTTTTGACAACTGGAGCAAGCCTGATCTGGGAAAAAAGATTTCCAGATATTTGCTTTTTTCAGTAGATACTGCGGCCACAAGCGCGTCAAAAGAAGTGCGCGTCTGGCTATGGCAGTAATTGAAACAAAGGTATTATTGAAGTCAGCTTCATGTTCAAGTTATCGATAGTGGCAGATGAGAGTATGGCTGCCACATACTTCTAAATTATTCTAACTGCGCTATCATGTGCGTCGCAATAGAGCAAATTTAAATTGAGAATCATAGGACCAAAACCAAAGGAATCACAATCAGAAGAAGGGAGAATATCACAAGAAGCTACCGAAAACTCACTGTAACAACAAACAAGCTGTCTGAAGCGCGGAAAATCGCGAGTGACCAAGTCGTGGTTTAGTCTTTGTTATTATTGGTTGAGGAAGTCGCACGAGTTTTCTAAACCAATCACAGTGAAGGAAAGCATAGAGACGAAAGGATATTGAAAGAAAATGCGAACATTCAAAGTAGTTTAGAATGCTAAATTAACGTGCGTAAGTACTGTCATGCAATAAAAAATATGTCATCCATCTATCCTCCATGGAAGACATTGATAAGAAAGCAGCCTTTCACCAGCTGCGTCTCTCGCCCGTGGGGTACCAGGTCGACAGAGAGATATTACCGGCGTATTTAATTTGCTGACTTCAAGACGAAGTTGTGACGTGCGTGGGGAATAACCATCCTGACAGGCATCTGGTGCCTATGATGATGTTTGATTCTTTCCAGATCTTTACTATTCCACGGCTTCATTTCAGTATTTGTTTGTTGAGGATGTGCTCTAGTTCGCGTTCAGTATTTCGGCTTTTTCATGTATTCTGTTATTCTTTGTTCTCGATGTTTCACGCCCGATCTGTAGTAAGAGGTTGTAATAACTTTAAGTGTCAGCATGTTATTTATATCTGCACTTCGTGATCACAAGGCATACGCGTGACGCGTGTGCTTAGAGATTTGGGCGCACACCCGTGGGTTGACCAATATGTTCACAAGAAAAATCTAATTTCAGTTTACATGATCTCCATATGCATCAATAGCGAGGGTAGTTAGTTCAACAGCTAATGGTTAGTGACAATACTAAGCAAAAACTTTGAAACATATTAACCACCAGGCAGGTGGTCCAATTACATAGAAGATATTTTCAACCTTGCCAAGGTCCACAAAATTGGCTCTTGTTGGAAGTTTATAAGCCCCCCCCCCCCAACCCCTCTCAAGGCACATGTACATAGGACTGGCAACATAAAGAATAGTCATTGTATCACTCATTCATGTAAACGGTTTGGTTCCATAATGTTTCCGTCATTATTTGTTATTATTGTGTTTTAATATTTCATTTCTGTTACCAATTTGAAGAAGATCTCATATATACATATATATATATATATATATATATGTATATTTTAAAGAAAGCGACAAAACTTTTGAGTCTGTAAAACATGTTTCAACAGAAACTTCTGTCATCTTCAGTTAATTACCGTACAAAGCGTTGAAAGTTGAATTATATAGTAGGTAGAACAATGCTAATTAGGATGAATAGTGACAACAAGAAAAGAGGTAAAGCATGTAAGTGAGAGAGTTAAAAAGATAGTTTTAGATTTACATGGTGTAATTGCTGATTCAAAGATGGTTGTTCTCTTTGAATATGAATAGCCTCTTTTATCTTAAGCTGAAAGCTGGTGGAGGTGTGATCTAAAACATGGAAGTTATCTGTAGAACACAAAGCGCGACAATGTGGAGAATCTTTCAGATGCCTGAAAATGTGAGAGGCCCTGTCACTGACTAAGTGCTCTCTAACACCTGTGGAAAAACGCCGGCAGGTTTCACCGACGTAACAGGCATTACAGCCAGCGCATACAAACTTATAAACCACACGTGAACGGAGCCCGTCAGGGACAGGGTCTTTCACACCAAACAAGTTACCGATTTTGAAGGAAGAGAAAACCAGTTTGATATCCAGGTCATTAATTGAAGAAAAGTGCTCATCTCGACAACCGGGTGTATGAAAACATCTTCCCCAAAGGCTCCCAACCAGCAAGAATTTACGGCCTTCCTAAAATGCATAAGGATAGTGAAGCTAACTCTACACCGCCATTTCGCCCCATCGTATCTTCTATAGGAACACACAATTACAACCTGGCCAAGTACCTATGTCGTCTTTTAACACCTCACATTCCAACTGATTACTGTGCCACTGACACTTTTACTTTAACATACATACATACATAGTATAATTGTATCAAGTAACACCATTCAGAAAGAAACAAGTGTTTCATACAAGAGAGCCCTAGAGTTTCAGTTAATGGATCAAAAAAAATAAAATTAACAAAAAAAGTATTGCATTTAAAAATAAAGCAAGACACTTTGAAGTCAAGAACTAACAATCTATTAAAATTCAGAAACTTTATTTTAAATTTTCATTACAAACACTTTTCCCTATGATAAACTTTTCTGTCCTGCATAGAGAAAACCTAATATATTAAAGTTGAATTACAAGTACAATTCTACAGTCTGCATTGTGGTTAAAAAGCATCAAAACCCACCTACATGTATAAATCTAATGATTATCCAGTATCATGAGATAAATGCTTCCCATGAACCATGGTTTGAGCTGTAAGTTTCAATTTCATAAATGAAAGCTTGTGTAAGTACTATAGCATAAGCTCCAGTTCACTTTTTTTTATGGCAAATCTCTCCCATAGTGCCTTGTGCCTGCTTGCAGGCCACAATGGCATAGTAAAATTAAAAAAAATTGATGAAATCTCATTGAGGGTAAGAAAAAAACAGGAAAAGCTAAACCCACAAGAAACACCGAGCCAGGAGCTAAGTGGGCCACACAGGAAGGGGCAAGCATTCCTAACACTGTGCCACTTCCTCAATCATTATTCTAATAATATTAAGAGTAACTGACTCTTTTCATAAGTGGATTTTCAACATATTTAGCTTTAGAAATCCTGCTCTAAAGATTGAGTTCATTTACAACTCAGCCTTAAAGTAATCTTTTACAGGCACCATAGTGGCGCCCCCATAGAAATCGACAAGCCACACATCTGTGATTACAAGCTTCAGTGTTTGCCAACCTGGAGGAAAAATATTCAGTTCAAGAAACAGATTCTATTGCTGTGCATTTGTTCAGTAAAAGATTACAGATGATGTCAAAATGTGGTAAAAATAAAAAACTGGGACCCATATATATTTGGGAACTCACCATGATCTTTAGGCCATGTTTTCATCACAGGATGTCTAGCAAAGATGGCATTTAGTGCAAACTTTTCTTCCTCAGGACCAACATGGACAAGCTGCAATGATTTCAAAATCTGTCTCAGGTTTGAATTGGATGAAACATTTTGGACACCTTTTGTCTTATAGCCACCATCCTGGATACCTTTGGAAATAGCCTGCTACCTCTGACTGAAAAACTGATTAGAAACTCTCTCTTATTGCAGATATATTTTTCCTTGTAATTCAGTTCCCTGTGATTCAGTTCAGAGAATTTGGTGTTTTATCAAGACAACACCATTTTCCTGATAGATAACTTTATTCTTATCACCTCTTCCCTGGATAATATGCTTAAATTTTGAGGAGAACTTATGCATTGATTACCAGTACTGGATGTAAAAGAGATGACAGACTACCTTTCCAATAAGAGTCACTCTGGAGCAAAGAGGATCTTCAGGATCCCATTTATGAACTTTGCAGTAATCACTCTGTGCCTCCGACAGTGCCAAGGTGGATAGGTTGTTGGCCTCAATGTTTTTCACTATTGGGTCAAACTTTGCCACATAGAAGTATGGTACCCCTGTGCTGTTAGTGACAGTGCCATCACTAAAGGAAATTGCCATTCCAAAAGGCACTCCAACCATTGAAACAGAAATGGTTGATATTGATCCCCAGTCACTGTTGTGCACAATGTATCTTGCTACATATCAGGAAATGGAGAAAAATATTTAAAAAACTTAACAATAAAATGCAACCCTACTTATAGCTCTACTTTGACTAATTTTGACAAAATAACTGTGTTTGTTTAGATTTCATGAAAAAATTAGGCAGAGCAACTGTACCTTTTAAACTGTTGCCTTTTAAATCTAAATGGCCACCAAGAAACCAAAAGTATTCAATTTACAGTAACTCACACAGAGAAGCAGCAGTAGGAAATAAATTTTCCACCCAAGCTGATGAGGAGCACATCATGTTGATGAAAAACTTAATTTAAAACAAGGGCATTCAAGGTTCAATTTAGAGACTTCAAGTAGTCTGATTGCTGTTGACTTAAATATTTACCTGTTTTTGCCTTTTCAAATCTTGAAGGTGGATCATATGAGGATTCAGGTAAAGGTGGAGGTTTAAACATAGGAAACATCTTGGCATGACGATGTTCCTCTCTCATCCTCATGTCATGCATGAGTCTGTCATCAAAGCGTTCTCCAGGCCTAATTTGTCTGACACGTGCTTTGTACCCTGAAAGAATATAAATAACTTCTAAAATACCGTAACCCCAATTTTAATGTCCCAAAATTTAAAATCTAGGATTTAGATCTCACCCCATAAAAGCCAGACCTATACATTGGCCATAAAGCAATGGGTCTGTAGTTGGGTGTATATGGGGGGAGAGAAGTGAGTATTAAACAGCTGTTAAAAGGCAATACAAACATATGCATGTCATCAGGTTTAAACTGCAAAGACTCCCTCTTATCATACATACAGGTCTATGCTCGTCACGTCTCATCGTTTCTTATAAGTAATTGCCCTATTTTTAGCTCTCATCAAATAATTGCGTCAAACGGTAAAGCTGGAAGTAGCTTTTGTGGTTCAAGATCAAAAGTTGTTCCGCTGATCCACGTTCCTTCGATTTAACTCAGGCTACTTTAAAAGAAAAATGAATTTAAAACCATTTTAGACATGGAAAAGGCATCCACTAGGTATCACATCAAAAGCAATGAGGCAATAAATAAAGTACTTCGAATAAAGTCGAAATGAACCCATCGGAGAAGCAGATGGTCTGTGAAACCCAGAACTGAAGAATCGAGTCGACTTCAAATCTTTTTAACAAGGTTTTTTTCAAAATAACGTTCCCCAAATCGTATCAGTTCGAAAAACGATACACTAGAAATGGCACAGGGTCTAACCCCTCTGAAGATGCAGCAGCGAGGAGCAAAAGCTGGAAGGTGATCGAGCAACTCAACAGAATTAGAAAGGTAGTCGTAACTTTCCGCTTCAATTTTTTCTCGTTAATCAAAAAAACAGAATTATTAACAAACCTGCATCTCGTGAAAATGATTGCTCGTCGGTACTTGAATTCTGAAAAGTGATCGCAGACAAAAAGACACCGACTACCACCATGTACGCCAGGGCATAGCAGACGAATCTCCAGATATGGTTCGAATCTTCCTCCGTATTTTCGTCTTCCACCTCAACATCGGGAAATGGAGCTTCGATTTGGTCCTTGCTCAAGAGCTTGACCTTATCCTCTGAAGTACCCATCACAAAGAGCGCTCACAGGTAGGCTGTGTTTTAATGTTTCTACGCTTAGTCGCTCCTCTATTTTACGAGAAGTTTTCTGTTCCAGACTTTCCTGTTTCTTAAAACTTCAGTTCATTGGTCAAAGTTTGAACCAATCAACAACGGGCTCTTTGTATCAACCGAGAGTCGTTATGGGTAATGGTAACTAAAAACATGGCGGATATCAACGCTAACAACTTTGGAATGCTAATTTTAAAGTTCTTTCACTATTTCTAGCCCTTTGGTAACCGAATTTATACTTACATACCGGTTAAACTACTAACTGGTCTTCAGCTGTATTCTAACAATGCGACAAAAAGGCGGAGAATTCATGTGTGAATTGTTATTGTCCACTTGACTACAAACAACTTTCGGTATTGGTGTCCTGGTCAAATTCAATTTCATGCTTTAGAAACATATTTTTCGGCAATGGCAGAGGACTTGTCAAGCTTCATTGAATCTCAGAAGCGGAAGCTTGAACAGGAAAGGGCCGAAATGTTACGGGCTCAAGAAAACGAGGTAAAAGCGATATTTTGACGACAATTAATTTATTTAAGTTTTCTGAGCTATTTTTAAACTTTTAAGTTTACAACAACTGTTTTTCGATAAGCATTTGCAGCTGTACGTTAATGGTTTGAAGGCACTGTGCCTGATAGTCTTAATTTTTAATGATGATTTTACCAATAACGTAATGCGCACAAATTATTGACTTTGGGGAAATGGAAATTTTGTTTAAGTACGTGATAAACCACTTTCAGCCGGATACTTTGTTTAGCAGCCTCATCGAGTGCTGCATTTAACCAGCTGTTTGTGTGGTAAACAAATAATGTATTTTCGCAGACTGCAAGTTACAATAAGTTGTTTTGCCCTAGGTGCCTGTAGTGATGTAGTAGTTATAACCAAGTACCATTTTAGAATTACACTTAAAAATTGGAAATACAATAGCTATTTTGTTCTCTCTAAACCTAAAGATCAGGACCCAGTTGTTTGAAGGCTGATTAGTGCTAATCCAAAGTTAAATTTTAATCTGGGTTTATTTATTCCTTTATTCAAAAGCCTTTTTGGGATAATTTCTGGTCTTCTTTTTAGAGCATCAAATAATTATAATCTAGGCAAAAAGAATTCGACTGAATTTTCTTCTAAGCTATCAGATCTGAAATCAGATTTCACACTAACCCTGGGTTATCTTAACCCAGCTTTGAACAACCCAACCCACATTGTTATCTTGCAGTATTTTACACATTTGACACTGGGGTTGAAAGATGAGAGAGTCAATGACTCAAAGCACTCTGAACATGTACTTGTTCTTTTCTTTCTTTATTACTCTTAACTTATACCAGACTGTATTTTTTTATATGGCCACCTTCAGCTGAGCAACAATAATTTATAGATGTAGAGTCGTTATTCAGATGATAGCTTTCAACAGAATTGTTTTTATATCTTGTTATAGGACCGTAGCAGAACAAGTCCGAGAGGATACAAACCTGATGACAGGTATTGTCAACTGTAATCTGAACTTGGTTATATGACACTAATGTGATGTAATTACCTTCTCCTTCATGCCTATAGTTAGGTCTAACAGGTTTTTCCTTCTAGTACTTTGCAGTCAATATTTTTTTGGCTGCAAAGTTCCTTTTTGACCTCACTTCCTTTTGTATATTGATTAAGGATAATTGATCATGACTTTCTCTCATAAGGATGCCATGAACCTAAAAAATGAAATGAAACCCTTGTTTCTTTTTGTTGGGGTTTTTAGCTCAAAACAAAAATTATTCTGGAATCCAGGGCTAAAATTTATGTCCTCTGGAATAGTAGGGCTCCCAGTGTTATGCTCACTTCAAATTGTTATCTTGATTTTATTGGAAGAGTCACCTTAATGGTTGTTATCAGTGAGAGTAGCTATCAAACATGCAGAAATCTAAGAAGATTAGAACAAGAATAGCAGGAAGACACTGTGGTGTATTTTTTTGTTTATTTACTTTATTCTAAATTTTTTGATTAAAACAATTGTCAGTTGTGTCATCTCATCTTTATTTAGGTATGGCCAAGTGGCTCCTACTCCAGCATCTGAGTCAAGGACAAAGGCTAAAGGTAAAATGTATTTCAACCATGTGCCATTTATAAGCATTTTAGCCATTTGCATGGCTGTAAGACATGTATGTGTATTATCTTATCTTACATTTAACCCTTAAACTCCCAGAAGTGATTCACATGTAACTTTTACCTATGATATTCGTTCACTATCCAGCAAACTGGTTGTGAGAGTACTCAAATATATCAGGTAGAAGTTGTTATCTTGATCTAACACCAGATGCTCGTGACTAATTCACAAGAAAAGGAGTAGCAGCTAGAGGGGAGAATTAACAATCAGATCTTGGGGGTTTAAGTATTTAGTCTGATTATGAGAAGTACACCTGTAGATGATGGAGCTTATCCCAGGTCTCCTGGGCTGAAGTAGCTTGGTCTGATTGACCAGATTAACATTGACTAGAATGGTAGTTTTTGTCTGTTAGAATTGTTATCATAAAGTGTCATTAATAATTTTATTACTATTGCTTTTTTCAGTAACAACCCCTGAGAAAGACAATGGTGTAGGAGGCCTGAAGCTAGGAGGTTATGAAAAACACCAACAGAGGTTGCGTCAAGAGAGGAAAGAGGATTATAGAAAATATTTGGCAGAGGTAAGCATCAATTTGTCTGATAGAGAGCTTTTGAATTAAGTGACTACAACAGCCAGTTTAACGAGGGGAAATGTTACTAGGAACCAATGAGAAATCAAGCAGAAAACAAAGTTTTGTTTAAGTTTTGTCTGATGGTTAAGAATGTGTAACAAGTTTTCTTAACTAGCACAGACGGAAGTAAAGTAAAACCAACACAATTCTAGACTACTCTGGGACTCAACTGACAGTTCCTGGCTGTGTATGAAATTATAAATTGAGAACTCTCTTTTCCAACTTCTTCTCATAAACTACTATGTAATTACTATCAATTGGGTGAACTTGGTGTTGCCACAAGATGTGCCTTTCAGCTGATAGGTTTGTCTATTGTATTTTCTTTGGGCATTTTCTGGATATTGTATTGAAATTGAGAGGAGAAATTACATGCTAGTTATTTTGTGGAGTGACAGGGTTTAGATAGACATTTTAAATCACCTCAGAACAATATGATTATTTTTCAACCTAACGTAATTAGTGATATTTAAATCAGAGTAATTTACTGGTCATGGTTGAACAATTTGTAGAAAAGCAAAATCTTATATCATGTGCACAAATTATTCAATGTAATAAAGAAGCCAAGTAACTTAATTTAAAGATATGGAAATTTTTTCACTGACTAAGTTTATTGTGTTTTGCTCATAGAAAAACATCCGCAGCACAGGGAAAGCTAGCCCTGCTTTATTGGACACCAACACATCCCCTTATCCTGGATACAAGTCACAGGGGGTTAGTGTTCTTGTAGTTTCCCTACTTCTTTTAATTTCTGGCTGAAACAACTGATCTTGAATGAATTTTGTCAACTGTTGTCAGTTATGTCTTTTACACAATTTATTAGTCAGTTCTCCTTTTGTCTGAGTGGTCATCGTTATAAATTTGGTTTTGTTTTTATGACACTTGATTGAGAATCACCCTAAAAGCAATATGATCTTCAAAATTTTATTTATAAATGTGTTTTGGATATTGAAAGCATGTTAAATAATACCAATTTTGTGAGATTTCTGGTTATGAGAATGGACAAGAATTTCCTCCCTTGCCATGAATAATGTTATTTTTAATTTGTTGATATACTGGTATTCTAAAACGTAATATGAGGGGTTAGGATTTGTAATAGTTTGGTACTAAGAAGTAGAACTAGAACATAGAACAGGAAAATTTATGTGTCACTAGAGTCTAAGTATGTGTGAAGGGAAGAATTATCTGCAACATTAATTTGTTCTCTTATTTAATTATTTCAACAACAAAAATCATTGATTTCTTGTCATTTAATCAACAACTTATGTTTTACATACTGTCACCCATGACCTTGTATTTAGCCTTCTACGGGGTACATGTGTTAATTTGGTGCTGACAGTTTCAGTGACTATCATGTGATATCAGAAATTATTAGATTTAGAAGGTTTTTTGTTGAATTCATTGATTAACATATTTATCACACGTTTTGTGAATTAGATTCTCTAAATTTGGGAATTAATAATATTATTAAGCTGATCACATTTAGTATAATGTCTAACCTAAATAATTAATAATCTTGATTATATTCCTCCCCCATAACATATTTGCATAATATCAGTTTTCCTTAGCAGGTGGTGTATATAATGAGTAAGAACCGACGAAAGTTTTCAACTCAACTGATTATTGTTTCGAGTTTAAATCTCAGCTTCAATTCATAAATTTTGGTGATGAAATAAGAAATGTTTTTTCCAGTTTAAAAGTCAAGAACTCAACCATCAAATCATGGCTTTTAAAGTCAGTTTGTTATTTATATTGATGGACATTGGACAATCATGGTAACTTTAGTCTTAGACTGAATTGTTAAAATGAAAAGGGGGAGAAAAATTGAAGCATTCATTTCATGGACTGGGCTCAGTTGGAGTTGTTAAAGGAAACTTGCCGAACTGTTGAAAGGTTTGGGCTTCTTGGTGGAAAACTAAACTTTCATGACAGCTGGCTTCACCTTTTGGTAAAGATTGTGAGCTTTTAAATTTAGTTGTTGTAAACTGGTGATAATTATTTCGCTTTGATAAAACAGAGGTTTAGATATTTGTGGGCTCATTGTGTTGCCTAAGTGATTATGTCTTATTTACCTTGACATCGGGCTTTTAATTATGAAAGCTTTCACACACTTATGTATGTCATTTAGCACTACTTATTCCCTATTATGATTGAAAGAATTCAAAAGTTTTGTTGCATGATATCTTTATCAATATCGAGATGATAAATACTGCTTCAATCTGACAAGATGTCAGGAATTTGTTAATTAGAGCCTTGAATTTACTGCATTTATTACAAATAATAATTTTACCAATTTTTTTTTTAGGAAAAGTCTTCTTACGCAATTATACCCCCCACATTCACATAATGGAAACAATTTAAAAGTTCTGAAATAAAATTTTATTCAAAGATTTGGTAGCAATTGTGTCAGAAGAGTTTAGATGGCAAGCTTCTTGCTTGTTAATTATTACTTACTTTGTATCACAAACAGCAAAATGAATTTTTTTATAAAATGATTGTAATTTTGTGATTCTCACAATTTTAACAAATTAAATTTATCTCAAGTTATCATTTGCCTCATTTCCTTAGTCCCAAACAAGGAGGGATGAATACAGGGATGATGATGACCCCCACAAAAACAGAAGAAGAGGAAAAGAAAACTATGATGTAAATGATATTTTTAAAATTAATATTGCCCTAAATACTTGCATCTGAGTGATTGCTCTAAACTATTTGGAACTATTTGATATCATTAACTGCTCACAGCTGTATAGATATATATAAGGCTAGAGTGATGAGCATATGTTTGGTTCTTACTATGGTTTTTCCTTCACAGGATTTGGAAAGAGCCCATGATGTCAAAGACAGAGGTAAAAGTCTGATTTGCCAACAGAAGTAACTATTTAATAGCTTTTGTTCTCTTAAACAAAAAATAAGGTACATTCATTTAAAAATGAAGAAATGCTAAAGAATTTTTCTAATAAGATAATTTATGTAATTATCTAGAAAATAGAAATTCTCTAACCAGTTCTAGGTATTGGTAATTAATAGAGATGTCAATCAAAGCCATTACTGGTGGTCATTGCTGCCTGTAAGACCTCTCATTGCGGTTTGTTTAGCCTGCAAGCAAGCTCTTATTGCCACCTATTTCACCTTTGGCAGTTGCTCATTGAAAAAGTTAATTTAATCCTCTAACTCCTAAGATCTGATGGTTAATTCTCCCCTCTAACTGTCTCACATTTCCTTGTAAATCAGTTGTGAGAATTTGGTGCTAGATTAAGATAATAACTTCCACCAGATATATTTGAGTATTCTCATAACCGGTTTGGTGGATGGTGCATGGATATTGTAGGGAGAAGTTATTTTTGATCACTTCTGGGGGTTAAAGGGTTAAACCTTTGTGGTAAATTAACTCACCCATGCTAATACTTTTTATTGGCTTCATTCTAGGGGAAAACAGACAACCAAGCAACTTGTTTGAGTCCTATGAAGATATCTTACAAAGAAAGCGTGCCCAAGAGAGAAGATATAGGTGTGAGCTCTTACTTACTCTACATTGTGATTCTCTGCATAATTCTGTTTTGGGTTTGATTACAAAAACCAAGATTTTTTTTCTTGATCATGGGTATTAAAACAATTTTTACCTTTCTCTTTGGTATTACAGAGGTTTTGATGACTATGATTCTGGACCAGAAAGGTAAGTTCAGAAATTTTAAGTTTCCTTCAGTACATGCTGCTGTCAATTAACAGTTGGTTTATATCAGCATGGGCCCATAGAGATATGAAGGGCAGGGGTTGCTTGGAGAGCAGATGTGCGAGAGTTGCTTAATATGTAGCTGTCACATTATTAATTAGTTCATTTAATTAAACCTTATCATTTACTCTCTGTCTCCTTCAGGCCCATGAGACTGAATGCTCCACAGTATAAACAGAACTCAAGAAGTGATGGATATCTTAGTCGGAGATATGATGATGATGATGATTATGATGTAAGATACTAAATTTGTTTGGTTTAGATTTCAAACATGTACTGTTCAGTTGTGTGATGGTCACAATTGTGATATAAACAACGTCAACTGTATGAATTTGATTAAATTCTATTTTATTCACGCTATTCAAAAATTCTGTTTTTTTTTTACGGTCTCACAGAGTTTCAGTAGGAATCGACCAAGAGCTAGGAGGGAGAAAAGCTTTGAATCAAAGTAAGATAAAGTTATGTTGCTTAATAGCCATCTTGCAATTTGAAATAAGCACCATGATATTGGGAGGTAAATAGTCACTGGTAAAATTATAATGATGTTCAGTAACATGCTCAATTTGTTGTTGTTGTTGCTGTTGTTGTGTTTTTTGGTGGTAGAGAAGTGTGCATATCATGAAAAGTCTCTCTTAGGATTGATAGTTGGGGAGTAGGGATGGCAAAGTAGTAAGTTAGAGCATTTGTCCCCCATCACTATGACCTGGGTTTCCATTCCTGCATGGACATGGCATCACACATGAGCTGAATTTGTTGTTGGTTCTTGTCCTTGCTTTGAGGGTTTTTCTCTGGGTCCATCCTCCCATGGTAAAAACATTTTAAATTCCAATTTGACTTGGAAACAGTGGACAAGAAAAGCCACCTTGCATTGTGTAATGTCCATTGCTTAATTTCCATTCCCATTCTCATAAGCTGATTTCCTTTCTGTTTGATTCCTCTAGGCGTGTTCGTTTTCATGGTGATGAAGATTTGGATGATGAGTAAGGTCTTTTTGTTACTGCCAGTCATTAATTACCTTGAAATTATAGTACCTGCAAGTAATTTGTTGCTATGACTTTTCCAGTGTTGGGATTTTCCTTTTTTTTTTAAAGATCCTATTTAGTAAAAGAGAAATATTCCAAATTACTAATAAACTAAGCCTCAGTTTTTTAACTGCTTGCAGCAACTGGCTTCTTGTTTCTCCTCATGGTACTACCCTAGAATCAAATGTAAAGGTCATGAGGAGAAAGGAAACAATCACCAACCAGAGAAGCTCTTGATTAAAATTAAACAAATTCTCCTTGTCAGCATATCAGAGATAGTAGAGAGAGTAGTAAGGAGAATATACACACTCATGTTAGGGTATAAAAGGTTGGGGATACCTCATTTAATTGGGTTTTATCTCATTCTTAGTGCATGGGTCAAGCCTAGAAGAAAACTTGATTATTATGATGATGAAGATGAAGAAGAGGAACTTTTAGACTGGGTTTGTATTTTTAATTGGTTTTTATTTTCTTTTATCAGGTTAATTCCTAACCTCTCTGCTAAATATGATTATGGAATTTGTTTTGAGTGTACTGAAACAGATATGTCCAGAAATGCATGCAGTGATAAATCAAACCAAGCTGGTTTTGCTTGAACATGTTTGACTAAAATTCATCAAAACCGTCAATTCTGACTAAAATTTGCCAAAATCTTCAAATCCATGAACATTCACCTGATTTGATGAAATTTTGTCAAATCTGCCATTTTCTTTAATGTGTGCATTTCCGGACATGTACTGAACACGACACATTACCTTCTTGTGTGGTTAGATGAAAAGAAGAGGAAAAAGACCACAGAGGAGAAATAGTGCTCATCTGCCAGAAAGGTAACTGTGTTAATGTGTTAAGTTCAACCTATAGTTACTCTGGTTGGAGTGCTGAGCTAATACTTAATATCTAAGTAATGTAAATAAATGACTTGCAATGCATTTGTCGCAATATTTCAAACAATTGTCATGTAGTAATTACTCAAAACTATCACAGTGACTTTTTACTCTGTAGTTTTTGATATGATTGTCTTATGTCATGTTAGAATTTAAGTAAAAGACTAAGTTGTAATTAGTTTTTTGGCGTAGTAACCTATGTGGGATATTTGGCAAATGATGATAAATCACTTGTCCTCATCCTGGGAATTACAAGACTTTTTGTTGGTCTCCCGACATGTTGTGAGGGTTATTAGGTTTAAGCATTCTATTGAAACTCAGTTGTATTGATTTGTGTTAGTTTTCTTTGAATTTCCAGGCACAATAAATGATTGATACTTTCTTATTCAATTAGAGCACTACCTTGAAGAATCTTTTTTAGTTTGACTGAGCAGGATATTGATGTCTGACAGTGCAGCCTAGTTGGCTGTGCAGTACACCTCAGTTTAAAGACTGTTGATGCCTAGCATTTCTTTTAGCTTCTTAAATTGAATTCTTGTTCTATAAAAACAGCATGTTACCCTTTTTGCCTTTTAGAGAACCTCCACTGGATGAAACACTCCAGAGAAGCAAAACTGACACTGGTATCAGGTCACATTCTGCCCCTCTTGAAGGAGCTGGAATTATTGGAGGTAAACTGCCTGATATTAAAATAAGATAAGAGTTTCAATTACTGTTTTGTGAAAAAATTATCCAAGACTGATGATAACACTAATCCTATGAGTATTTTGAAGAATAATTGTTTCTCTCACGTTTAGTCACTTCTGATGTTGATTGCAATCCACATCTCAGCTTCATCTTGGATATTCACAGAGCTAGCCATACAGTTATATCAAATATTATTTAAATCCTTTGTATGCTTTCACTACAACTAAAAGTGGATCAAGTGATAAACAAGGTTGTTTGATAACTTCAGGTTCGCAGGAATCAAAGGTAGATAAGGCCAAGAAACAGGAGCAGTATAAGAGGGAGCTGCAACAGCAAATGCAAGAGCAGGCAAACATCAAAAAAAGGTATCTTGCACTCTTGTTAGATTAAAGTGTCATGACTGGAGTGGTACATTGTTGCAGGTGCATAACATAGTTTCTTTGGCATGAAGCAAGCTAAGGTGGAGTTGGGTTACCCTCCCTTCCCTCTCCTGGACTAGATGGATGGAAGTCAAAGTAGGCAGTTACACAACAGTTTATGAAGATTCCTTAACCCTTTCGCTCCCAAGATCTTATTAGCAATTCTCCTTACTGTCTGCCATACAATTCTTTAGATTTTATTCAGAGAATTTGGTATTGGATCAACTAATAATCTTCCTATAGCTATTTTTCTTTATTTTTATCACTTGCCTGCTTGGTATTGACATTGAATCTGATTGTGAGGAGAAATTCTGTCTTGGTTACTCATGGGAGTTAAAGGGTTAACTGTTTAATTGGGATAGGAAGAAGCACTGTGTAAGGCTTGTGTCCTGCTCAAAGTCACAACACAGTGACTTGCACAGGGTTTTAACCTAGACTCCTCTATCCACCGAGAGTGCAATGAATTTGTTGACTGAAATTATGATACTTTTCAAATAATGTATTTATCAGCAGCTAAAGGTGAAAGGTTGATCCATATAGAGATGTATGCCATGTGCATAGTTTCTGGAACCAAAGATACGGGGAAGCTTTTTATTTCTCAGTGATTTATTGTTTCTAGATCCATGATTCTATGTTTCATTTTCAGAGAAAAACTGCTTCATTTGGGAGTTGAGCAAAATGACAGTGGGCCAGTGAACTCACAGGTTATTATTGTCTTTATTTCAGTTTTTGCATTGTTCCTCTACAATTGCTGTTTATATAAATTGTTGTAATCATTCCCTCTTCCTTGTTTTTTTTCCTGAATACACTGGTATGTACAATGGATGTGTTACAACTAATTTGTTTGTGTTAATTTAATTTTTTTCTCAATGAATGACTCAAATTCTTAAACCAAGAAAAATGCAGTTAATCTAATTTGAAATCATGTTAATCCTTTAACCCCTAGAAGTGATTTACAAGTAAATTCTCTCTGCAATTCCAATATGTTTATTGCAAACAGGTAAGGATAACAAACAAGCTTAACAGCTAGAGGGTGTTCTCTTTAATACTATTTGGATCTTGCAGCTAAAAGGGTCAACCTGAATTCCAACCGTAACCTACAACAGATACTTAATTAGTTTCAAGTCATGAGAATGTTATTTGCTCAGATGAACATGGTTGTAAATTCAGGAACGTAACCCAAATTTTGAATTGCCCGAGGGGAAAAACATATGTTTAGTTTATTCATTTTTAATTAGTTCTAGAGGTTTAAAAAATCAATTTTTCTTTCAGCTTGACAGAACCCCCCCAAATACCAATAGAAGATCACATCCTCCTCAGTCACAAGGCTATGACACATCCCTAGCCAACTATGGACCTAGTTCCAGACCACCTCCTCACCCTGCGATTCACTCAAATCCTTACGATGACCCCTACTACTATTATGGGTCTCTAGAAATGGGGGCTCCCCAAGCCCCTTCATTGAATGGGCCTTTGGATTCCAGAAGAGGTCAAGCAAACAGGGGAGGCCTAAAGCTGGATGGTGGAATGTCTGAAGGTAATTTAGGTCTTTTTTTGTGTAAATTTTCATATTTTTAGGAGTTGTTATTGGGAATGAATTGGGTTATTGCTATTTTATGTGGCAAATGGCATATAACACGTCTCTGTCTATTTTGGTGATAGATTGGAATGCAATTTTTTAATTAACAATTATTCACCAAAGTGGTGAATATTTACTTAGCTGCAAAGTAGTGAGGTAATATCCACCTCTTTCATTCAGGGGAATAATCATTTTGGTATATACCACAGAGATACAAAAAAAATTAGTGTATTTCTTTCAATCTACCAAAAAATGGTTGGAAATTAAACTCTTGGTGTGCATTTTTGTGTCATAAGCTGCCTATAGATTAGTATTTGCTATTCACTTCCGAGCTAGCCAATCAGCACTTGGGAAAAGCACTATTCACTTGACTGTGTGGTATGTACTAAAAAGCAACATAATGTGAAAACAAATTAATATTAATTTGATATTGCTTTGACTTTATGACACAGGTGCTCAAACTAGGGATGCACATTCAAGAAGGGACCAAGGTATTGGAATGCAACGTCTATGGTGTAGAAATTGTATGATCCACTATAATAATGATTTGATTAATTTCATTAGTCTTCAGTTGTGAATTCAAAGATTATTGATTGAATCACAAGTCAAATATACAAATGTAGAAATTTTCTGTGTCTTAATTTATTTTGAACATGCTGTTTAAGACTGCTCACTTGGAGCACACTAGGCCATCTTTTGAGTGCTGTAATTATTCTATGATTTCAAATGATTAATTTGGAGTCATATCACTTTTTCTTGAGTACTGGTATGCTGATAAGCAATTATTTTTCACTAATCTGATTTATTGTTGCAGGATACACCACTCCTGCTCCATCATCCTTTCCCCAGGGGAATGAGGGTGAGTTAAGCCCTCAGTCCCGTCTGCAGCCCCCTGGGGGTTATAGTAGTTTTGGAGCAGGAAGTGACGATCCAGCATTGGTAGACAAGAAAAAAGCTGCTCAGCAAGCCTATCAAGAAGAGTTAAAGAGACAGGTATTTGACTTGTGAAACTGTTTTGTCCAGTCAGGGCTAGAAATGAAGTGGGAGATGTTGTGGCTTAGAGTGTTAAATTCTGGTTCCTGAAAGCCATGGGTCAATATTTGTCTTTTTAACCCTGTAAGTCCCAATAGTGACCAGCATCTTATTTCTCCTAACAATATCACTGTCTGATCAAATGTACAGATCATAAGAATGAATGAAATGATCACCAAAGATGAAATGTCTCGATGTTTGAAAAAATTCTCTCAATAAGTAAAATAAGAAACATATGGAGAACAGTGTCAAGAATATACATGTTGATATCGGGGCTTAAAGGGTTAAGTGAAACTTAGAACAGTAGTGTGCCTCTTCACCTAGGAATTGGTACTAAATGCTGGCAGGTAACCTTTTTGACATACCATCCCAAGGGAAAGTGCAATACTCTTAACCCTTAACACCCTATCATCAGTTTACAGGTTCTCCATACTGTTATGTGTGCACTACCTTAGATGGTTCTTACAGAGAGAATTTGCATAATATTTGAGAGCCTCTTGACCTTGCAACCATTTCCTTTATTCGTATGACCTTGATGTTTGATTCAGGGGTGATACTGTTGAGAGAAATTAGATGCCTATCACCCTCAGACATTAAAGGGTTACTAATTTGTTCATTCTGGGAAACTTGGATATCTTTGGGGGGAGTTATTCACTGTACTCATGTGCAGGTGTTGCCCTTACATATTAAAGGTGGTAATTCTTAAGCTTATCAACCCTCTATTTTTCAATCAGATGTGAGGTGGGTTGAAACCCAATTGTGACTTGGTCTAATACTTGCCAACTCCCAGCTCTAATTAAAGGTGGATTTCACAAATGTAACAAAAACAAGAACATAACTTAGAAACTCAAATTTGTCAACTCGCATCAGTGTGAAACTTGCTGAAAACATTTAGATGGCCCTATGAAAGGGAGACCTTTAGCCAAAAGGTCTTAAAAGCAAGAGACTGTGTGGCGATATTTAAGAATTTCCTTTACTTTTAGATGCAGGAAAGAGAAGTAAAGAAGCGAAAAGAAAAGGAGGAAAAGGAGAGGTCAGGCAGCACTGAAATTCTGGGTTCAAATCTTAGTTTTAGAAATCTGAGTGTGACTTGTTAATCCTGGAAATAATTTATATAATAATTTATATGTTTAGGCAAATGTTTTTGGTTTATCAGATATGACAGGAAGATTGAACAAGAAGCAGCTAATTACAATCCTTGGGGTAAGGGTGGAGCCGGTGCACCCATAAGAGATTCTGGAGGACAACTTGTTGGTAAGCTGGTTATTTAATTGGAGCCTGTAGAGGTGGTAACTAGATGTGATGGTATCTGTCAGACTAAGTGTCTTTTTACTAGTTACTAAAAAATCACACAAAACCTTGTTATCTGTTACAGCCAGTTTTGTGTGGAAGGGTCGTTAACTTTATACCCAACCCACAAACAGAAGAGTATAAGGATTGCACTTTTTCTTATCTTCAACCTGTCCAGCTTTTCTTCTGGCAAAACTTCTTTTGAGAAAGAATTGTTAGGTGCCTTAAAGCTCTTTTCTCTGAGGTGCCCACCTCTAAAAGTGTGTCTTGAAATGCTTCCAGATACAAGGCTCTACTAGAACACAGTTGTAAATTAATTGAAGTGAAACAATGATAGAGGAGTGGTCATGGGCATTTATTCAGTCATATTTACCCCAGTCAGCTCACTATTTCATAATAGAAAGGCTGTTAGAAGTTGGTTTATTACACTGAGATGCTATATTTCTTTTTCTAGCAAACTTACGTACTTTAAAGCAGTATAATGATGAAGGAATAAATGTCAGCCCTCGGGAACAACCGCCTCCAGTAGAAACCAGGTTTGATTTATCAGCACCAAGTGTTCCTTACTTATCCCCAAGACAAAGAGGGAACATTCAGACCAGTCCAGCACCAGCTACAGGTATTTTTTTAAATTTTATTTTGAAATTCCAAACTAAGACAAGCCATGGTTTTGGAAATATGAGGTACATGTAGCCTGCAATAACGGTCTCATAAGTGATGCAGCACAAAAATGAGTCAGGACCCAGACCAAATCCTTTGCTAGTTTGTTTCTCTAGCAGCTTGGCTACCTGAACCGCAGTGCCTATGAATGTTTAAAAAATACACATTTTGTGTAATTGAATGGGTATGAATAAATGGTATTAAGTTTAACCCAAAGATTGAGGAAATGGTAATTCCACTCTTGGCAAATGAAAACATATTAACAATCCTACTATTCCTCTTAGTTTGCTTGGCATAGCATAGGTCTAGCACTGTAATTGTTACTACCTTCAGATTAAAAAATATCATGTGTTGAGTTATGCCTGTAGTAACTGAGTGATTGGCTGTTCTAGCTATGAACGATACAGTAATACAGTTAACAGGTACTGTCAGTAGAAATTCCCATGCACTCATTGGTCAAGAACTATGATTATCAATAAAGTTATCAATAATAAAGATGGCATGAAATGTAATTCAACACCCAGCAATCCTTTCTATGTTGGAGAAAACATGGCACTCAAAATTTCTGAAATGGGGACAGTGACTTTACAGAGAAACCTCTTGGCTGCCCCTCATGGTTTCACTTAAGTTTTGAACATTGTTGAGGTCATTTAAATGATCAATAAGGTTACAGGCAATGAAAAATTGTGGTCCATCTGATATATAATTATTTCACCTAACTGTGTGCAGTTGCTTTCATTCATGATATTTTTATTGTTACGTACTTCATTCATGATATTTTTATTGTTCATTAGACTTATCTGGAAATGGACCAAGGACAACATTTGGAAGGTCTGATCCCCTCAAGGAAGCTCAGCCACAGGTAGGAACATACCTATATACATAAGCATTCCATGAATATGTAACAAATCTCTTTTCAGTATCAAAACTTTGTCCTGCTGTGGATATTATGGATGCCTGCTAAATGTCACTCTCTCAGAAAAGTGTGCCATGATTCCTTCATGCTGTTTATCTTTGTGAGTTGAGAATATGTACAGCTGCTGTTCAAGGAATCTTTTAACCCTTTTACTCCTAGAAGTGATTAACATGTTACTTCTCCTTGCAATTTTAATAACCCATCATGTAAATAGGTTATGAGAACAGATGATGTTATGGTGTAATTGGGTTAGGTGTACTTCAGGGCTGATATCAATATTCCTTTTGTTATAAGGATGATCTCAAAAGAGCAGCCAAACTGGAGTACCAAGAGCATCTTAAAAAACAGGTACTTTTAATTACAACAATGACTGTGTAATTCAGTGCACAATAATGTCTAGTTTTAATTTTGTGAGCAGCAGTGCCTGAAGGTGGATATGAAAGTATATTTTCACCACTATTTTCAATTTACAGGTTGAAGAAAAGGAGAAAAAGAAAAAGGAAGAACTTGAGAAAATAAAACGAGAGGAAGAAGAATTGGTAGGATATAATTTAATAAATAGAATAAATAGTCATCACCAATATTCCGCTAAAAATATTATTTTTCCCCAGTTGTTAAAAACCCTCACATGTCGTAAAATGCAAGCAGTTTATGCTTTTCTTTTTGTTTTGACTTATAACTATTTAAATATATCAACTTCTCAGGATCCTTTTTTCTCCTGAATCTTGAAAGTCAATTTTTAATTAACCCTTTCACTTGTCAAGTCAATTTTTGTTTCTGAGAATTATACAATTTCTTGTTAGCCTTCCCTAAGAATCTGTTTTTTTTTTTGTTTTTTTTTTGGAGACAATATCATGTACTTGATTGTTTTCTTTATTCTCATTGTTTGATTTGTGGGACACATGATTTTTGAATAATTCATATTTCCTTTAGGAAAAAAGAATAGCAGAGGAAAGGCTAAAGATGCAGAAAGATTTTGAGGAAGAGCAAGAAAAAACTCGAAAGAAAGAAGAGGAGGTACTCAAATGTGCAGTATCTGCTTCTAATGATTGAATTAATTTTTTAAACTAATTATTAAGGTCACTTAGTAATAAATCATGAGCCTTTACCAACTGCAGTGGATTCAGCTGCTCTGCCTATTATGAATGCTAATTTAACACTTTTGTGCCGTAGGCAAGATTGAAGAATGAACAGATTAAAGAAGCTCAAGAGGCAAAGAAAAGAGAAGCAGAGAAGAAAAAGAAAGAGATGGAGGAGCAGAGGCAAGCAGAGCTCAAGAGAAAACTTGATACTGAATTAGCAGCCAAAAAAGCTGCTGGTCAGGTGGGTGTGAGTATCATTTGTTGTTTTGTTACAATGTAACTAGCAGTATTTTAGAGAACTTGTCTCAAAGAGTGCTTTTAGATTGAGTGTCTTTATGGAAAAACTAAAGTAAATCCAATGGTGAAATAGGGCAATGTAAAATACTGTATAGAGCCAGGGAGAATCCATGGTAAAAACAAGATGCTGCCTGAAGTGTGGGAAAAATCAGGTGACTAGATTGTGATTGGTTTTGGTGCTGCATCTGATTGGTTTAGAGGGTGGCAAAAGTTTTCCATTGCAAAGTAAATCCAAACTAATTGAATCCTGGATGAATATCAAAAATCAATTTATAGTTACTCCTTAAAGTAAACCTAGTAAATCTAAAGTCAGTGGCTATAAAATGGCTGAGAAAGCCATGGGTTTCTTGTTCTTTAGTTGTTTTCAGGGAATTCATACTTGTATATGGAGGGTAAAAGGTTGAAATCTCTCGCACTCTCGCATACTGATGCTCACAGGCTGAAAGATATATATATGTATCTCCCTTTCAATGTCAGGAATCCTCAACACAAGAAAGAAGCAGTTCACCTCCCATCCCCACTGTCCTCAAAAGAATGGAGGTATGTACAGTTAAGCTGGCAAAGGCTGTGTTTTAATTTTATTAATGTTAACTTTTAACATTGTTTATCAATGGCCTTAACTAATATTTTGTAACAACTTTGTCTGCTTGTTGAATTTCCCTGGAGATGTGGGTCCAGGTAAGGTAGCATGTCTGAAGCATTTTGAGAATTTTCTGTACCTTAATTTGCTTGTGAAAAGAACATGGGTTTAGGTTAGCACACTTTTGATCCCTTTTGATGAAATGTTTCACTGAAGCTGAACACTCTATCTTCTTTTCCTTGTTTGAGTAATATACAAATTCAAAATTATTGCTGTGTAAAGAAAGTTGGTAGCAAGGAGAAATTGTGTTTTGTTGTCATACCTTAAAAGAATGTTCTGATTTTCCTTCCTTTAGGGGGATGGTGATGTTACAGCTAACTTCAGGTCATCATCACCTCCAATTCCAGCAATAGCTAACAAACAGACACCACAAAATACAAATGGTGAGAAGAAATTGATGCATATTATGAAAAAAAAAATTAATGTAATTCTTGCTGCATAGTGTTAAGGAAAGGGTTATGTTCATAAGAGAATGGAGCCTTCAAATGTTTTTCTTGTTGAGCAGACTTCACTTAAAATTCAATTTTAATTTTTTTTCCGAAGTTAAAAATTTGAAAATGTCTCCCAGGGCTATCAGTAGCAATCAATGGATCTTATAACATATTAAACTTGTATCATTATTTTATGAATTTAGGGTATGTTGCAGGATCTACTCCCCCTCCATTGCAGGCCAGAAGAGGGCCAGGTATGATTTTTATTTACTTTATTTCAGATCAAAATTGTTTTAACCCTAAACACCCTAACATGGGTCTACAGATTCTTTGTACCATTTTCTTTACATTTCATATGGAACTGACAAGGAGAATATGTTTAGCAATCAAGAGCTTCTTCAGTTAAAGTTTAATTTTTTTTTCTCAAAGAACCTGTCAGGAGAGATACACCAGATAGAGATGTCCTCAGTCAGCTGACAGCACTCAGGCAACAGCTTAAAAATGAAGAGAAAAGAGTGCAGCAGCAAATGGATCATTCTACAGCTGTGGTATGATTTAATGTCATTCTTTTTTTTTCCCTGTCTAACTTGAAGTGCACCTGTATGTGCCACACAGTTGTGTTTGTACGATTTTGAAGATGTGTGTCTCTGTTGGAAACCATTATATTTGTAAATGAAAAATCTATTAAATCTATGCACAAACATGATGCTATCAACATTGCTGATCCTAGCAGTATGCAGGACATTTGTCATATGAACCTCCTAATAGACCTCGCTCACAACAGAGTCTCTGTGTCTTAGCAGCAGAGCAACAGAGTGCACATTTTGAAGGTCTGAGGTTTGTTTCCTCATGGAGACTCAGAATTTTTTCTTTGTCTCATGCTCATGACAAGACTAACCTGTATCAGTAAGACCTACATTAATACAAGCAAAACTAAATTCAAAGCTACTATTAATGGTGATTAGAGTTATTCTTATCAGAACTAGAGGTTGTACGTTATTCATCTCCAGGCTAATCCCCTATATTTTGAAAAAAGTATATTTTGATGCAAATGGGGTCATTAGTTTTTTAGTGCCAAGAGTGAGGAGAAAAATTAAATTTTTAGCTTTAAACATAAACACATATAAACTAAGTTTGATGGCCTAGCTTTGATAAGTCTCTTAAAGTTTAGTATTAATGTACTTATCAAGAGTTACATCTTATTCTGCTGGCAGCATTATGGATTGTTTTTTTTTTGTACTGAGTATACTTATGTCATTAACAAGAAAAATTCATGTTTTGAAATATGCTTTTCCTGTTGTCACAGAAAGGTTACTCTGAGATGCAGAGAGTTCCTGAAGACCTTGAAAGTAGAAGGTATACCAATGTTAGACTCACTAATTAATTATTAAACATGTGCAAGTTTATTCTTTTCCTCCAATTACACATATGGTTATACCTTTAAGTCCTTGAAGTGATCAACATGCAACTGATAGATAGTAACGTTATAAGGAAGATACTCGGAAGCAAATCATTTTTAATATTTCTTTCTTTTCACTGTTATTGTGCTGTTTCATCTTCTTAGAGTTAGAAGGGATGTTGATGTCTTTGATAGGGCTCTTGCCAACAAAACTGCTGTTGTAAAGAAAGATACTGAGGTATGATATAACTATTAACCCTTTACACCTGAACATCAGTATCTATATTCTCTATACTCTTCTCCGTATGTTTCTTTTGATACGGACGAGGAGAATTCAGTTAAGGATAAATGTTTCTTAGGTTGGCAATCATTTCCTTTATTCTCATGATCTTAATAAATGGTTTAGCTGTATTACTGTGAGGAGAAACTAGATGCTTGTCACTCCTAGGGTTTTAAGGGGTTAATATTATTATCATGGTAACCATAGATGAAATTTATGTGCAGTTTTTTCTTTGGAAAAAAATATCATTTGATGACTTTTTCATAACTAAAAAAATTTTTTTTGCTCTTTTTGCAGGGATTTTCAGCAGCTGATGAGTTTAACAGGATGAAATATGAAGGTAATTTACATTTTTCTTTCTTACATAGCATCCAATTAACTAGTATGTGTGTTCTAGATAATTGCAGGTTACAAAGTGTAGTGAGGTAATGATAAAATGCAAGTCAGAGAGTCAATTGATGTTTTTTCTTGCCTACTTATTGTTTATAAATTTATTTATCTTTCTGGTGTTTAGAAACATCTTCTCTTGCTGGGGAATTCAGAAGCAAGTTTCCAGAGCCAGTGTCCACTGGCAGTGTGTTAGATCTTCAACAACAGGCCTATCTCAGGTTAGCATTGACAGTGTAAAGATTACAATGCTAATGATGAGTTCATCGAACTGGTCTTTAGAGCTGATTACAGGTGGCAGATACAAACACTAGAGACTAATAAATGCACGAGTTTGAAAGACACTTATTCATAGTTGATAAAGTGTTAATTCATTTTTTGTGTTTCATCTATAGAGAACAAGAAGGCAAACTTGCAGCATTGAGATCAAGTGAGTGAATAACAAAATGCTGATTTTCACATAGCAATAATGTCATCTTAGTTGTGCCTCACTTTTATTTTAGATTTTTGGAAGAGAAACACAGATTTGCATCAATATATTAATAGACTTTTTCTCCTTTGAAAATGTGTTGGCTAATTTTGGTGCTATAACAACTTAAAATGTTTCAAAGAATAAGAGATTGGTTAACCCTTTGGCTCCAAAGAGTGACTAGCATCTAATTTCTCCTTACCATACCACCCCTGAATTAAGCATTTCGATCACAAGAATAAAAGAAGTGATAATCAACTAAAGAAGCTACTGATTGTTTAACAAATACTCCTTAGCAACACCTAAGGAAATGTAAAAAGAACAGTATGGAGAATATGCATTCTTATGTGAGGATGTAAAGGGGTAGGGGAGTGTGAGCTGGGTTGAGATCAATTTTTTTTTTTTGAGACCTGAATTTTACATCCCTAGTGTGAGATTGGGTAGGCACGTATTACTGCATCTAGTAGTGTCTTCAGTTGACAGTCATTCTTACTGACAATTAATGTATTGTTAACAGATCCCAGCAAAAGTAACAAACAGTCTCCTAGAGGTGGACAACCTTACCAAGTAAGTTTCTTTCATTTAAATTTTTCCCTTATCTTATTATCTTACAAAGCCTAAATGCAAAGTATTTAGATTTAGCTTTTCCTATACTGGATAATTCTCATTGACAGAATCCAACCATGCCTTAGAGTGATAATCGTATTTCTTTACTTGCACTGTTTGTAATTACCAATTTGCCACTAATAAGTTAAAAGTATTGTTTTAAAGCTGTGAGGGTAAATCAGAAAACTGCAATCATTTCCTGAGAGATTGATGTCATTGAGAAACCAAACCTTGGGAAAAACAAATAAGTGTGATTCATATGGAGAACGAGATTTTTCCATTAAATAGCTGTCTTTTAATCAGACCATGGATACCAAAGCTGATAGAAGTCTCCTCCCATTACCTATTGCGCCATCTAATGTTCCTCTATTTATAGTTGGCAAGACGTCCACCAAGTCGTGACTCTCTTTTGGAATCAGAAAGTCAATTCCTTGCTGTTGATGACCCAAAGCAACTGCTTCCAATAGAACAAATGGTATCGTCCAGGCCAAGGCAATCATCTGCCAGAGAAAGACGGAGATGGAAGCAACTTGAAGAAATGGCAAGAAACCCTAGAGTAAGAAAGTTTAAAGCTTGTCATGTTTTCCCAAGTGCCAATCACAGGTTTCCCTGTGACAGCTAGTTTGCCAGAGGGTGACTGTATCTAAAGGATGCTGTTTTTCATGTCATAAATTGATAGAACGAATTGTCATTCAAACCTGGGTTAGATTTGGGTGTGACAAATTTCATTTTCACCCTTAAAACAAATGTTTTCTGGATTTCACACATTGATCTAACAAACAGTTCAGCAAGGCAATAGTGGCCAAAGAAAAACAGCTATCCCTGGAACTTTGCAGATGCACTGTCACAGGAGTCCTTACTGTCTTTCAGTTTATGGTCTAAAATTTGGCTTGTGTTTTTAAGGTGGGCAGGTGTTGCTGGAAAGTTGTGTTTTGGGTGTCTCAGTTAATAGTTATCATTTCCTAGTTATGTCTCAAATTTATGATGAACTTACTTGCCAAAACCCTGCAAAGTAACCAGACTATGAGAGGAGTTCTCTGGCTTCCAACTCTACCATAGCTATCAAGGTGGTATGAAATTGCCTTCAGCAATTTAGACCTAAAATTACTCCCCACTAAGATGAAACAACCTTCCCTCTTATTTTGATACCAGGTTGTCTCCCTCAGACCATTATTACTCCTTTTTGTTGTTTTAATGAAGAATTAACTTAGTTTCCCGTTTTTAAACTGGCGAAGGCAAAAGGAAACTTTGAATTTAAACCATTCATAGCACATTATGTGACAAAATGGCACTTAATGTTTATTTTTCAGCCTCATGACACTTACAAGCCTCCAACCCCTGGTGGTTTCTCTTTAAATTCTGTCACAAGTTTTAATGTGGATGAAGTAGCAAATAAGAATGAGGAGAGGCTAAAAAGACTTGAACTCATCCAGCAAGGACATGGAAGCAGGAACAGCTTGCAAGGTGACCCTGATCAGGTCCTACAACGATTCATGGATGGTAGAAGGTAATCCACTGTCTGCCTTGTATATACTGTTTATTTGATTAAGAGAATGAATCTTTGGTTTTAACCAGAAGCTTAGTGCAAAGTTTTGAAAAGGCTATCATATTTTAACCTTTACAATATCAATACATAATCAAGCAGGCAAGTGATGAGAATAGAGAAAATTATCAAGTAGGAGATTTTCAGTTGATCCAACACCAAATTCTGTGATGTAACTTCATAAGAATTGTATAGCAGACAGTATGGAGAATTACTAATGAGATTTTGGAATTGTAAGCGTTAAGAAATGCTTTATGAGTATTTGTTTAAATTAAGTAGTGTTCCTAATCTGTTGTTTGCCTGTTTTTTTTCCCTTATCATGCAGTCGTCCTTCCGTCTTTGGCAGTAGACTGTCAGAAGCCTCACTTGAAGCAGAAACATCTTTTGAACCCATATGAAACCTGCATGGTCTACTACTCTAGCTGTGTGTCAAAGATCTTATCTCACCTTTATTCCTTTGCAAAGTCTATAAGTTTGTACTTGAGATAGCAGGCTAGCTTCCCTGCTAATTTGAGAATTTTCCCATGCAAACCCTTGCACCCAGATACTGGAATGAAACTTAATAGGTTGTACCTCGTTCATATCTTTACCTTAGCTAAAATTGCTGGCACATAAGATGAAATTGATCCCAAAAACTACAAGGCCTGGTCCATTCCAGGGTCTGATTTATTTAAGACCAAGATTTCTCTTCAGCAGGAGTACAGTCATGTGTGTGGAAAAAAGAAATATTGTCATGGCAACTCCTTCCTGTACTGTCACCAAATTATTTGGGGGGAGGGGTGGGGGCAACATTCATACAGTTGTAACATACTATGAATAAACTACAAAGAAGGTTTTTTTATATTGTTAACTACAGTTATATTACAAGGGAATATATTGAGTGAGTGCGTAATTTATAATGTTATCTAACTTCTCATGGGTCTTGTATCATATTCTTACTGCTTGTACATATGTATCTTTTTATACATGGTTTCCTTTCACTGAAATGCATATCTGCAGTTTTTATGAGGACAGATTATGATGTATATAGAACTGCAATGTGCAGTGATATTGTGGAGTGAACCTGCACAAAGCAATTGGTATTTTAACATGTCACAGGCAACTACAAATATTTATAACTTATAGATGTTAGGGACCTACAGGCTGGTTGTTCAAAACATGTTGAAGCTAATTATGGGTTAGTGCAAATTTATATCAGTGCTCAGTAGCTTTTATATTCAGGGTCAGTTCAATCACAAATGTTGGTCAAGGTGTAGGCTTAGGAAATCACTTAAAAGGCATGTGTAACTGATTGAAAGGGTCAACATTTTTCGCTTGCCTCTTACATGCATATGAAATTTACTTGTGAAATGATTGGGAAATCACATAAAGACTGTGCCTTAAAACATTGCAGAGGCCTGAGTACATGCAGATATGTGTCAAGCTTATTTAATGATTAACTTTGCTGACAGTATTACATTGTACTTTCCCCTAAAAAATAGCCCATACATATACTATTAGGCAAGAAATATCAAAATCTCCCTCCATACTCATGTTTTTACCAAAAGATTGAAAATTTCGGTATGAAGTTTGAGCCTTAGGAACTACCTAAGGCAATTTTTAGGTAAAATAGTTATTTCAGTCACATCGAAAAGGTGTCAATCTTATGAAGTGCTTGTTTACACATAAAGCTTAACATTGGATCTTAATAGAAAGGTCTGTGGGTAACTGTGGTTGAAAATAAAATGAATGAAATGATAAATCATAGCTCATATAGTACTTTCAATCAGTAATTTTAAGTTTTCCCTGAAGTTTGCCTTGTTTCTGTCTTGTTTGAAACTTCATGTCTTTTTCCAGTTGGCTTTCACATTACTAAGAAACCATGGAACCCAAAACAGTGTAAAGTAATGATTCAAAGAATTTTTTTCTGATGTGCATTAAAGGGGGTAAGTTTGTGGTGCTGGGTTGGTGAGAGAGTATAACAAGGTAATTTGGTATGATCAATGAACATGATGCCGTAAATTGGGTACTGTCAAGAATTTCGAAGCTGATGTTTTGAGCATTAGCCCATCCTCAACCCAGTTGATAATACCCAATTACCTTGATTTTTGCATCATTTGGTTTGATTTCTCTATGACTTTCTAGGTCTGGGAAATGAAATTATAGAATTCCATGACTTTCCTCCCCCTCTAACTTCTGTGAAACCTCTGGTAACTCATTGTCCTCCTGTCACTCATTCCTTTTTCCATTCCCAACCCACAGGTTGAAATGTTCTTAAAATTTTGCTAAAACTAGATTACAAGAACAAAGAAGATTGTTGGATTACAAATTTATTACTTAGGGTATATATAATGAGATTCAGCATTTACGAATTTAACAACTAATTTAATGCAATAATTACTTTAGCTTGATTATCAGGCAATCAGAGAATTCTCAGTCAACTTCCTCCTCTTGAGGCAAGGGAATTTAGTAGGCATTTACAAAATGTCAGAAAACTATGTGACATGTAACATGATTGTAGACAAGGCATCTGTGACACTTTGTAATATACATTCCTTCTAAGAATTACTGTACAATATTTACAGTAATTTAACAGGACCTTGGACATTTGTGTATTCAATACCTATTAAGTTTAATTTAAGATCTCTTTCCAACAGTAAAACCATAAAATTTAGATGCTCGCTGAAGTTTTTTCAAACACTTAAAGAACATAATTTATACAGTCCAGGTATTACTAGTAGGCTACATCTTAATGAAACCTGATATGCTCCATTTAAAAAACAGGCTCTAAGCAGCACTCCTGTTGGTAACAGAAATTTTGTGAAAATATAAAAATCAAATTAAAAGTGAAAACAACTCGGTCAGGATACACCTATAAACAGAACCTTTGCATTGTTGGGATTATTAGGGACTACAATCAAAGTAAAACTATTTTAAAGAATACTTGTTAATGGAATGTCTAACTGTTGGTTAAAAGTTATTATAAGAAAATTTGTCTATCAGCAAACTTTAACCAATGGACTTGGTTTTGTGGTTCTTGTTAATCCAGTACTTGATCGCCGTTTCTTATTGGTTGCTTTCAACATGTGGGGTCCAAACTAGAAAAATCAGAATAAATTATAGATGTAATTTAAGTACCAGTAGATATTGCTTGTTGAGCAATCTTGAAACAGCCAAGTCTGGTTTTGACCAGCAATGCAAGCACAAGCACTGACATAAGCACAACAGCTCATCTTCCACTGTGAAAATGGCCTTGACTTAAACGCAAGCACAAGGCTAAGTGCTGTGCTTGTTGATGTTCATTTTCACTCAGCAGAGTTACCTTGGGCTTGATGTTCAAATTTTTACTCAGCATATTTACCTTATCCGTGTGTTTGTGCTGGGGCCACTAGTGAAAACCAGGCTTTAACATTACTGTCGTAATGAAAGCTTTGCCTGGGTCAAATGCGTAGTAGCAGAGATGGAGGGTATTCAAGTGTTCCAGAGAAACAGTTTGAACCAAATAGAATGAAGGCTAAGGAAGTATGTGACCTTCCTCCTCTTTGTTGAGAAATTGATAATGTTATAACAACAAACAAGTGCACCTCTGAATGGTCACAAAACCTGAAAAGTCCTACCTACATGTACACCTGTGCCATCTGACCAACTGTACATTTGACATCAAAAAGCGAATTACTTACAGGAACAGATTTGTTAGGGCTTGATGGTGGGGTACCAAATGGTGATCCAGGGCTGTTATTTTCTTTGTTGGTGTCTGCAATACAAAGAGAGTAAGATGCTTGTTCTGTGATAACATTTGACTACAGTGAAGTTGAATTTGCCTTATTATTCTTGTGCAAGTGGCATACTTCAAAACTGAAAGTGATTTGTTGGTTTGTACATTCACAGAGGATAAGATCTGTAACTGGGATACAACCTCCTCTTCCCTATCGCAGCACAAATGGCAGGTGTATAATGTGGGTGGAAAGATTAGGTGTGAGTAAAAAGGATGATTGCCAGGATGTTAACCATCATGATTTGTGTTTGCATTAATTGTAGTTCCCCTTGTCCTATGTATACTGGCCATGTGAGTTGGCACTGTCTTGTGTAAAACTAATAAATTAAGCAACTTTGGGATTTCCCTTACTGCATCAGCTTCATGGTTATCAGTAAGGCAGACCTAGATAAGCAGCTTCCTGTCTTCACTTGCAGCTCTTGCTTGCTTTTACAGACCGAGTAATAATGGCCTACCTCTTTAGTGGTTAGAGTAAAGTTTCATACCCCTTAGGAATCAACAATGTGTGGTTCACAGGGTGTTGGCGATTAGTGTGCAAGTTACTAATAAGAAAAGTCCATCAGAACTGTTTCTTTACCTGGAGAGTTTGCTTCAAGTCTTCTTCTGTGTGCAAACTTTTTCTTGAGGGCTTGTGCAATGATTGAGGCAGGATCATTTCCTTCTGTAGGAGCAGGAGGCTTCCTTAGGGGAGTACCACCAGGGGACCTACAAAAAGGAACACATCAGTTCATTCTCTCTAAAATGGACACCACCTACTGTTCACATGCTTCAGTTATTATCTTTAAAGAATGAAAATGCAGTGCTATCCAATTATTTGTTAATCATTCACCTCTCGACTGTTCTGAGTTTGACTTTTCCTAATCCCTTGAGTACATCTGCCATGTTTGGCAAAGTGCATGCACTTGACTGTTCAGCTGGTCCCATTCCTGGGGCAAGGGATAATCTTTTAGCCCTGTTCTGTTTGATGAAAATCATAGGAAGAAAAACTCAGACATCAAGTTGTCTTTTTTAGTGATTGTAATCAAAAAACCAAATGAGTTTGTGAACTATGATAAGATTGATCCTGATGTAATACCTCTCTTATGATCTGTGAAACCGGTTTCAGGGGGGTCGTCATGGGTGTTGGTGGGGGTGGAGGTGGTGGTGGAGGGGGAGGGGGTGCAGTTGCCCCCATTGGTGTGGATGGAGCCCCTTGATTTTGTGGAGCAGAAACCAGCATCATCGCTATCTGAGCTCTCAACCTCTGAAGTTCATCCTCCAAAGCAGAAATTTTTTGCATGGCCTCCTTATTTGGAGCGTTGTCTTTTTCATCATTTTCTGGTTCGTCCTGGACTACTTCTAGCTCTGGTTCCCTGAATGGGCTTTCAAGTTCTCTGAGAATTACTTCCTCCCCCTCATCATCATCATCATCATCATCATCATCATCATTATCATCATCATCATCAGGAAGGTCAGCTTCAGATGATGAACTGTCACTGTCCGTTATCCAGGCAACATCAGCTAAGGATGCCATCATCATTAGAGATAATGGATTTCCTTCAATCTCCGAACAAAGTTCTTGCTTATTTCTGTTTAGACTTAGCTGAAAGATGAAATAAAAATATTGCCTTGTAAACGATGCTGATCAACTGCTTAACATACTTTCTCAACGATCAAACGGGCGACGCCTGAAGAACTGATTTCAGATCAATTGGTTTTAGGTTGCACGAAGAGATCGAACTTGCTGCGATATATTTTATAGCTGAACTCACCTCGAAATACGGTCTTCTACACGGTTTCAAAGGCAGTCGACTTCCAATCTCACGAACAATGCTACGTTTCGTAAACAATTTGAGATTATAATGTGACAACTCTCGGACGATTCGTCGAACGATACTTCTTCTTCGGTTCCTTAATCTTCGATCTTGATTGAATAGCTCCTGAAATGGAAAAAAATATTACTCGATCGATGATAACTTTTATCTGACTACGTCAAAGTGGTCACGCATTCTGAACAACAATTCGTAAAAAAAAACTTACTTCGATTTCGTTTCTGTCCCAGCCAAAGTACTCAAGCACTGTCGTTACTACTTCTAAAGCAAATTCCATTTCCTTTAGTATTCTTAAGGACTTAAAATCAAAGTAAAGTTAGAATATGATGGAGAAGAACCAAAGAGCTGAGAAAAGTTAATACCACATGATTGCTCAGTGAGATTTAAATTTTGTTGTGCATCTGAATCTGACCAATCAAAACGCTGTGTCTTCACCGATGAGCCAATCAAATTGAAGAGCGGCGTGTTCGAATAAAAGCCAGTCGGGATATATTCTGCTCTGGTGCCTCAAGAACTGAACATCTTGCACGACAAACGTCAATACCTTGAGTTGAGAAAATTTTTATTTGAAGGTGATAATGACTGCCCTCGGTGTGGTTGAACATCTCAGGAACTTAGCAGCTGATCCACAAAACAGAGCCACCATAGTTAAAGTACGAAATATTTTAATGTACTTTAAATACCTTTAGAAAGCAGTTATGTCGGCCACATTTATTTTATGATGTTGATTCATTTAATTTTCTGATTCTTGTACTTAGGATCAGGGGTGCCTAGCAGGACTGGTTTTATTTCTAGACAATGAAGATGTCAATGTAGTTAACACAGCCCTTGAGGTATATATGTAATCAAATCTCATCACAAGCTAGTATATTCTTCCAGTTGAAAACGGATATTTGTGGCAATTTTAACTGACAACAAGATTTTATTGGTTGGTCATTTCTTCCAGGCGTTGAAGTTTTTGTCAGAATTTCAACCCAACCGTTCGAAAATGAAGGAAGAGATGGGCATGGTTATCAGCTTAAAAACCATCATGCACAAGGAGGGTTACCACTCCAAAGCAAGACAGCTTGCAAAGGAGGTTTATCAAAATATCATTTCAACTGTGAAGACACCTTCGAGTAGAAGAGCCAGGCATGTAATATATTTTTTAGTGTTCTCCTTTTAATTTTTCTCGGTTTTGCCTGTTATTTATTTTTTGGATTAGACTAACTGACTTTTCTTTATAACTGTTGGGCTTTTTCCCCTTTTTTTTTTCTTACAGTGAGACATCACAATCGTTTTTCCTTGGAAATTTGAACAAGAGAGCCAAAGTGGTTACACTTCACATCAAAGGCTTGGCAAATCAGGTTTGAATTAAATTGTTTCATTCTACATTAAAAGGCAGTGGAGTTTTCAAATTAGCTTGAAACAAATTGACATAGCACCAGTACAAGTCCAAAATTTTGAATTTTTCTGTTTAGGTCACCAGAAAGCTTTGTGAGGAGGAATTACTGAAAGTTAAAGGAGTAATAAGCTTTACATTTGTTATGAATAAATCAAGATGTATTGTCAGATGTAAAGTGGAGCTAACACCAGAAACACTGTGTGATGCTATCAATAACACAAAAGTTCTGTCAGCTCAACAAGTGATCAAGAATGAAAGAGGAGAAGAGGTAAGTTAAGTGGGAAAGTAAGAACCACCTACTAGTGGTGCTCTCCCTTATTTAAAGCTTGGCAGGTGAATAGATGTGATGACAATCTAAGTCAGGGGTATCAGTAAACGCTGGTCACCAACAGTCTACCGACACCTAGGACACCTCTTACTGCTGTCTGTTTAGTCAGGCTCTTTTAATTGGGTTTCGAGATACAACTGCCCTTGTCACTATTGGAAGTGGCTGCTGGAAAAAGTCATTGAAACCATTCTGAATGGTTGTCTTCTTCAGAGTTAAAAAAAAAGCATTGTGTTTAATTTTCTCTTAGAAAAATCACTCAAAAAAAGTTATTCAAGTCACTTATAGACAAAAGTTAGTTGCCTATGGTGCTAGATCAGATCTTCCGAGGCAAAATCTTTCTAACATACTTCAGGTGATTCAGTTCAACAATTTTTTGTTCCTGAAGGTGATGTTGTCATTTGGCAAAGCTCCTGCTAAGAGTTGTGGAAGGGGAAACAGCAGTACATTACCAGACTATCTGCCTGAAGATGATGAAGATACAGTCATCTCTGATAAGGTAAGTAAAGAATACCCGACACAACAGACTCTCTTTACTTGTAGTTGATTGTTCAAGAACAGAGTAAGTAAATTAATTACAGCTCAGCTATCCCATGGCTGCAGCATTGTTGTATTATGGAGTTGAAGCCACACCCTCTTCAGCACTCTCTTAATTTCCAGTGTAACATTAACAAGCTATTGTTTGTATACCCAAGCCTTTGGTATAAGTGACAGTGTTTTTGATACCTGTGTTACTATTTATAAAATGGAAAAAATAACCCCCCCCTTCTACTCACCTCTTTTAAATGACAAAGAACTCAATTACACAAAAGAATGGCATTTTTTAGCAAAAGGGTCTAATTTCTACAGTGTAGTTAACAATTCTTTTTTCCAGGCAATCACAAGAGTTGGAGATGACAAAGAAAATGGGTGGTTTTCCAGCGTTACAAGCTTTTTTAGCAAGACATTATATTGGTAAAAAAAGCCAGAAAAGAAAATGAGCAGATTGAAATGTTTTGTAAATATCACTGTGGGTGAAAACTAAATTTAAGTTCAACATTTTGTAAACTATTTAGAAATTTTATTGAAATCCCTCAATCTTTATTGCTCTTTTCCACCAATTAGTTTTTGTGATTTTGGAGCTTGCGTTGCAGTTTAATAGGCTTAAAATACTCCCATATTTAGTTGAGCTGTTACTTGTAAATTATAACTTTTGGATAGTATGAACTCTTACATAAACTTTGGTTGAACAGATTAAACTCAAGAGAGCAATCTTTTTTAAATGTGCTGTGTGAAAAGGGTTGCTGTACTTTCTGACTTTGTATCAGTTAGCCTTTTCTTCCATGTTTCTTCATGCTGAGAGATATTGAAATTTCAACATTCCAGTAAAAAAACACAATTATACTAGACAGGTGTATCAGTTAAAACCTGATTTATTTTAAAGCACTTCACTTGATTTTAAATTATCTAATGCTGAGTTGTAAACTGAACTATTGTCAACCAGTGCAAAACACAGTCTGTAATAGTCTTTGACTTGCATTTAATTGAAAATAGATTTGATCTCAACTGTCCCATATCTCTCACTGGCTGAACTTTCTTCTAAGTAGCCAAAGTGCAGGCTCTCATATTAGAGCTGGCTTGTCTCTGGCAGATTTCCTGTCAAACAACAACATCAAAGAGATCCTCCTCAAATAGGTTATGTGACTGATAGATCTGACCCCCATACTCCTATGTCACAGAGAGAAGAAAAATTTACAGACCCCAGTTACATTTAGATTTTCCCCACCCATTCTGAAAAATACCCAACACTTCCTTAATTAAACTACTGAAGATTTTAAGACAATGGGTGAAAAAAAGTATAGAGTTTGAATTGTGAAAATATCCAATGTTTTTCTATCTTATTTAGGTACCTCTTCTTTAATCCTTAGATTTAACCCAGTTCAATTCTAACATCTGTATGCATATTCTCTGTACCTTTCTCTATATATTTCCTGAGGTGCTGGCAAGGAGAATTTGTTTGACAATCAAGAGCTTCTATGATGGTGATCATTTTCTCTATTCTTGTGACTCAAATGGGTGATTCAGGGGTGGTATTGTAAGGAGAAAGTGGATGCCAGTCACTCAGTGACTTAAGTGACCATTACATCAAGAGTACATTGATAGCCAGTGGATTTCCTCCAACTTGTCAACAAACTATGCATGCAAATATTAGCCTTATTCAAAATATTTCAAAATCCTATTTACATTTTGGATATATGTGAATTGACTGTCAGACTTATCTTAAATACTTGAATTCAAAGATGCAAACAAGATATTACTCCTTGCGTTAAGTTGAAAAATATTTTGTTGAAGGAAATGACAAATGGACTGTCCAAACACTGGTGAGAAAATAACATGTTTAACGAATCAGTTATTCTGTTTTAAGACAGAAAAAACAGCGATTGTTCCTCTTTGCGCTTTTTATTGACCTGTGGTACAAACTCTAGTTCTAATTATCTTTAACCCTTTCACTCCCACAAGTGACCAAGACAGAATTTCTCCTTACAATATCAATACAATATCAAGCAGGTAGGTGATGAGAATAAAGAAGAATATCAATTATGGGATGATTAGTTGATCCAATACCAAATTCTCTGAACTAACATCATAAGAATTGTATGGCAGATAGTAAGGAGAATTACTAATTAGATCTTGGGAGTGAAAAGGTTAACAAGAGAACTTCAATTGCATGAGTTAAGAAGTAACAGTTGAGTAATAGTGCAAGAGATTTATATAGAATGGCACATTTAAATCAAATGTCCAAAGGCTGACAAAATTGCCAGCACAGTGATTCAAATGTGGTTGTGAAATTTTAAAATCAAGGCTGTACATATATTTTTAGGGCTGTCACTGAGGGCTATAGCCCCTAACACCTCTCCTGGCTGAGCTCACACAATGTGACAAGTGAAGATGTTGACTGTGGGGTCACATTACAGCCCCTTTAAATCCTAATGACAGCCCTGGTGTGAAACAGTATACTGCGAGAGTGCAGTACAAATTTCACTGATTTCTCCTGAACTGTGATGTTTTCTCTGGGTTCCCCTTGAAACGGACCACACCAAGTTATTCTATGACCAAAAATAATAAATACTGTAGAAATTTCTTATTTCTCACCCCTCTGATGTATACAATCCTATCCAAGTACAAAGAACCAGCTCCTTTTACAAGGCACAAACTTCAAAACAATTTCACTGACAAGTCACTCATTCCTGACTGGAGCATACCAAGTTGTTTTTGATATCAAAAATCTCCCCCCCCCCCCCCCAAAAAAAAAAAAAAAAAACAGTTATGATGAAGTTGCTGATACCTGGTACTGAAGAAAGGATTGAGGCTCTAAGAAGACTCTGGTCTTAATAAAATAATAATCATTCATTAATTAATAATGTTTTAGTTCAGTCATCTTTATTTCCCCCTCTCCTCCAGCTATTATCTTTGATTTACCAGCTGAACTACTCTGCCATTCTTCATTGCTCCAGGCACTGGACTCGCCCCATCCATCATTGTCCCAACTAATCAAATCTTCCCAACCATCATTTTTTGCTACTGCAGCTTCAGTCTTTGGTGGCGATTTTGTTTTTCGCCTCGATGATGACAATGACTCCCTTGTATTCTGCGATGTGCCATTCTTGGATAAGGTTGGCTGTTTTGTGATTTCAGAATCACTTCCCCATGCCCAAGAATCCCCATTATCTTCATCATTGCCTTTCAGTGATGCCTTGCCATTACTAGCCTCATTATCATCAGCTTCTTCATCATTTACATCTTCATAGCCATCCCAATCCCAATTATCATCTTTAAGAGTAGCAGTACTATTCATTGCTGACACACCATTAACTGAACCATATCCTCCTCCTGAGGTTCCTCCACTTGTCAGAGACTTTGTTCCATAACCACCAGCGCCTTGATTGACAAGTGTTTGGATGTTTGCCCAACCTTTTACACTGGCAGTCTGAAGATTTGTCCATCCCTTCGAGCTGGCATCACGCATCTATAAATAAAAGTTGTTTCAATGTAACAAGTTTCTTTCAGTTGATAATCAATGATTTTTCCTGTCAAACTCAGAAAGCCACGAGGCAAAAACAGAAAAAAGAAACCCCAAATAACAGCCTTATTTTCCAAAACACAAACACACTTCAGAAATATTTCTGGTGATCACAGTTTTTGGATTTTCAAGGTAAAGTGCAACAGGTAACATTCGTAAGGGGGGGAAAGGTCAATTTTTGACTGCAAAAAGACATAGCTCAAGTCAAAATATCTTTTAACCACTTGCCAATATGTGAAAACAGTATTGGACATATTTTAGTATTCAACTATTATGCCATTAACCATTTTAGGACATTGGAATATGCAAAATATGCCAAGGAATTACACTGTAGTGCAGGGCAAAAACACAGATGACAGAGTTAAAAAGAAAACATACCTTTGTGGACAAACTGGACATAGAGGTTGTTACGTCATCAAGAAGCTTGCCTTCCTGGACCTTAAATGTAAAATGTTTCATTCAAAATCACATGAACAGAACTTGTCAATAAATTCTTTTTTTATTCAGGTACTTTCTTGCTTGCTTCTGTCAGATCAATTTATTTACGATCAGACCTCAAATGAGCATAACTTATCATTTTCAACTATGTGATGGCTTTCCATCAAAATTACAGGAATCAAAATTTTCATGACCAGAAAGAGAATTGAAAATAAATTTTAAGTAAGTAGAGGAATTAACTCTTTATACCTAACATTAGCATGGATGATGTCTATAATGTTGTTTATACATTTACTATGGCATTCACAGGAGGATTTTGTTAAAAATCAAGAGCTTTTCAATTGGGGTCAGTTCATTAATCCTCATGAGCTTATGTTTGATTCTACAGTGATACCTTGGTGAGGAATTAGATGCTAGCCACCCTCTGAGGTTAAAGGGTTAAAGAAAAAATTAATTTTTTTAGGTTACTTTCTGATCTTTTAACATCGACAATATGAGGTAGATCCATTACACAAATAAGTGAGAAAGGAAAAAGTTCTAAAACAAGTTATAGATTCAAACAAAAGAAACTTTTCTTGACTGAATGAAACAAAGACAAACTTGAACTTCTTCAGGTTAATGTCTGAACAAGTCTTGTAGGAGGTCCACTTACCCTTGTCAAGTGGAAGTTCAAACGTCTCTAGTAATTCATTGACAGTTTTAAGTGTAGTGAATACTTTAGTGTATGATCCCCAGGTTGTGATTTTAAGTCAACTTCCAATATAGAGAGATATGTATTCTCTACACGAGAATCAGTGAAACAAAAAGACAAAACAAAACAAAACTTACCCTTGTCGATACTTTCTTCATCCCTTCATTCATAGTACTTCCCAGTTCTACAGCCTGAGATAAACAAAATATCTTTATACCTCTTAAATATATCACTGTCATCACTCTTAGAGTGATAACATCTTTCTAGTATGTGCAATAAGACATTCAAACTTCAAAGTACAGTGTCATAGTTGTTCCTAAAGAGTTCATTACAAAAAATTGCTTGAAATTAGCAACCATCCCCTTTTTCCAGAAAGTTTATTAGGCAACTAAATTTTGTTTGGTTTGAGGCTGATTGTTTGAGGGAAAAAAATGGACAACTGAACACCAGGCACATAAAATTATTGCATAAACTAAGAGGATATTGGCTGCCATATAATTACATCACAACTACACTTAATTTGTAAAACAAGTAGGAAAGTTGACCAAAATACCAGTACATCAATGTCCTAAAATTCCTTTCTTTCAAATTCTTGTCTATGAGAATATTGAAAATGTGCCATTTTGCCCAAGGAGGGAGGCTGCCTTCCTAATTAAAAGTTAAACGGGGTGAGTCAGGTGTGTGATCCAAGAAAGAAAAGAGACACCACGAACATTAAGGAATACCATGGATGTTTTGCACCCACTGCACTTGGTATGTGGAGTTTTCCGACAAGGAACCAAATTGGCTTCATGAGTGCAACCAAATTCATGGTATGGTTGCCCAATTTTTAAACTTTGAAGAAATGATTCTTCTTTTCCATTTCAACTTAAGTGTAATAGGAATATATTGTACAAGACTCATTAAACCATCAAAAGCTGCTCATCTTGGACTGACAGTGGTAGGTGACTTCAGTTCCTCTCCAGTACATACCTTGGATGCTGTTGGTTTGAGAACTGACTCATTGACTGTTGAACCCAGCTTAACAGCCTGCAAAAACATCACAAGGAGTAATAAAAATATATGAGGATGATAATTGCAAGATAAATTACTGTTAAACTTTGGGCCAATCCCAAAAATGTGCTTTTTCCTAGCACCTTCTCTATTGAGAAAGAGGGTTAGTTGGGCCTACAAAGAGGACAAGGAATTGGCTGACAGAAACTGAGTTCAACAAGAGCCTTGAAATGAGGGAAGAAAACCTGGTTACATGTGAGCATTCTCTTGCTAACTGCTCATTGCTTTCCTAACCCAAATGTTTCTGAGAAAATACATCGACTGGAAAATTGTGAATGCATGACTCACCTACTATTCTAAACATGTCTTGATCATATGTTTGCTTTTACAGAGAATAATGAATGTGAACTCAGATATCATAAATATCAAAATGTGTCCCACTGGACTGTGTATCTTGATCTGTTTTCCCTATTTCTATTTTCCACTTGGTCAGGAAAACTAGAAGAAATAAAACTTCTTACTTGTTGTGAGGCAACAGCAGCCAATTGAGCAGCTCCAGTGGTAAATGAACTCCAACCCTAAACAACACATAACCATGTATTTCAGCTCTAGTTTTTTTTCAAGATCAAAATATCAACTCTCCAAACAGTCTCCTATACATTTCACACAATTTTGGCTTCAAGAATGAGGTCTTAAATCAAACAATATGCCCAGTCAACATTTTTCTCAGTTCTAATCACCTTTCTCTTAGTATCAACATTGTAAGAATAAAATTATTTTTGGTCACTCCTACATGTAGAAATAAAGGGTTAAAAATATGTTGAAACAATCTATCACTTAGTGAATCCTGCTTTGCGATGATAGGAAAGACCACCACCAAAGTATCAAAAGAGAATGTCATGTTAAGTGGGATCCCCAGAGTGTAAGTAGTTCTAGATTGGACTTTGCTTGGAGTCACTGACAAATGTTTTAAAAACATGGGAGGAAGTCATAATCAAACACAAGTGAAGAGTTTCATGTAAGTCAAATGTTGTAATTTCAGTTCTTCAAAATGGATTGGTCAGTTTTGCTGTGATGTTATGGAGGCAAGTGGAAGTCATCAGTTGTGACTGAGATTTGTTACAGTGTATTATTAATTGCAGGCAGGATCATTCTTCATTTGTAATACTACCACTATTATCAGAATTAAATTAATAATACAGTTAAATGAAAAAATCTTCAACTTACAGATGAAAGAGAAGAAAATGTTGAGTCCCAACCTAAAGAAGTGTTGGTTTAAATGAAAAAAAAAAAGAGTCATGCGAGATAAATAATTATTAATTACAAAAGACTGACAGAAAAAAATGATGTAAATTACAAATGAACACAATTGAAATTGTAATTTTAGAATCAACTCCTTACACCCTGATATCAGTATGCATATTCTCTATACTTTTCTCCATACTTTTTCTAAGGTGCTGACAAGGAGAATTGTTAAACAATCAAGAGCTTTCTTTTATTCTTGTGACCTTAACATGTGATTCAGAGATGATATTGTAGGGAAAAATTAGTTGTTGTTGCTCCTTGGGGCCAGAGGGTTGGAGAAAAGACAAAACCAACCAAGCACTAGTTTTGAACTGAGGGTTGACTTCACTGGCAGAATGAGAAATATGGTGGGGAAATAGGTTCCCTAAATGAATAAAAGTTCTAGATAATCTGCCACCTTTTACTCTGGACAATAATATTACCTTACCATTAAAAATACATTGGTAGGAAGCTCATTGTCAAGTAATGGACATTTCTAGGGAAGAAGTTACTGAGCAGGTCATAAAAAAGATGTCAACCTACCTGAGCTACTTGCGGTTACAACTGGTGCCGATCCAAAACCGGTGTATCGTCCACCTTGACTCGGAGGTAGATTACTAAAAATAAAAATTCAAACCAAATGTAACCAAATGAAATCATCTGTTAGTCTCTGCTACTGGCCCATAAATTAACTTTTTTTTTTTAAATTATCATTAATATAAGTTATCTAGTAAGCAACTAGCAGGAGTGCTTGGGCTGGAGATCTGTGGTGTGACACATCCCATCAAGAGAAATGAAAGAACGATGATGACTATTTTGATGATGATAACAATTATGATGATGATGACGGTATTGAAAGAGAAACACTTTTTAAGTTACTGAGAGAGGAGGAAGTTACATGAAGGAAAGCCTCTATGGAATGCATAAGATATACAAATTTGACTAAAAAAGAAAAACCACTAATTTATTCCAGTAATGACTTACTCAGGCCTTGAAGCATTTTCCATCTGTCTCCGGCTGAAGAAATCCTCTTTTTGAGCATTTAATTCACTCCTGGAAATAAAGCATTAAGTTAAAATCACAACCCCAAATGGCTCATGGAAAGTTTGTACCCTACCAGTTTCCATTTTCAAACCCTTTACACCCTTGCAGTGACCAGCATAAAATTTCTCTTTACAAAAGTATTGCTGAGTCAGTCATTAAGGTAATGAGAATAAAGGAAATGATCGCCAACCTTGGAAGCTTTGATCTTTAAATGAGTTCTCCTTGTCAGTGCCAAAGGAAAAGTATAGAGAAGAGTATGGAGAATATAGATGCTGAAGTTAGGATGTAAAGGGTTAAATAAAATCGGTGAAGCTAGATTTGTCTCCTGTGAACCTGGCATGAGGCCTGGCTTGCCAACAAGTTCTTAATAGTCTGGTTGGTAGTGTATCCAACTGCAAATTCAGAGGGTCTGAGGTTTAATATTTCCTTTGCCTTACCCTTGAGAAAAATTAACAGCTTTTTCAATAGTGGTCTCTAACTTTGTGTGCTCACTTTTTTCACTAACTATTATATTTCATGACTTAGTCAAACAAAAATTGGCCTCTCATACTTCGATATTCCCAGCATGGATTCAGGTGAAGAGGAGCCATAACTCATTGAATTTGAACCATTGGCTGCCCGACTGACTGAAGAACTGCTTGAATTTCTGCTCAGAGGTGGTTCATAGTTTTTAGCTGATGAGGTTTCTTCTGACCATGACCTTCCATCAGCTAAGGCTGCAATCTGTTTGAATCAAAAGGAAATTGTAATATAATATAATATAATATCATTCAAAAATAATTATCCTCTCATCTCTCTCATCCCTCTCCCTTTCTTAGTGAGCATAAATGAGGAAGACCCTGAAGAACAAGCATGAGAACATCCCTTCTTCAAGGACTTTCTGCAAAGAAGACTTTAAAAAACAATAAATGACAAATAAAAAAATGTAAGCAATGAAAGTGCATGAATGTTTCTAAATGTGGGGAGTAATCCACTGAATCTCTCCTTCCCTTCTTCTCAAAGCAAAAATTTCCAGTGATCCTGCATTACAGTTTTATCTATCAGTTTTTTTGGGTAGGAGATGAGGAGATGGATTTATTGGGAACCTCCCTTCTCACCTCCTCTATTTCTATCCTTCCTTTATGTTTCCTCAACTTTTTTCCCATCCTGTGCACAGTTTTATGGTAAATAATTGAACAAGCCTTTGAAGTGGAAGAGAGGTAGAGAGAGAGGAAGTGAGGCCCAGATCTAGGAATAAACCATACCTTGTCTCTGTAAAGTGCTGCTGCCCTGCTGTTGTACTTTTCTTGAATGGACATATCTGCTCGGATATCTGGTTGAGACTTGAAGAAAGCTTTTGCTTTACTGTTTCCACCAACCTGACAATTAACAAACAATTTTTATTAATATTTCTCAATAATACAAATTCTTTCAAAGATCATGTCATTTTTGTTCTTATCATAACTACTAAAATATAATCATCATTATTATAATTATCATTATTTTTTTGTTATCATTGTCAATTTTTCATTTATTCCTTAACCCTATACACCCTGACACCAGTATCCACATTCTCCATGTACTTCTCTGTACATTTTCTTTAGTACTGACAAGGAGAATTTGTTTCACAATCAAAGCTTATCAATTTGCTATCATCTCCTTTATTCTCATGATCTTATCAAATGATTTAGCATTATTACTAAGGGGAGAAAATTAAATGCTGATCACTCTTGGGGCTAGGGTTAGGATTAATTAAGACAGTTTATTCACTGGATGTTTCTGTATACTTTAAAATCAAAATGTTTTATTCCCTAGATGCTGGTACCTTCATTTTCTCCAGCTCAATGTCTTTCCATTTGTCCATGGTTACTGATCTTACAAAACTAAAACAAGAATTGTATAACAATCAGTAACTGGTTTGTTTATCAAACTAAAAAACTGGAGAGATGACTAAGAACAGCTTAAAGTAGCAATACATGAAATGAAGAACAGAGTCATACAAAGATAGGGTAATTTTTGGACTTTCTTGAGTGTACTATTTGGGAAAGGAATACCAGATTAATAATGGCATCATTTAAATATTGTACAAAATAACATATGGAGTTATGACTATGAACATATAAAAATAATACATGTAAACTACTGATCAATAAATGAATACATGAATGATCCCTGCAGTAATGAATGCTACTTAAGAAGTAGTAAAAATAAAGCCTGAAACAAATCCAGGCCTGTATGGGAGTTGAACCTATTGCTAAAACTTATTAGCTAAGTTGGTAGAGCACTGCACGGGTATTGCAGAGGTAATAGGTTTACTCCTATACAGGCCTAACTTTTTCCCAGGCTTTATTTTAACTATTGCTTATTTTTTAACCCTTTCACTCCCATAAGTGACCAAGGGATAATTTCACCCTACAATATCAATAAGATAAGTGATTAAAATAAAGAAAAATATCAATTTTGAGATTATCAGTTGATCCAATACTAAATTCTCTGTATAACATTACAAGAATTGTATAGTTGACAGTAAGGAGAATTACAAATTTGATCTGGGAGTTAAAAGGTTACCTAAGTAGTGTTCATTACTGCGAAGATCATTCACATATCCATGACATACATGTAGGATTTGTAGATAAGTATTTCCTGTTTTTCTTATTTTTTATTTTTTGTTCATTTTTTCAGTGTCTCTGTCTCAACCACTGTTTTTGTTGTTGTTGTCATTACCAACATGAATACATGGCATAAACATTCTTGAATGAAATCTTTTCAAGTTGTTGGTTGTAAAGAATATCAGCAAGCAATTAAGATACGCGGAGTTTTCAATTTAAAGAGGTGCTTTTCTTCCACAGGCTTACAGTAGTTTGTTTCACTTCATAACACGTTAGAGTAAGATACAAAATCACTGGAATATTTTCATTTGATCGCCTGTGTCGTGTTTGTTATGTTGGGACTAATTTCTCAGTTGTACGAGATATTCTTTCGATTTTGATGACCTATTCCATCGATGAAAAAACCCTGTATGAAATCATTGGCACAAAAACTAAATCCATACGTGATCAGGTCACCACAGTGATAAACTATCAAAATTCTATGACGCCATTGAATTCTTGCTCAATAGAGCGCTCATACTTCCACACGGTACCTCATACAATTTACATTCTAACCGGCTTTCCGCAAAAAAAAGATTCATCGCGCATTTTCAACGACAAACTCGTTAAACAAGTTCATTATTACTGTAAATAATACATCATCTTACCTTAAATGAACTCCTAAACCTCGGTGTTTCCCTGAACATTCAAGGCAAATCCATATCCCATAGGTCACGCTTACCCATTGAGGATTGTGTGCCCCGCATTCGAAACAACTCTACGCGATCAAAAAAAAGAGAAAATCGTCACGATTGATCTATATATACAATACAGGATTCCAAATATGATAATAACTGATAACTACACTTACACTGTTACCATCTTTCGGCTTTATTTCCTTTAAAACTCGCCGTGTTCGAGGACTCGCCATGTCTATTTCTATAAACTTCCTCTGATCTACTCTGCCGCCTCCGCTTTCGATTTACGTGTACCTCGAGCACAGGTGGCTCACGGGAATGTGAATCATCACTTCCGGTTGGAGTTAATTTCTTCCGGTCTGGTCTCTTCATTGAACAGCGAAAGTTCATCTGCCTGAGCAATTAACTTTTCCTCTGTTTACAAGGTAAGAGGGAATGGCGGAGAAAACATCTGAGTTCAAAATCGTAATTGTCGGAGGATCTGGAGTTGGAAAGAGTTCTGTTATTAATAGTTTTTGCGGCAATATCGTGGAAGAGGACTTAGAAGGTAAGATTATACCAAAAAAAAAAAAAGACTTCTTTTTTAACATCGCAGTGTTAATTGTCGGTAAGATCAGTCGATGACAAACCAGTTTAGGTATCGTTCAGGACAAACCTTAAAGATCAATGGTAAATTCAATGATGAAAATGAATAAACAATGTAAGATTTGATCTTAATTTCGACGCGATTTAAATTCCCTATGGATTCCCAATTGATTTTTCGATTTTGATACAAAAACGAGTGCGATCGAAGAGATAAATTTAACACCACCTGCCGTCTCTTTTCCATACACTTGAGAATTTTGAAATTTAAACGATTGATTTCTGTAATTTCCACTGAGTGAGGAATTTTAAATGAGTATATACAGGAGCCCATTACCTTGTAAATGTAACAGGGATAACATAGAATTTTCCAGAAAGAGAGTCCTACATTAGAATCTTTCTGCATGTTGGGAAAAACCACACCTGTACAACTCGAGAATTTTTTTGTTTTGCTTTTTTGTTCTTTTGTGTGCGTGTTTTTAAGGCGAGTACAGGCTAGCGCGAGGCGAGCGCGGATGGCGTGCCACGCCCCCTTGCGTTTGATTGCGCTAACTTGAAAAACGCCAAAAAAAAAAAAAAAAAACGCCTGTTCTGTTGGCTGGAAAAAGCCAAGTTGAATTATTACTTTTATTAATTATCACTTTCTCTCTGAGGGAGGGACGGGTCATCCAGCACCTCTTGAGCGATGCCCGTGATAAAGCAGATAGCTCCTTTTACCTTCTTTCTTCCTCCTGTCCTCCATGAAGAGAACTGCATTGTTTCTTCTTTTTTTCGTCTTATGAAAGCCGATGACCAAGTGCAAGTGGTTGCAGATCAGCAAGTTGTAACAAAGAGGATGGAGGTGCAGGGCAAGGACATTTGTCTGAAAATAGTGTAAGCTATTTTAACATACCATTCTGGTTTAGACTTCTCTAAGGATTGATAGTTTACTTCCCAAACTCTCTCTTTCTCTTTTTTTTTAAGCAAAAATTATCCTGACTTATCTAGCTATACCTAACCCACTCACTTATTCAGTGCCTTGACCTTAACTGTGCACTGTATATCATTCTTTTACACAGGTGCATCTCACATGTACAAATAATTACTACTTTCCACAGTTATCACATTTTCAATGTCATCAGATCGTAAATGATTACAATTTTATTTGTAAGGAACATGAATACTCTCAGGGTAGATGGCCCATTAAGATTTTCCAGGTGAAACAACGATTGCTAAATTGCTCTTTTGAATTTTCTTTTTTTTTGCTTTCCTGTAGTGATACAGCAGGATCTGTGCTGGAAAACCAGAAATCTACAAAGGCGCTCTATAAAGGGGCCCAGGTTAGTTTACTTAATCAGTCATATTGTCTTTGGGGAACTTTCTGTAACTTTTAACAATTCACAGCTGAGATGAAAAATATGACTGAGAAGCTGATTTTCTGCCTTTCACCTCCTTATGATCAATTAATCATAAAACTGATAAATTCAACTGACAGTGACAAAACAAACTTGTGAAGACTGAAAATCACTGACTTATGATTTGTCATGTCATAGGGTATCATGGTCATATATGACGTCACCCACAAACATTCATTTGATGATGTTCCAAAGTTGCTGCAGGACATAGATGAGGTAATTACTGATATCTCAAGAGAAATATTTAGGTGAACATTTCAAACTGACTATGTTTTTTTTTTTGAACGAACGATTGCTGTCCAAAAAAACACCCTTTTGAAGAGGCTAAGTGCCAAAATTGTCTATCCTGCGTTAGGACTCAAGACCCCTGGAACAGTTTGGCAGCATATACCTAAGTTGGTAAAAAAAAGGATGCCCTTCTCCGCCCATTTTTAGCACCCCAACCGCTTTTGCACACCTTGTACTTATTAGCTAGATGAAGAACTGTCTCTTCTCAATGGAATAGTATTCTATTCCATTTTTAGCACCTCAACTACTTTTGCACAGCTTGTTCTTGTTAGCTAGATGAAGAACTATCTTGTCTCAATGGAGTAGTATTCTATTCAGTTGACTAGCCTTAGGCTAGTAGAATACTACTACGAAATTATCAAATATACGAGGTATAATTGTAACATAATTTCTCCCTGATAGCATCGTGAGGGTGTTCCTGTGGTGTTTGTCATTGGAAACAAGTGTGACTTGGAGGACAGAAGAGTAATCTCCATAGAAACTCTGGAGGGGGTAATTTTGAGGAGATTTTATAATATACATTTTCTATGTATATTAACATTGTGTTTTATGTGTTTGACAACTTTCTATCTTGGCTTTGAGTCTACAGCATAACATTTCGCAAAGACATTTATCGTATTAGTTCAATAAAAATAAAAGTTGCAAGAAAAACAAAAACATATGAAAGGGCTAATTCTTTTGATGCAAGTACAAGTACAAATCATTCTACAGATTTTCTTATAACATGTTTTATTACCTTGGAATGGTCTGAGGCGATGGTAAAATTTGATGGTTGAACAGTATTATGTCTTATGAACGATGTCCTAAAGCAGCAGATTGAACTCTGTGCAACCCTCCCTACCCTCCTTCTCAAAAACCAGTCCTGTTAGTTGTAAAATATGCTGGGAAATCTGAGTAACGGTAACGAGGTACTGGTAACGAGTATTTTAAAAATATCTTGAAAACTAGTGCGGTAAACGTTAGTTTAAAGAAGGAAGTTTAGTCGTGTTCTGATCATATGTTTCTGTAAATTTTCCTTAATTTTCATCTTTTATTCTTTTTCTGCCTTTCGCGATCGTAATAAAGACAATTTTCCTGATTCAGCGTATCCCTTAGAGGAATACGGACTGCAACTCCTTTATCTCCGATTGTACATGAAGCTACATGATGGGTTCCAAATAATGGCTTTTTTTAATTTTTAAAAAAACTAACAAATTTCTATCATCTCATTTGATCCTAGTTTGCTACAGACCATGGTGTTTACTTTTTAGAAGTCAGTGGCAATACCGGTGTGAAAGTCAAAAAAGCTTTCGATCTGATGACGGAGGAAATTCTTCTCGCCGAGAACCAAGATCAAGCTGCAGCTCACGCTAACCACTGCAATTTGCTTTGAGATATCTACCAAAAGACGCTGTATTGTAGTTTTAATCTCAACACTTCTCACATTTTAATTTCAATTTCGTTCATAATTCCTTTCCAAGTTTCTTGAACGCAACCATACTTGTTCACATTTTTTCAAGGGTGTGGCAATCATACCCGCCTGTCAAAGTAGCAGAGGTTAAAAATCCTTCTAAAACGATTCCAGAAAACAGAAACACTGATTACATCAAAGTCGACAATTTGCAGCACATGAACTTGAATTTCTAAGCCTGTTAGAATGAAGTTTTTTCTTTTTTCTTTCAGTGCCTTGGAAAATTGAAAATTTCTATGAGCACTCGCACCGTGGGTGAGAAAGGGTCATTCTACCTGGTATAAGCAATGTAATGTGGTGACAATGTAATGTGGTGCCATTTCTCCTCTTCCTGTCAGAAGAGAAGAAGTGGTGTCCTTTGCCTGTATACACTTTTTTAAATTCTCTGAGTCTGTTTGAATTCTGATACGTTTTATGAAAAACATTTTGATTGTAATAGTTTATGGATTCCATACTGAGGCATTCGCTGAAAGAGACTTGACTGTACCTTTAAAGTCTGCAATAAAGCGCTTATTGGAAATCTGTAGATAACCTTAGTTATTACCTTATGTCCATGTCAGTCAACCCTCCTCACCCTCGCTACGCCATGAGATCTCATCAAGGGTCAGTCGCGCTAAGAGCTGATTGGCGCCACCAAGAGATAGAATGTTAACTTTTCTGTATGATGGCGTAGAGGAGGGAAAGCTGGCGGAGTCTGCACTGAGAGGATACCTAATTTTCCTGTGGAATCTTTTTAACAGACAAAATTTTAGGGCATCAGGAGCCCATTACCCTGAGGGCATGTACTAAATTTCTCCACACCCCGTATTTCTCGACCGCGACCATTCTTGAAACCGAGGATACCTGTGCTGTGAGCTATGGCTTGCTTTTCTTCCCATGAATCTTTTCGGAAAGCAGGCACAAGCGGGAAGTTTAAGAATGCCATGTCAGACAGGTCTAGGTTGTATGAAGGAAGGGGATTTAATTCAATTCTTGGTATTAGAAATTACATTTTATTATTCAGAGTTGTAAATCTCTTTGCAGATGTAGGTCATGTCTTTAAGGCGAACGAATACATTGAGGTCCATGAACTCATTTACATTTCAGGTTGTTCTTTCATTTTAAAGTAGGTGTCAAACTTCCGAATTCTAACCTTTATGGCTTGGTGCTTGACTATTACATGAATTTGTGAAAAAATTGATACTAGTTTAGTTACCGGGCATAACTGATGAACCCTGTAATCAAACAAATCAGGAACTTTTTCAGTTTGTTTCCAGGAAGGGTTACTTAGAGACTGCACTTTCCTAACGTAACGAAGTCGAATAACTCAAGTGTGTAATCGTGGATTATGGCTTTTCTTGTGAAACTGGTTGCTTTCAAACCCTAGACATTTCAAATTGATATGTTATCTTCAAGAATATTCACGTAGAGACAGTAAAACTACAAGAACAGTTCAATGAATTTGAGATTGCTATCGTTGTGGCTGTAATAAAGATATTTTTTGTAAACGAAGAGAAATGGTATACACCTGTAAGCATTGTGGTAAGTGTTTTGATGGGCTGTCAGGACTCAAACGACATAGTTATTCACCCAAGAAAAAAGCCCAGTAAAATTTCCGCACAGCCCCATCCTACATTATGCATTCAGTTCTTGAACAGAGAAAACAATGACAAAAACAATACATTTCCGTTGGGAAAACAGATTTGTTTTACAATAGTATGGGGCTGTGCGGAAACTTTACCAAAAGCCCTATGTGTGTTCACATTGTGGAAAAGCTTTCACTGACACAAGTAATTGTTGGCAGAATAAAAGAACACAGCACAAGAAAGTAACATGGGAACACGCATACAGAAAGAAAATGCAACAAACAAAGCATTGACATTAGCCAAGCAAAAGAAGGGAAAGTGAAACAAAGAGGTCTCAGTCAGAGAAAAAACCTTTGAGGAACAAAACTGCCAACAGAAAGTTGGGCAGACATAGCACAGATCTACACTGTAGTAGTTCTCACACTAAACACCAGTTACATAAATGCAGGAAGTGTGATAAGATTTTTGGATGTGCATATAGCCTTTGGAGACATGACATTATACATTCAAACAAGAGGCCCTATAAGTGCAAGTACTGTGGAAAATCCTTTAATGATAGTGGGAATTGTCGTAAATATGGAAGACTCCATGAATCATTTAAGCAGCTCAGCAAATTTGAAAGCAAAAGAGCTAGAATGAAAATCTAACTGTTAGTGCCTCATGCACTACATGGGCTTTTACTGTTCAGAAATGTAACGCAAGTGCGGTTGAGTCAGAAAACTGCTGGGTTTGTCAAAAATCATTCGGTAGGGAAGCACTCCAAAACCACTATGAGAAGGGTACATGCATATTAGAATTGTTATTTAGCAAATTAATGTAGAACATGATACAGCTACCAGAAACTGCTCTGTTAACTGAAACCAAGTTTTTACTCCTATAAATTGCAGTAACATTGTCAAAGAAAAATGCAATAAGGAAAAAGCCAAAATGAAAAAGTTGCTTATAAAATTATTTTCAGACCCAGAAACTCATGCAGTCTGTGCCTTGGAGGTGCAGTTAACTCTGTCTTTAGAACATAGTTCACTGAAAATAGGCCTATTGCCCTAAGTGACATTATTTAACGTGTGTTTTTCAACACTCTCACAACAAGGTCACAATTTTTGTATGTTTTCAATAGTTATCACAACTCTGTGACATGATGTCAAGCTCTTTCAACACGGGATAGAACACCATTAAACATTTAGAACACTGTGGAAAGTATTTCCATAAGATGTTAAGGATTCTTTTGATTGTTCAGATGATATTCTGCGCATTTTACTATGCAAGATTATATTTTTTAAATTCTCAGATATATCATATTGTAATGAATTTCTTGAAACTTTTTTCATATTTGCTACAATAATACAGACATGGAAGCATATCTGTTGTCTTCAGTCTTTTTCATTTTGCCACCAGAATGCTACAATCCTTGAAGATTTGTACGAGTAATAACATGATTTTGAGTGCAAATTGGTGGAAACAAGGGCAAGTCAAGTTTCCAAAGACAAAAAATTGCACAAACCCTACATGCTTGTGCAATTTGTAGCCTTTGAAAAATTTTTGAAGTGCTTATTTACACCAAATTGCACTTGAAATAATTTTGTTACTTGTCAATGATTTACATGAAAAAAGCATCACATAAAGTTAAGACAAATGGAATTTTGAGAGTGTGTGTATACTCTTTGTAATTTGCACCTGTGTTACAACTTTGCACTCTTGTTACATGAAAAATGCACTCACTTTCAGTCAATCAGACATGTGTAGTTATTTCATGTATATTGTTACAGCCTTAACATGGCTCAGACTGAGAAATACTGTCCTCCATAGCTAGGTTTCCATCAAGGATTATGATATTGAGAACTGTAATAACAATCTGACCAGCCAAGTAAAGTACAGGGCAGCATAAATATGTGGAAGGCAAAAGGAAGTTTGATATGTGTGTGAAGGTGGTGATTAATGTGGAAGCCTGATGCTCTTTCAGAAAATGCTAAGGAAAAAAAAGAGAAGAACTTTTAATGTATGTTAAGATGGAAAAGGAAAGTCAAACTTCATGGTGGAGGTGAGTATTCCTTTACCTCTTAAAGATTGATTGTGTGGTAAATTTTCCTAACAATTCTAGTACATTCACACTGTCAATCAAACAGGTAGATTATAAAAATTAAGTAGTCACCATATTAAAGATATTGTGTTGACTGACCAAAGAAATGGGTGACTGTAAAGAGGAAATTTTTCAGATCTAAGGATGAAAGGGTGCAACTTCCTTCCCTTTATTGTTGTCTGAGAGAGATAAGTCCAGTCTAGCATTTACATATCAATTGCCTCTGATAGATCAGTCCAGTCCAGTGTTATGTAATCCTTTTAACTTCCTGAGTTTGACGCGTTGCCTAGGGCCCAGTCCCCAATGGACTTGTTCCCACTTCCTCTCCCGTCTGCTCTTAGTACGCATGTGATCTTCAGCGAAGTAGGCGGAAAGGCAATGGCGAAGAAAAGTTATGACTACCTTTTCAAATTGCTCCTTATAGGAGACTCAGGCGTTGGGAAGACGTGCATTTTATTTCGTTTCTCTGACGATGCATTTAACACGACGTTTATCTCGACGATAGGTAAGTGAAAGCGACAATGTTCCCCTGTTTAGCTGCACTACGCGTAAGCTTGTAAACTATGTAAGTGATCTAATTGATCTCGCTCTGATACTGCAAGGAGGAAAGCTCATAAGTCGTCCTGTGTCCCTCTTCTTTGTGTATTTTATTGATAGGTTTTGGTTTAATGTGCCAAGGTTTAATTCAAGCCAAAATTCAAATTGATGTAGTTTAAATTTACATCTTCAAAGCTGCTCCATCTTTCGACGCCTTTGATCTGTACTTTGGCAAGGGGCTTCTCAGAGCAAATGTGAATCATTTCATCCCGAACTCATTGGACGACATACAGCACATCAATATTACTTTGCATTTTGCAACGTTTAAGCTTTCACGAAAAGGAAAATGACAATTCACGAAAAAATTTCGCGCGGCTGATTTTCAATTGAAATGTTTGAAAACGCTTGGTAGCCACATTCTAAAGTCCGAAAGGTCACAACTATTTTAGTCTTGTTACACATCCACATTCCTTGAGCACAGACATGCCCATGTTTGCATAGGACTTGAAAACTATTCACTCTTTATTGTATGATTAAAAGGTTTCTTTATTTGCGAGACAGTTTCCCCTGCAAGTGTGATAATAGCACTTCGTATTATACGGTAGTTACTTTCGATTTGTCAACAATTCCCACAGCATTGATTTCCTGTGTCCTCTCTAACGAAGCTACACTTTCACTGTACAGTTACACGCTTCCATCTACCATTAATGTCTTCATTATCAAATCATTGCCAAAATGATTTGTCAATTTTACCAGAGAGAAAATACTTACCTCTGCAACTATCTTCGGCCAAGGAAATTAGATTAGCACACAACTTTCATTTCAGTCCGTTTAATTGTGATCTTTTTGACTTTTAGTAAAGAATACTGTATGTCTTTAATTCTGTAATTAGTGTTGAGGCCTTTGGTCGGTTTTATTTATTTATTTTTATTTTATTTTTTAACTTTCACTCCTTGATAAAAATTAATTTGTGAATTAAAATAATGTGCTACACACAGTGAAACCAATATTTGCAGGACTCTTGTGAGTGGCCACTTTATATTCAGGTGATTCGCTCTTATGGGTTTAGTAAATTGTACCACAGTGGTTAAACTCCAAAAGAACAGTGTAAGCAATCTGTAGTCTGCAGAATATGACAATTCTGCTGTAGATATGATAACACTTGATAACAGAAATATGATGTTTAAAAAGTAGGCATGAAACAAAAGTTTTTTATTAACATGCTGTCTGTTTAATGCAAGGTCATTTTTTCTTTTTGTCAAGGATTAATTAATCTGATTTGCTGATCAACAATTTAACTATCCACATCTCACAACTCCATAGTTTTATATTTATTTAACTCTATACTGTGACCAAATATCATGCACCACAATGTATTACGCAATCTCCAAACAAATGCAAAGGGATGGTGAAATACTTGATTTATAAAATGAATTTAAGAAAGAAATGGAGAGCAATCTTTAGTATATAAGTGACTCAGTTATGACAAACAACTGTAAAATTACCATGCATTATTCCTGAAATTTTTCATTCTCGTTATGTGATGGCCAATATTGGTTAAACTTTTCTGTACCAGTTATTTAATTCCAAATTTCTAGTTGTTCCTCCAAAACATTAAGTTTTGCTCATGTAAATATTTAAAATCACTTTTTTTTTAGGTATTGATTTTAAGATAAAGACCATTGAGCTTCAAGGAAAGAAGATCAAGTTGCAGATATGGTTTGTTTGCTTGTTTGCTTGTTTTGCAGTCTACTTTTAAAGCTGTGTCTACAACTCCTTACCCTATTATGAAACACTAATGGTTGAGTAATAATATTGATTAGGGATAAATTTTAACCATCTCTGAAACTGGATTTGTATGTTAGCTGTTCAGAGGCTTTTTCCACGCCAGCCCAACTTTGTCTATTTTACTTCAATTAAATTTCTATAAAAATGTCTTTTACATGACCAGGTAAATGGTCAGTTTTTGTTTTCTTTTGTTTCATTATCGCATGTGCATAGTTGTTAGTCAGTGTCATGAAAGGTGTTGTGTTTTTTGACAACTTCGGCTTTTTAATTAAAAGCAGTCACACTTTGCATTAGTGTCCTCATTTGCAATTTTGAGAAATGGAAGAAGCAGCTATGGAAAGGTCTTCCCAGTTTTGACCACTTAAAAGTTCCAAAGAGGAAGTTTCTTTGCTCAAATATTCAAAGCCTAAAAGTACTCAGTAGAAAGATAAGTGGGCTGTTGATATTTTCTGAAATTGGCAAGCTGCGCGTGAGAGTTTGCATTCTTTTGGGAATTGATGTCCAAACACACGTGGATATCTAATCATGCATGTTTGGATCTGTTCTTTACTTGGTGTCAAGGGGCATCCATGTGACCCAAACAAGGCTGCACAATTGGTTAATTACCTCATGCATTATTAATAAGTTTGAGAATTACTAATACAGTGCATGGTTCCTTGAACTCTCTGATCACTTTGCAGGGATACAGCTGGCCAGGAGCGTTTCCACACAATTACTACATCATATTACAGAGGAGCAATGGTGAGGTTATTCATAGTTAGGATGGTGTTGGTCTTGATAGTCGATATTTATCTGTGATTAACAACCTTTTCATTTCCAAGAGCTGATAGACAATTGAGTCTCCTTTTAATGATATCTTAGTGATATCCCCTGGCTGATGATTTCTATATTCTCATGATCTCTTCTTTCATTGGTGATACATTGATGTTGTTGGGAGAACTTGAGTTTTGATTTCCCTTGGGTGGTCCTGCAAACTGGCCTACTTTGATTGAATTTCCCTTTCATTTTCCCTTCCATTTCACAATGGAACAAAAAGTCATTAAATGAGTGGTGATTTCATTGGTGATTTATTTTTATGCAGGGCATTATGTTGGTCTATGATATCACTCAGGAGAAAACTTTTGATAACATCTCCAAGTGGCTGAGGAATATTGAAGAGGTAATATTGACAAGAAAAGTTTTCTTTTCTACTTCGGCCAAGCTTATGGCTTGTGACCCTTGTATGTAACATAGTAGAAAGTTGTTAGATAAAAGCCTGTTTTGGGCATCACTTTCGTAGACAAGGTGTAATATTAATAGCAGAAAAATCTGCAAAAGAAGGTAAACATGAATCATTAAAAAGGAGGGACACTTGGGACAGGCCAAAGTTCTTGCTTCTTTCCATCACTTTATGTTTGCCTTTCTCTATTGGTACAGTCATGGCATGTTGACTTAGAGTTCAAGACTCAGACTGATTACTTCTTCTGACTGACTGATATGAGAAATAAAATTTTCTTGGCAATTTCAGCATGCAAATGAAGATGTTGAAAAGATGATCCTTGGTAACAAGTGTGATATGGACGATAGAAGAGTTGTTACCAAAGAACGTGGAGAACAGGTGAATTAAGTGAACAATTGGTGCATTGTATGAGGTGCACTTTTTGATATACTGTCTTTGTTTCATATTAATGCTGTCATACCCTCTTTTATTAACTTTTGAAGAAAGCTCTAAGACTACATGAAAGCCTCTATTGAAAGTAAAAATCTAATACTACTGTATTTGCATGCTCAGCCTTAATTAACAAGGAAAACTTATTTTGTCTCCTTTGTTGGAATTACACATTGAAGTGTAAGGTGTGTTGACAAAGGCTAGAAGGTTACACTCTGTATAATCAAGGAATCTGGAAAGAATTAGTAACAACTAAAACATTTTTTGCAAATGTGCCCCAAAAAAATGACTGTGGACACCAGTGTCCATTTTTTTTTAATCATGCTGATGAACATAGATACATACTTATGATAACACAGTATGGCGTATCATTTTCTTTGAACATTTAGGGCTTCTAAAAAAGACTTTAACTTGACTTTAACAATGATTCAACAGTGAAAATAAAAATGATATGGTTTCTGGGGCATACTTTTCTTTTTTTCAGGGTATTAAAGTATTTTCCAAAGGTACTTTTTGGAGAGAGTATGTCAATTAGATGTACTGCTACAGTAGCACTTGCTGAACAACACTTTTTTTTTGTCATAGATTGCCAGAGAACATGGTATTCGCTTCTTGGAAACAAGTGCCAAAACCAATGTCAACATAGAACTGGCATTCTTCAACCTAGCAGAGGATATTCTAAAGAAACAATTGACCAAAGACAACGAGGAAACTTCCCAAAACATCCATGTTAACAATACACAAGAGAAAAAGTCTGGCTGCTGTTAAAGAGAGTGTTAACAGCAGTTATATTTTTGTTAAACAATTCACTTAAAATGTACAGTTAATTCTTATGGGGAACAGTCAGTCCCTGGAACAGAAGTGTATGTAGTTTCCATGTGTGACATTAATGGAGAGGATGGACTTCCCACTTTCCTCACACAGAAAGTTTTAATTGGTGATGTAGTGTTTTGCAATCCTCTTGATGATATTGGCAAAGAGATTGATCCATGGGCTACCTATGAGAAGTTGAGTAATCTGTGTGTTTAGGGTGGGAAGAAAAGCAGTGGTAACCTTACCTTAAGTTCCAATAGATCAATTCTCTCTAGAGATTGTCATACATTCCTTTTAATGAGAATTGGATGTAAGAGGTACATTTGGTCAATATTCAAGTGGCATAATTTGTGGTGCTTCTCCATTTGTTGCAAAATAAGTCTTGGAAATCAAAATCAAAACTTTAGTTTCTCAGGATATTTGAATGAGATTGTAGCCATAAATATTATAATTCATGTAAAACATTTTTTTATAAAGTGAAGTGATTTGGTCTGAATGGTAGTTACTCTTGAATAACTCTGATATTTGGGGTAATGTAGAAGAATAGACTGCGGAAAGGGAAATTTAAACAACAACTTTCAATGGTAATGAAATGTAATGATGCATGAAATGTAATCAATTTGTATTGCCATCCACAAGGTACTGTGCTTGGAATAAATTGGCTTTTGTCCCAGTCCTTTTCTTACCAGGCAGAAGGGGTGGCATCTTTTAAAGGTGTAAGAGGGTTCTTTTAAGTACCATTAAAAGCTGGATTATAAATGCATAACTTGAAATGAGTTTTGTTGTTGGAAAAGCCAAATTGTGACGTGAGCAGGGTAAAAATAATGGATTTGGGGCAAAACATAGGAAAATTTAAGAATAGCCACAAGTGTACTATTTTTCACCCCTATGGCCTTATATTTTTATGGTCTAAGGCCATGGGTACGTTATATACGTGGACATAGTGTGCACTTTGGATATGGTATATATCACTGAAATTCTCCGTTGGAAAGGATTGCAGGCGCTCTCCGTGTTATAGTTCTCAGGCCCTCATGAGACTTGCCGCTCGGGTTTTAAACGACATGCATTTATTTTGTCGAAAACCTACCATATTTAAAACGGAAACAATTTCAGCGTCTCAAATATTAGATCAATTTTGGTCTACCAAACCGAAACAAAAGACACAATCACTTTGGAGGTTTCGATTAGAAGAGAGGAGTAGATCTATCAGAAAGGCAGGAAACTGATAAAGAGGGGAAATCAGTTACTGAAGCATTTATGGTCCTTGATTGGTTCTTTGGCTCGATTACCATACGCTGTTCAGGAAACTAGCCTTTGCCATATAAAGCTGTACACAGCTATACAGAGCTCTACAAAGCTATACACGGCCATACACAGCTATACAAGGCCATATTAGGCTATACACAGCTATAAAGAGCTAGACACGGCTATACAAAGATATACACAGCTATACACGGTTATACAGGGCTATAAACAGCTATACACACCCATACAGAGATGTGCAAAGATGGTTGAAAGAAATATTGACTTCCCGTTGCTATTCTATTGAACGCTCGTGATCGAAATCGTTTTCAATGTTGCTGTAACGATTCGATTTGCATCAGATTTATCTGTTCCTGAAAGGTGGAGGATTAGGCGCATCAAAAACGAAATTAAGGGCGTCCGCAATTGTGTCTTCTAGAGTAAAAATAAACTAAATAGGCTAACACCTTGATTTCCGCGGGTGTTGAGTTGAAATGGCGTTACTTTCAAAAATTATATTGTTAAACCTTACTCAAGGATCAGTTTGTCATCTAATAGGTATAAAAATGCCGTAAAATGGATTTTCATAAAATTTATTGAATTTTTAATCCGGAATAGGCCGTAAATATCACTTAAGTGCTCAAGCGATCGTAGAAAACCTGCAGAGCTAAACGGAAAATGTTATCCACTACTTAGTTATTAATTCAAATGGCAGCAATTGAAGCAAATGCAGACTCTCTTCTTAAGTCTTCCTGTAACAGGTAATCTGTTCTTTCGAATCATTCTATCTTTTTTTTTACACACAAATTGTCTTTTTCACGTGTTTATTTCTTTGATAACACTCTTTTACAACAAGTAAAAAAGAGAATTCCGTCAATGAGGGAATGCAGAACTATCGTTGAAATACGAGTAATTCAGAAAACTACTGTGGTCAATTAAACAAGCAACAAAATGTACTTATTCTGAAGCAATCCAACATGAACGAGTTCGCATACGACTAGTTATACCTTTTCCAACATAAACATGAAATCTATGTAATCACTCAATTTTGACACAAAGCTGTATTTTCTTAGTAATTTCTCTGTGGATTAATAGTGTGGATTAGAAATCAGGAATCACTGGTCATCTTTTCTCGTGTTTTTCATCCATTAGAGTCTGATTGGACATGAGATCTGACAAGGGTAACTTTTTGAAAACTTTCTTTTAGCATAAAGAACGGATTTAAAAGGTAACGGAAGTGAAACCTTCAAAAATTTCATTGAACAGGATAGAGTAGTCTTATTTTATGTGTATTTTACGAATCAATGCTTCTTAGGTGCGCTATTTTAACCGCGATCTGTGCTGTAGACTTCGCAGCTATGTTTTAAGACATGTCCATAACAGCAGGAGACAAATCATGCAATCTTTTTGAATTTATGGAAAGTCCCTGACTTAGCAACACGTCCCGGCAAACCATCAAACAAAGCGTTTCAATGTTTCTCCAGGTTCCACAATCCACCCCTGTATTTTAACCTATTTTGATCTTTCACCCCTTTTTCCATGGAGAGACGGTCGCCCTATTTCGCTTCTTCCGTTTTAGGGGTTTTTCCCGGGTCAGCTCGAGCTTGAAGAAGTTTCCACAATTAAAGCATCTGCAGGCTTCGGTGCATCCTATGCCACCTGTTACACACGAACACTTATACTTGCGGAGACCGTCTTGACACGACTTGTGACTTGCATTTTGTTCTCTGGCCCCTTTGCCTTTTTTTCCGTCTCCGCACCTACAGCCTCTCTTCAGACTCTTTTTTATTATCACAACTTCATTGGAATTACATGTATTTTGCAATTCTAACATCTACACGAGCGGGTACAAGAGTGGTTCATTTTGTGGCACGGGCATTTACCAGAAACACAGGAAATATCTGAAGACTTATTTTTCTTGTTTTTACCGCAAGTGCATCTTGTTTCCTTCGCTTGTTCGTCACAGTCATTATCACTTGAAACTTCTGAAACGATGAAACCATGTCAAGAATTAATACAATGGTTTTCGACAAGGTTTCGACAAGTTAAAAGTCATTAGTATATACTAAAGCAGTGGATAGCGTTGTTAGTACACACTGTTTTAGTGTGTACTAAAAAAAAACTATTCGCCTCAGTGTCGTGGCTAGTAGTGGATATTTACCAAGCCGCTTCGCGGCTCGTTAAATATCCACTTCTAGCCACCTCCACTTCGATAAATAGTTATTAATTATATCTGAAATAGCCTCGATTTACAGAATTTGTTTTAGCACAAATGAAGAAGACATCGTTTTGTCCATTAAATGATTTCCGGCTCAATTTACGTAAGCATTAACAACTTAGTACTAGTACAAGACTTCAACCCAATAAAGGTACCAAGACATCGGGAGGGTCTCGAAAAATTCTCAGTTCAAACTTCGATATGTAAGGGGGTATGTAACATTATCAGAATTCACTATAGCTAGTTTAACCTGGGGTTATTTAACAGTTATTGAGTATTTTTTGTAGCATCATAGTAGCCGGGCCCAGAATAATCACATGCAATGTAGATGGGTGTGGTAGTAAGGAACTCGTGTGGTAGGAATGGCACCATAGGGGTTGAAGGGAGAGTGGTAATAATAATCACAATTGGAATTTTCAAGAGTTTAGCTGTTGCTCTCGCGCATAAATCACAAACTTCATTTGCAAAAAATCCGTGTTGGCTAGATTTGTAAACTTCCTCTAACTCATTAACGCCGGTTGTCATCCAGTCTTTGTACTCTTCAATGTTATCAGAGGCTTCTTTCACAAACAGCTCCCTAAGTCTGCGTGTGTCGAAAGCTTCACTAATCCAAGGGAAGTGCAGTCCTCTTCGATATGTTCCCTGTATCCCCTCAAGTGTTTACTGAGCCGCGAGGTAACTGCTCTGAAAAAACAGTTTCCATTTTTTGCGATCTTGTCAACTTCAAGGTTAAAACCCGAAAGGTTCCTTATTAAATAATCCATGTGTTGAGCAGTTAAGTCTAATTTCAAAGAATCCATCTTCATCTCTCCTTCTATAAACTTTTCAGTTTTTAAACTGGTGAACCAAAGGAAAGCCAGGATATCTACCGTTTTTTTTTTTACATCTTTCCGTACAGGCGTCTATAAAATCTTGGAGATGTAGAACTCTTTAGATGATAAAAGCTATGATACTCCGGGTTTAAAGTTGCTCTACGAGTCCCGGAAAATTTACGTTACTCCGTGTGCTCATGAAGTCCTCTGCATGAGAAATTTCAAGTTGCTTCATGCTTCAAAGGTTACCTTCTCTAGTTATTTCAACTGGCATAACAGGCTTAGCTCTCGAGGTCAATCTGTTAATTTGTCGTTTGCAATTCCAGGCAAACAGTGCACAACTCATTAGTACATTTCGCTTGTACGATTACGTAATCACAGGCATAACTCCTCTGACAACTCCACGCCCTTAATTTCATTTTTGATGTGCCTAATTCTTCGCCTTTCAGGAACAAATAAATCTGATGCAAATTGAATCGTAACAGCAATAGCTGTGTATAGCTCTTTATAGTTTTGTATAGCCTTATATGGCCCTGTATAACAATGTATAGCCCTGTATATGTGGGAATAGCTCTGTTTATCTGTGTATAACTTTGTATTGCTGTGTATAGCCCTGTATAGCTATGTATAGTCCTATATAGCTGAGTATAGCTCTGTACAGCCGTGTATAGCTGGGTATAGCCTTATATGACCCTGTATAACAATGTATAGCCCTGTATAAGTGTGTATAGCTCTGTTTATCTGTGTATAGCTTTGTATTGCTGTGTATAGCCCTGTATAGCGGTGTATAGTCCTGTATAGCTGTGTCTAGCTGTGTAGAGCCCGGTATAGCTGTGTATAACCCTGTATAGCTGTGTAAAGCTCTGTATAGCTGTGTATAGCCCTGTATAGCTTGCCCTGTATAGCTGTGTACAGCTGTGTATAGCCCTGTATCGCCGTGTATAGCTGTGTATATCTTTGTATAGCCTCGTTAATAGCTGTGTATAGCTGTTTATAGCCCTGTATAATGTATAGCCCTTTATATGTGGGTATAGCTCTGTTTATCTCTGTACAACTTTGTATTGCTGAGTATAGCCCTGTATTGCTGTGTATAGCCCTGTATAGCAGTGTATAGCCCTGTATAGCCCTGTATAGCTGTGTATAGCCCTGTATAGCTGTATTTAGCTCTGTCTAGCTGTGTATAGCCCTTTATAGCTGTGTATATCTCTTCATAGCTGTCTATAGCAGTGTATAGCACTTTATAGCCCTGTATAGCTTTGTATATCTTTTTATAGCCGTGTATAGCTCTGTATGGCTGTTTATAGCTCTTTATACCTGTTTATAGCCTTACATGGCCCTGTATAGCTATGTATAGCCCTGTATGTGTGGATATAGCTCTGGTTATCTGTGTATAGCTTTTTATTGCTGTGTATAGTCCTGTAAAGCTATGTATAGCCCTGTAAAGCCGCGTATAGCTGGGTATAGCCCCGTATAGCTGTGTATAGCCTTGTATAGCTGTGTTTAGCTCTGTCTAGCAGTGTATAGCCCTGTATAGCTGTGTATTGCCCTGTATAGCTGTGTATTGCCCTGTATAGCAGTGCATATCTCTGTATAGCTGTGTATAGCTCTGTATAGCTGTGTAGAGCCCTGTATAGCCTTGTATATCTTTTTATTATATACTCAACAAAATATCGCGTTTCTGATTGGTCCATGATGAATGCATAAATAGGTTATAGAGTGCAATAGAGGTTATAGAGTGCAATACGGAGAAGTTGCCATGGAAACACCGGGGAGGCGCCAAATTTGAACACAAATTTGAGAATATAATAAATAAAAAATCGTATGAACCTGCTCGTGCATTTCGTGATTTATGGTCACTCGTGATGTTTTGAAAGTTCTCAAATTGCACTCGCCTACGGCTCGTGCAATTTTGAGAACTTTCAAAATATCACTCGTGCCCATAAATCACGAAATGCACTCGCGTTCATACGATTTCCTATACGTATAGCCGTGTATAGCTCTGTATAGCTCTTAATAGCTGTGTATAGCCTTATATGGTCCTGTGTAGCTGTTTATAGTTCTGTATAGCTGTGTATAACCCTGTATAGCTGTGTATAGCTGTGTGTATCTCTTTATAGCCCTGTATAGCTGTGTATTGCTCTGTGTAGCTCTTTATAGCTGTGTATAGCCTTGTATGGCCCTGTACAGCTGTGTATAGCTCTGCTTAGCTGTGTATAGTTGTTTATAGCCCTGTATAGCTGTTTATAACTCTGTGCAAGGCGAGTGTTTTTTGAATGAACGACAGCCGAATTCACCGGAACATGAAGATCGCTGCAGTTACTGATGTGACTTTCCACTCAACGCATCGGAAAGGATATCAGAGCAAGCTCTTATTTTTTCACTCGAAGGGCGACCGATGCAGTTTCTGAGGCTTGCTTTTCTGTTATGACCGGAGATCGCCATGGTGAGCAAGCCGCGACGGACTTCAGCATGATCATATTCGCTCTGACACCATTATGATTGGTATGAATTTTAACAGGTATGCCAGTTTGGTTATATTTTTCATCATTTCTGTTTTGTTCTGTTTTGTTTTTGAACACTGAACTTTATATACTATACGAGTGTTAGCGGTGTTTGATTTTTATTGCCGTACGTACGCTTGCAATCTAACTGAGCGTGAAAATCTTTAAAACTCGGAATGTCTATTTTGTTTTTCCTTTGAGGATTTTCCTATCTGCTCACGTTTTAATAACGTAAATTACGGCGCCTGGTATGTTTACAAATCTTTGTTTGGTTCTTCTGTTGCTACTTGCCGGCTCGCTTGTTCCGAAATTTCACTTTCAGTTATCGAAAAAAAGCTAAAAAGTCCCGCAAAAGGTCGAACAATACACTTTGGCAGATGGCGTGACTGCTTTAGCTCAGTTCTATGCTCTATTTAACAAATAGATTCCAAGTTGCCGTGCGTCTGTTCAGTAATAGATCACAGATGACGTCAAAATGTGGTTAGAACAAAAAAGTGGCACAAGAGGCGCAGCCGAGTGTGTCATGGATGTTCTTACCACATTTTGACGTCCTCTGTGATCTATTACTGAACAGACGCACGGCAACTTGGAATCTATTTGTTTTATATAATAAAGAAGTAAAAAAAGTTTTAACGATGACGTCATCTATACGTCTGTCCTCCAATAGATCATAAGTGAGAACCAATCAAAACGCATGCATAACTGAGCTTATTATATAATTAACAAATAGATTCCAAGTTGCCGTGCGTCTGTTCAGTAATAGATCACAGATGACGTCAAAATGTGGTTAGTACAAAAAAGTGGTACACGAGGCGCAGCCGAGTGTGTCACGGATGTTCTTACCACATGTTGAATTTTAACCATCTATGAAACTGGATTTGCATGTTAGCTGTGCAGAGGCATTTTCCAAGCCAGCCCAACTTTGTCTATTTTACTTCAATTTCTATAGAAATGTCTTTTACATACTGCTCAACAATTGTCCATATTAGACTTTGGCGAAATAGAGGACTCTTGGTTTGAAGTTTTTAGTTTGTGATCAATTGAAAATCCCACCTCTAAAAAAGTCACTTAAAATGTAAGGAGTTTTTTTTTACAGGAAAAAAGAAACTTTTGTGCTTCTAGAATTTTTTTGTGGGATGGAGTGGGTCTAGAAATGTACAAAGGATATATCTTGATTTTTGAACATAGGTGACATGTTACTTACTAATACAGTGCATGGTTCCTTTAACTCTCTGATCACTTTGCAGGGATACAGCTGGCCAGGAGCGTTTCCACACAATTACCTCATCATATTACAGAGGAGTAATAGTGAGGTTATTCATAGTTAGGATGTTGTACATTGGTACAGTCATGACATATTGACTTAGAGTTGACAACTCAAGACCGATTACTTCCTCTGACTGACTGATAAGAGAAATAAAATTTTCTTGGCAATTTCAGAATGCACTTGATGTTGAAATGATGATCCTTGGTAACAAGTGTCATATGAATGATAGAAGAGTTGTTACCAAAGAACGTGGAGAACAGGTGAATTAAGTGAACAATTGGTGCATTGTACGAGGTGCACTTTTTGATATACTGCCTCTGTTTCATATTAATGCTGTCATACCCTTTTTTATTAACTTTTGAAGAAAGCTCTTAGACAACACTCTGAAGGCCTCTATTGAAAATAAAAAACTATAATACTATTGTATTTGCATGTTCAGCCTTAACAAGGAAAACTTATTTAGTCTCCTTTGCTGGAATGACACGCTGAAATGTAAAGAGTGTTGACAAAGGCTAGAAGGTTACACTCTATGTAATCAAAGAATCTGGAGAGAATTAGTAACATCACTAAAATATTTTCAAATGTTCAAAAAAATTTTGACTTTGGAAACCAGTGTCCATTTTTTTAATCATGCTGATCAACATGGCTGCTTGCTTGTGATAACACAGTATAGCCTATCATTTTCTTTGAACATTTAAGGGCTACTCAAAAAGATGTTCCTGACTTAAACAGTGATTCAATAGTGAAAATGAAAGTGATATGTTCTCTGGGGCATACTTTTCTTTTTAAAGAGTATTATAGTATTTTCGAAAGGTATTTTTTGGAGAGAGTATGTCAATTAGATGTACTGCTGCAGTAGCACTTGCTGAACAACACCCTTTTGTCATAGATTGCCAGAGAACATGGTATTCACTTCTTCGAAACAAGCGCCGAAACCAATGTCAACATAGAACAGGCATTCTACACCCTAGCAGAAGATATTCTAAAGAAACAATTGACCAAAGACAATGAGGAAACTTCCCAAAACATCTGTGTGAACGATATACAAGAGAAAAAGTCTAGCTGCTTTTAAAGAGAGTTTTGACAGCAGCTATATTTTTGGTAGACAATTCACTTAAAATGTACAGTTAATTCTTATGGGGGATAGTCAGTCCCTGGAACAGAAGTGTATGTAGTTTCCATGTGTGAGATAAATGGAGAGGATGGACTTCCCACTTTCCTCACACAGAAAGTTTTAATTGGTGATGTAGTGTTTTACAATCCTCTTCTGATATTGGTAGAGATCGATCAATGGGCTACCTGTGAGAAATTGGTTAATCTGTGCATTTAGGGTGGGAGGAAAAGCAGTAGTAAACTTACCTTAAGTTCCAAAAGATCAATTCTCTCTAGAGGTTGTCATACATTCCTTTTAATGAGAATTGCATGTAAGAGGTACATTTGGTCAACATTCAAGTGGCATAATTTGTGGTTCTTCTCCATTTGTTGCAAAATAGTAGAAAATACTGTAATTCATGTCAAACATTTTTCGATTAAGTAAAATAAAGTGATTTGGTCTTGAATGTTAGTCAGTCTTGAATAACTCAGATATTTTGGGTAATGTAGAAGAAAAGATTGCAGAAAGGGAAATTTAAACAACAACTCTCAACGTCAATGACAAAACCTCCAGATGCATGAAATGTAATCAATTTGTATTACCATCCACAAAGTAATGTGCTTGGAATAAATTTGCTTTTGTCCCAGTCCTTTTCTTACCAGGCAGAAGGGGTGGCATCTTTTTAAAGGTGAGGGAGGGGTTCTTTTCAGTATAATTCAAAGCTGGATTATAAATGCATAACTTGAAATGAGTTTTGTTGCTGGAAAAGCCAAATCGTGACGTAGAGCATGGTACAAATCATGGATTAGGGGCAAAACGTGGGAAAAGTTAAGAATAGCTACAAGTTCACTATTTTTCACCTTTTGCTAACCACAATCATCCCAGCCCCCCCTTCAAGTTGTTAACTACCTCAGAATATCTTCTAACAAACAATTCTGGCAGTCGTCACTTGCCTTAACCTTTTAAAAGTCTATGGAAAAGCAGAGAAAATGGTAACAGACACACTTAGACTATTAAACTGGTACCCGCACTACCTAACCTCTGGTGCATAAATCAGAGGCTGAAGCTGCCTCAGAATTTCCAAAAAATGCGTTAGCTTACTTCCTCCTTTAGGGCAGGCAGTCGGTCTAAGGCTATAAGTACGTTACATACGCGGACATAGTGTGTACTTTGGATATGGTCCATGTCAGCAGAGGGGCATTTTGTTGCGCATGTCCGGTAAATTTTAGTTTGATACGAGAAACCGCTGGTATGCGCCTGCGTCGGTTTCCCTTTCGAGAATCACGAAAGAAAAGAAGCAGTAAAATACGTCGGAAAAAACAATGGTTCGAGTATTTGAGACAACCTTTCTTCTCATTTTTTCTTCTGTAACGTAGATGGAAGCGGCAAATCCTTGAAATTATTGTGTGATGTGTGGAAGGAAGTTATTTTCAGAATGCAAAAGATTGTTCGAGTCTTGTCTCGTGATTGTCTGGGCGATCGATGAAGATGATGTTATTTTTGAAGGATGCAATTGGCCTGTTGAAGAGTACAAAAGAATTGGATAGTATACTTTTATCGTGTCATTGCTATCTCAAGTTATAGGTGATCATTTGAAGTACTCGCCTTTCTGTAAGCGTTTTTTAGAGCTTCAACTGTACTGCTAGTGCAGTGTACCTCCAATTTTGGCAAAAATGTAAAGTTTACAGAGGTTTATGTTTTGCTTCAAAAGTTTTTTTTTGACATGAATCACAACCGGCAGGGCCAATTACCAAAATAAAAAAGGTCAATGTCGAGTAAAGAAAAGTAAGACAATGCTAATGCTAGAGATATGGTAGCTCCATCTGGTTAGAAATGGAGGAATAATTATGGATTTTATCAGAGTAAGATAAAGTCTTTTCAATCATTAGTCTCGGAAATATCATCAGATATGATCGATGATGTGGGGAAATTGTGAAAGAAAACAAGTACTACTTTGGGCTTCCAGTTGTAAGATGAATAGTTAAATCAATTATTACCCAGTGAAAATCACTATCATTTATCATTTCAACTGCACAAAAAAATCATATACACTCTTTGCAACCTTATTCTCCAACCTATTAAATTACAAGAGTTGTGTGACAATTTGATGGTCTGAAAAGACTCTTACACATGCTAAACAACAAAGAACCAGTAAGGCTGATATTTAACAGTGAGGGTAAAAAAAAAAAAGCCTTTTCTTTTCAGGAATAAGACTTAGTGAGGTCAGATTAAACTAATGTGAAGAGGTTTGTTGATCTCTTTATGAAAATTGATGCTCTACATCTATCAGATTTTAGAGAAATGAGACCTAAGTCAAAAGGGGACTTTGATATTGCATATTCTGCAGTAATGGGCATCAGCTTGGATGCCTATTTGCAGAAATTAATAGTTTTCAAGCCAGGGGTTTGGCTGTGCTAATTTTAAGGCAGAAAATCATAAATCAGTTGCTTAAGAAATTTTTAGCTCTGCCTGGAAGCTCAAACACTGCTATGGAACAGGACAATATTTCGCCTGATCACTCCTCATATTGTTTTCCCATGAAATTTGGACAAAACTTTCAAAAAACTTTATTGGTAATTTTATAGTTGCAAAAAAAGGTATAGACACAAGTTGCATATAGCATAAGCTAGTTGAGGCAAGTTGTGTGGAGAGAACAAAAGATTGATAATTTATACCAGTAGTAAGCTTCTGGTACTAATGACATTCTCTTGAATGCCAGCTTGCCACAGCAAATGTCACACCTATCCTTTCTGTCAATAGTACTGACCATATGTAGTGGGGTCACTTCACATCTCCCTAGACAGCAGAGAACACAATAGTTAATTCCAATCATCAGTCTCAATTAAGAAATAAAAATTGAAGGATCAAGACTTATCTGGCAAAGAGAAATACAAGTCAAACTGGTTTGAAGACATTTTAACCCGAAATTCGTTTTCAAATATGACAGAAATATTGTAGTTCACATTCTAAAGAAAGAGAGTTCCAGCCCCTTGAGTAATTATTCATTTATTGTATCGCTCACCTCATGTTTTAAGAACCAGAGAAAGTTAGATAATTTTAATCTGCGAGTTTTATAGTACACTTCGACTCAAAATTCATTTCGTATGGCAGAAGTATTCTACTGAAATAAACAAGACAGAATGAAGCTGACGCCATCCGTTTCGAATAACACATGAACATGAAGAAAACGGCACCAGTTTAAACTCATGAGACAAAGCCCACGGATTTTTTTTTTTGAGGTAAATGAACTGGTTAGACCGAAGGCTAAATAAATAAACAATGAACTGACAGTGGTGAGAGATTTGGGGCCATGTGATAAAACAAGTTCTACCGAAGTTTATCCTCTAGTTAGCCCTTCAAGCCCAAAAGGGCAATCAGAAAAATTCTCACCAAAACACAGCAAAAAAAATAGATAAAACCGCAGATGATCGAGGCAAGACTATAAACGTTGTTAAGACGCATGCCTACGTACCAAGTACAACAGACTTGGAGAGCAAAATGGCCAAAGACAGTTGTGAGCCATGACTTTGAAAATCCACCTCAACCTCCCAAAAACGAATTCGCCGAAGGTTATAGAAAGAGCAACTCAATCCTGAAGCTGGAACATTTTTAAGCCTTGTGTCCAATGGGACAACAAAGAGAAAGAAGATAAGATGTTATTTGAAGTGATTTGAAGCTTGGGGGCCACCTCGAACTTAACGTAATTTTATTTCAAAGTTGAAGTAAAATAAGATCCAATTGTAAACTACCTTCTATTATCGTAACGAATATCTCACGATCGCCTCCACACATCACTTCGTGATTTATAGAAGTAAGACATCAACATCTTAAGACTAACCTTCAAGGTTTGTAGTCTCATGTGCACATCTTGATCGTCAGCAAATCAAATCTCAAACTTCAAGTTTTCGACTTTTTTTCGCGTTTTGTTCGCACTTTGATCATTAAAATATCCTCATCCGAAGAGCCAGCAAACTCCACAAGTATCCACAGAGTTAGAAATGGTAGTAAACTTGTCATACTCTTCCATCCCTCTCCAAAAAATATCACAGAAAGGTGTCGATCGCTCAGTTGAAAACCCGCAAAAGCGCGCTGAAAATATCAAAATGGCGCCGAACGCGCCGAACAAATTTTCTTGGCGCATGCGCAACAAAATGCCCCTCTGCTGTCCATGTCACCAAAATTTTGCGTTGACAAGGATCGCTGAGGCTCCCTGTGTTCTAGTTCTCAGGCCCTTATGAGACTTGCAGCACGGGCTTGAAACGACATGCATTTATTTTGTCGAAAACCTGCAATATTTAAAACGGAAACAAATTCAGCATCTCAAACACCAGACCAATCTGACCTAGCAAGCCGAACGAAAGACAACACAATAATTTTGGAGTTTTCGATTAAAAGAGAGGAGGGGATCTATAAGAAAAGCAGGAAATTGATAAAAAGGGGAAATCAGTTACTGAAGCTTTTTTGGTGTATTGATTGCATCTTTGGCTCGATTACCATAAGCTGTTCAGGAAAGTATCCTTTGTTCCTGCCCTAGAGTGACGGAAGGGTCGTAACCAGACTCGATTTAAACCCACCTGATCGCTAATTAATACTGATTTTTTTGAAAAAAAATCAATCCCGTTAGTGATCCACTAGACTTCGAGTGATTTTTTATATCAGTTAGTAATACGACACGCGTACTCTTTGACCTGCCTTGGCTCAGTTTGAATTTGTCTGGCAACAGAAATGAGGCAAGATTCAGACTATTGACGTATTAACATTAAGTACTGAGGTCTTCGTCTATCAACACGACGAATACTCCTCTGAAAAATTTGTTAAACTAACAAAGCGTTAATTCCATCGTTCTTATCTTAACTACTCATGGTCAAACAACTTTGATCACGAAATCCGAGGCCATTACTGATCGTTTATCTACCTTGTTACCACACCATAAATTCAGCGCTCTTCCTCTCCGCGTCAGAGAAGAACGGAAATGTCAGTTCTTCAGGAGCAACCTAGAGTAAGCATGACCGATAAATTGGATCTTTCAGCGGTTTTTCCACTTCACTCATGTCCCACCTTTGGAGTGGGTATTTCAGGTATGTCACGTCTTGAACTTGGGAGGAACATGGACATCATAGCTATCTATTATCTCAATCTGCGCACCGATTTCTTTTTGATCAAGACGAAAGATTGTTTTATCAAAATAGATCAAATTTTTTAAAATGGCATTTGTTGCCTTAGTTAGCCGATAACGTGACCATGGATACTCTTTGACTTTTGCAGTGTAATTCCCTCAGGCACTAGACAGGGAAAATCGTTGCATCACCTTGCAAACGTCAGAGCAATTCAATAATTGTTTTACTTTGTAGCGTGTCTTTTATTTCAACTTCCGGTGTTTTCGTTACACCGGAAATCCATCCTATTCGTACCCACATTTACTATCCCACAATGCATGATGCACTTATCTCCGCCATCTTACTTTTCTTTGCTCTCAAAACAACTACAAATTACAGCTTGTATCACTGCGTTTCCCAGCGGGTAATTTTGACAATAATTTATACAGGAATCTTCCTCAATTATAAAATATCAACTGCAAAGGAAGATAGCACGTCGGAGGGACGTTATTTCAAGTGAGAGCCTACCATTGTTGTGTCATATCGAAATTGGTTTTAAGGAGAGGGAAAACGGAAATAGGCTACAGATTTCCCTACAGAGTTTCGACAACTGAATGTCTAACGACAACTTTCAGCCAGAATTCAAGCTCTATACTGGCTGTTGATATACTGTTGTTCTAGTCAAGATGAGAGGAAATCGAGGTGAATGACAGCGACATAAAATGTCTCGGAATTCGAGCAAGAGAAACAGTTCTAATCGTGGATCAACGGGATCGGACACAGCTCGTTCAACACTGAAGGTTGTCCTTTCAAATGGCGATTCCAGATCAGTGAAATGTGGCGAAGCAACAGATGTTAAGGTTGGTTTATCCATTTCGTTGTATATCCAGTCTTTTCGTGGCGGCATTTTTGTGCTTTTTATTGTTTTGATTTTAGTATTTAATCGCACGAAAACTCTTCAGGAATTCTTGGTGGGGTTTACATAAATTCAATTGGTGCCTGGTGAGAGATTGCCGAACCGTACCCAATGATTTTCATCTTTTCTTTTTGTGTTGTTTTGTTTCTTTTTGGTTTTTCTGTACGCGTTTTACCGGTACTCTCTCAGCAATGTTTTCTCTGTCTAATCTGTGATCATAATTTTCGTGGTTGAACATTGTAACAATTTTTTTTGCGACGGATATGGTTTGATATTTTAGCTGACCGTGCTCTAAATTTATTTTAGAAAAGTAACAATTTAAAGAAATAATACTAGGAAAAGATCTTTGGATTATCTGGTTCTATCCTAACAATCTTACTTTGCTCGAAACCAGTGTTTTATTTTGGACTTCAACAATGTGTTTTTTATTACGAACCATTATCATAATGAACCCGTTTTCTTCAAATGTATTGATGACGATCCGAAATACGATAAAATGTCAAGAACTAAAGATCGTGCAGCAAATATAGAGGATTCTTCTGTTGGATTTGCGTCTTAACAACACGGATTAAGTTTAACAACAGTTACTGTAATGAATACAATGTTGGAGGTTAATTCACTGTCAGTGAACAATGTTCTTGTTCCGAGATTTAGCCGGATTGAATAATATTTTTTTTCGAATTCGTGTGCCAGGTACTTTATGATATTGTTGAAAATAAATTTCTTTAGAAAGTACTTAAGGGTCAACTTATAAGATTCCATCTCTTGATCTTGTTTTGATGTCCTTTTAAGATTGTTTTTCATTTCGTAAAAAGAAAAGTTAATTTGATCCAGATCGTAATGATTTGATTAGCATGATTGGCAATTAGTTGATCACTTTCCTTTTATCCTTTAATAAGAATCCTGGTAATTAGATTTGTTGGGTTGTGGAGCTGTCTTTATCACCTAGAATCTTTTGCTTCGATATCCTTTAAATTCCAAAATTATATTCATGCAATGCATAAATATTATTTAGATCACATCAGCTTAGCAAATACTACACAAGTATGCATTTTGCTACTCTGTATGAGATCTGTTTTCATTTTTCAATAATTATTCTATTTAAATTGGTTGATTAAGGTACTACCAAAGTTTGGTTAGGGCTAGTTTTGATTAGAGTATGTAGGTTATTACATGTTTTCCAATTTTGAAACTGGGTCAGATTTTCTGTAGATCTCCCTAAATATGAGATTAAAAGCAAAGAAGTATCCAAGGAGAGACATAATTTGTTCCCAATGCAAGTTTTTGGCTTTGAGTAGCCATCTGCAGTTAGTTAATGTTGAAATTAATGTTTTGTTTTGCCTTACTCACCTGTACAATGAAATATGTCAAATTGCTGTAAACTGCCTTTTGAAAATTGTTATTTTTATTGTACAAGTTTGCTTAACTTGTGGAAAGCTAGAAGTTCTGATGCAAACAGAATTTACTGGCTGCAAGACTTTAAAATCTGGTTTTAATTGCTGTCACTTGAAAAGTAATTGATCACTTAAGTCATAAATGAATGAAAGTGCCAACAATTATTATTAACTAGTCAATAATGGAAGATTTGGAATGTTCTAAATCACATGGGATGAAATATATGATGAAAAAAGTCATGCATTTGTACCTCTAGCTCTATCTCAAGTCATGAGACAGTCATTTTCTCTGTCCTGTGACCAAATGTATACCTTTGAAGCTGTCTTAGAGAATTTGATTATGTCTCCTCAGTCATTAAATATAGTAATAGTCATTTATCACTGTCAAACCTCTGTAGTTATTTATTATTTTAATATACTGTCTTATGGGTGTTCATGTTATTTAAGCAAAAACTCACTTGTAGTATTAAGCCTTTTTTAAAGGTATATTAAAAGGTACACATTTTAGGATTCAACAGCAACTGTAATTGCTACTGTGGCCTTAAAAACTTCAGACTGGTCTGTGGGGTCTCTTGACCTTACGTCAGAAAGCTGATTCCCTGCAATTAAACACCTTCGATTTAACCTTAAATCTTTTGGCCAAAAAAATGTGCACATTGCTTTTGATAGTGCTTCTACTTTTCAGTAGAAGTTGTAATCTTGGTCTAACACCAAATTATTGAATGTAATTAGCCAGAAAATGTGTAGCAGTTAGAGAGGAGAGTAAATGATCAGATTTTGGGTGCCAAAGGGTTAAGGAGAAGTTCAAATGCCATTTCAGTTGCCACCTTTTATCTTGTTTTTCCATTAATGTTTTATGCAAAGCATGGTCTTTTTTTCTATTGAGATAGACCTCAACTTTTCATATTTATTTAATTTTGCTATTACTATGTTAAATTACAGTTACAAATAAGAAGGAAGAGAAACAAATGGCAATGAGACCCTAAAAAATTTTTCCAAAGCTGGTTAACATAGGTTGCCCCACATGAAAAGCAGATTGAGTTATTTTAGACAACAGATGAAAGGGACAATATATTGACAAGGAAATTTGTAATTTGTAATTTAGAGTGCAAGAGACAATGAGCAAGTGTTTCAGGAAAAATGTTTTGGTTTATGGCCATCTGAATTCTTTCAAAATACATGATTGCAAATGTTTGTGAAGCAGAACAAATGGAATTGCTGCAGGTTACTTGTATCTTGCAGGATCTTGGCTTATAGCTGAGAGATTTCCAATTTTGTTTGGTAAGCATCATGCTAGTATCAGCTTTGAAAAACTTAGAGTCTCAGCCTAAGGCCAAGATCAGCTTATAGCTGAATTTCATAACATACCAAATAGTTTGCATTTGTCAACATTTCAGGGAATTGTTCATTTGGTGATTGGAAGTCTTGGTGCTGATCCGATAACTGCAGGAGACTACTATGGCATTAAACTTGAACATGTCAATACAAATGAATCCTTTTGGCTCAATAGTAAGGTCACAATGGGTGAGGTACGAGGCAAGCATGAGGCTCTTTATCCTGCAGATGAGTGGAAGTAAGTCAGTGTTCTCCCCTATTTAAGTTTAAAAAAGCAAAATAACTTTTTATGCAGTGAAATGCAATTTAACAGAGCTAACAACAAAGAGCATTAAGGTTCTCTAGTAGTCAGCAGTTTTTTGCATATGTGCATGCATCTGAATTCCATGTGCTCTTCGTTTGGGGCATTCTTGCATGAGCTTTGAGCATGAACTTGCAGTGTTAAGAGGAGTGCTAGCTCATCATCCGGGCAGTTTTCCCCACCCCTTCCCTCCCTCTTCCCACTGTTTATTCAGTGTGACAGTTGCCTATTTCCACTCATGGCTGGGTTGCCAGGATTTGCCAGCCACGGGAAAAGTCTCCATCTAGGAGCTGGCTACAAATAGTGGAAGCTCCTGGATGTTTCAGGTACCCAACCTCCACTTAGTGATGCAGTTGTTAAAAACTGGTAGAGCAAATCTCTTACCTGTGCAATTTTCAAGCACAGTACTTTTGGCAGAAATAAGAGGTTCTACAGGCAGTAAATTTTATTGATTACTACCTGAAAAGAAGGAAACTGAGTACTTATTGGTGCAAGCAAGCTGTTGGTTTACAGAACAAAATGGTGGCAGAAAATAATTGATAATAGACTGGTATCCTGTTGAGGGGTACTTAATGATGTAGTAATAATTCTATTTTACTACCACTACAGAAACTGTGATAGTCATGAGTAGGAAGTGACATGTGCTTGTTATTTAAATTCATCTTCAGGTACCAACTAAGAGTGCGATATTTTCCTAAAGATTTGAAAGAGCTGTACACCAGAGACAAAGTTACTTTCTTTTATTTATTTGATCAGGTATGAGTACAGATTTAGTTCTATTAATTGACAGTTTTTCAGTCATCATTTTAAAGGATATGTTGTCTTTGTAATAGTTTTAAATTATAGGATGAAAGCTCTCATGATAGCAAAGGCAGTTATTCTTAGTAATGGGATTTTGAGTTAAACGACACTGTATTTCTCTGTCCTTAATTACTTTCATTATTAACAGTAAGGGATCAGCAGACTTTTGATGTTTTTAAGACATGTATCAGAAAACAAGATCTAGATAAGCTTATCTGTACAATGACTCCAGAAATTGTGTCCGTCTATTGCACCTCTTAGTATGTATATATTTGCTTCAATTGAGTGTGTTTGTCTGTCATAGGATTATATATAATAGAACTTTGTACATCATCAGTTGAGTTATTCTAATTATCCCTTTTAGTTTTTATGTTAGTCCTTACTAAGCAAGTATCCACTATATTTATTGACATAAAAATGAAGTTATTTGAGCTAGATAATAATATATGAGAGTAAAGTATTTGATTGGCAGTTGCACTTATTTTCTGGGTTTTTCTTTGGTTGTTATTCTGTTTATTTACTCTTAAAGATCCACTGGCTCACTGGTTATTAACTCTTTGTAACTGCATGTATTTATTTAATTAACCTTTAGTTAATTTATTTTTCTGTAGGTCAAGAATGACTACCTCCAACACAACAGTGAAAAAGCAGATGAAGACACTGCATTTAGACTTGGAGTTCTGGAAATGAGGTAAAAAAGAAAATAAAATCATAGCTGTTAATTTACTTCACTCTAGCTCTTTTGTAGTAGGGACTGGAAGAAACCATGTCAGCATTGGCAACAAGAATGTTGTGAAGGAACAGATTAAGAGTGACTGGCATCTAAATTCCCCATACAATGTCACCTCTGAATCACACATTATTGTCACAGGAGTAAAGGAAATGACTACCAACTAAAGAAATTTTTTATTGTTAAACAAATTCTCCCTGCCAGCACCTTAAGAAAAGTATGATAACAGTATGGAGAATAAACATACTGATGTTGGCTTAAAAATTGTTATTTTTTTTCTGAACAGGAGGTATTTTAAGGATATGCCTCAAATAGCTCTTGACAAGAAATCAAACTTTGAGTACATTGAGTAAGTAATGTCCTTTTATCTCTTGACCAATCAAACTTCTGTTGCCTCTTCTCTTTTTGCTTTTTTTTTAGTATAGGTAATACGTTACATGATTTTGAGTGCAATGTGGTGTTAATAAACACAAAAAAATTTTTCAAAGACAACAAAACTGCATGAGCCTGTAGGACTTGTGCCATTTGCAGTCTTCGAAAAAATTACCAAGTGCTTAGTTACACAAAATTGTATAAGAAATCATGTTGTTACTTGTTACTAATTTACATGGAAAAAAGCATGATAGAAAGTCAGGACAAACAAAATTTTGACAGCACATGCACTATTTTCAATTTGCACTCTGGTGTTACAACTTTGCACTGGTGTTACAATATTGCATTTGTGTTACTTGAAAAATGCACACAATTTTTTCATTAATATACAATTTTTTCATGTATATTACTAGAAAACAAAATCATGATGGGGATTTTTGATCTTATCAGATTTGTTACCTCATATGTCCTCTTGAGAAGAAACTTAGTTTTGTCAGCATGTGATATTATTTTGGCGTAGTATTCACTTCTCAGATTTCTTTTTGGAAATAATGACTGAACTGCAAAAGACATATTCGCGATATGAATTTTTGTCAGTGATGACGCTGAACTAGTTATTGAGTTGTCTTCAAAATTATGCTGATTCTGTTGTTCATCCATGACTCTTCAAGGGATCAGTTTTCATCAGTTTCATCTTTTTTTTTCTGTGACATTTAGGAAAGAAGTTGGCTTGACCAAATTCATACCAAAGGCTGTTTTGGAAAACATGAAGGTTAGTCTGTGTAACAAATGTGTACATGTAAAAGCTGTATTTGTGTACCCTGTTGTCATGAAACTGAAGGTTAACTATTGTCAGAAAATTTTTTTCTTGGGATGCTTTTATATGTGACTGCATGTGTCTACCCATTTGCAAGGAATGCTAAGTAATACAAACTGTGGTACTCTATCTTTTGTTAGGACAGTGCTAAGTCATGCTTGTGATTGGAGTGCATAATAGGACAGTCAATGCACATGTCTGATATATGCATGTATGCATACTGCTGTTATGCATTTTACCAAGAAGTTTATTGATTGAGATTATTGAAACCATCTTACTGATGACCAGTTTTTTCCTCAAATGTTGCTTTAGTATTGATTAATTAGTAACAGGACTTCATGTCACCCAATTCTGTCCTGTGATCATTTCTGTGTTAAACAAAGAGGATGCCTTCTTCATGGTCATCCCATTTTGTTAATCACCCATACGATTACAGGCTAAATTGGACTCCAGTCAGTCCTATCTCCATAGAGTACAAATCACCATATATGATGTAACTGATATTTAGTGTTACTCATAATGTTGTTTCTTGTTTTTTTTTTAGTCCAAGCTTTTGCGGAAGACCATCCATGGTTATTTTAAGCAGTATGCACACTTGAGTGAAGTGGAATGCTGTTACACTTTTTTTGATATTCTTTCCAAACTTCATCGATTTGAATTGGAGTCTTTCAGATGCTCCTTAGGGGTGAGTGAAGCCTCTGTTTCTTCATCAGTTATTTAATGTTTTAATATCAGACAAAATGTTGTGGGAATTTGCTATGGCATAATTGATTGTGACTTGAATGAAACAGTAGCAGAGGCCAAAAATCCTTCCTCCTCCCTTATAAAAGAAGTGCTATGTATAGTTGATTTCCTGGCTTTGCAATTGACTGTGCTCACCCCCTTAACCTACGAGTAAAGCTTCAGACATGCCTTATATAAAACAAATTTTTTAATAGCAAGTCAGATTTTAAAAATTTTTTCAATTTTCTTTTCCTTGAAGCAAGATTGTCTTAACTTTTACAAACTTAGCTGGTAGAACTGCATGCAGCTGCTAATGCACTCTTTGGTAAAATGGAACAGTGCACCTCTCTATCCCACAACATTAAAAAAAAGTGACAAATTTCTTGTACCCAGTGCAATTTACAATCATAAAGGGATCAATGAAATAAAGGGTACCAGTAACCTTGTACAGCAAGGACCTATTTGTTTGTTTTTGTTTTTTTTTGTGTGTGTATGTGTGTTTGTTTGGTTAAATTCATAAATTTCATTTATCCCTCTCATGTTGTTTTTTGGTGTTATGTTTGATTGACATCAATTTAATATCATTTTTGATAATTCATTTCCTTTAGACTGGTTGGACAATAGCAGTAGATGTGGTTATTGGGCCCAAAGATGGAATAAGTTACCGAGCTGAACGTGGATCACTTGTGAGTACCTGTGTATTTGAAACAGGAAGCTGCAATATGACTTGTTATTATTTGTTTAAATGTTTACCTTAATGAGTACTAATCTACAACCTGATAGTGTGGTTTTGGAAAAGTGCATTCACTTCTTTCAGGGAGTTCTCACTGCAATTTAAAGAATTTAGAGGTGGCCAATATTATTTTTATTGAATTAGGACAATAGATTTTTTTCGAGGTGGGCATTTCTCATGGGAATTATATGTGGTTTGTGAGTGAACAGATGTGTAGGAAAGTGAATGTATGTATAGCAAAACCAAGTGGTGTGTTTTCAGTAAGGATTTCAGTGATGTAATTATTTCCTGTGGGTTTACTATGGAAGCATTAAACTTGTGTCTGTGTTTGAATATATGGAACTGATGTAATTCTTTTGTGGTTGAATGCCTCTAAATACCTCTCGAAAACAATTTTCATAACTTAGCCCTTTTACTCCCAAGATTTTCTTGTTAATTCTCCCCTCCAGCTGCAACTCATTACAGGAATTTGGTGTTAGATCAAGATAACAACTTCTACCTGATAAGTTTGAGTATTCTCAGTGCCTGCTTGTTAAATAATGTATAGTAGGGAGAAGTTCTATGTTAATCAATCTTGGAAGTTAAAGGTTTCTGATACGTTCCACCATGAAATGTCGACATTATGCATGGTTGATATGATTTTTATTTACCAATAAATCAATCAATGAATGAGCAAACAATACCTTTCAGTAGTATTACTAAATGAAGTTGCTTTCATCTGTTTCACTGCAGATTACACACATGGCTGATTTCCATCAAATAACTTCAATTTCAATAACAAGAATACCACTCATCACATCATCTGTCCAGACTGATAAACAAAAAGCTACTGTTAGTTTGAAAGTGTTAGGAGCTGCTGAGGTTTGTTAGGCTTTATAAGCTGTGTTTGTATTTTGCAAATTTTTATACAGTCATGTATGTGGGTTTTCTTAATTTAAGCTGCAGTTACAGTAGATTCCTTGATGGGTTTAGAAGTTAGGATGGAAAATGTATGATGATGATTGGACATAGTAAAGTCCAATCTGGTTTTGAATACGTAATTACTGGCAAGCATTTTTTTATGGTTTTGTGGAGACAGGTTTTTGGTAGTCAAGTCCCTTTAAAGCTGACATGCTTATTTTTAACAGAGACATTTATCAGGGAAGTACTTGTTGCAAGATTATGTGCAGACAAGTTGTTCTTGTCAAGTGCCCTCAGCTAGATTTCTTGTCATTTCTAATAAATAGGGAAAAATTTTCTCAAAGAGTGCAATTGTCTAAAATGATCATGCCTGTGTAATGTTGGTTTTATTTAATCGATTTCCAAAGTCTGTAGTTGTAAACTATACAAGTAAGGAACTGATCCACCCAGGTGAGCTGCAATTAAAGAAATTTCAAAAAAGAAGCCTGGAAGAATACAGGCTCAGATGGGATTTGAAGTTGTGCCTTCCAGCTGCTTGCTTTTTTGTGCATTACCATATGATCTAAGATGGCACTTGTTGTGAATAAGGTAAATTAAATCATGTCGTTTGTTCCCTTAAAGGAATCTGTGAGGATCATTTAATACTTGTATAGTTTTCACAGGATAATATCATTTTTTTTATTTAATTGTGAGTTATAAATATCAATTGCAAGTTGTTTGGACCCACTGTACAGTGTGTAACTGTCTTTTTATCACCTTTTTGTTTGCAGCCTCTTGTGTTCACCACATTCTCATTAGCTAAGGCTGAAGAGATGGCCGACTTGATTGATGGATACTGCATGCTCTTTAGTGGAAACAAACATTCGCTGGTCTTTAAGAAACTAGGTAATGGTAATATTTCATAGCCACGTATACTATGATCCAACAATTTATATTCTGTACCTCACCCAAACACCTGCATACCATCTCCACTTGGAGTTGTCTATGCTATTGAGTGTGCAGTCTTGAAAACAAAAAATGGAGGAGAAGATCAAGTGCTAACAGTTGCTTATGTTCTTGCAGATATTGAGAGATCTCTGCCATCAATTCCAATACCAGCTTCTCCAAAAACTGAGGAAAAAAACAGGTAATCATAAGCTGAATAAAAATTTATCTTCAGAGGCTCGTCATAACTTCCTTCTCTCATAATGACTGAGGAAATGAAGAGACACAGTAATGTTGAAATCAGTGCACAAGGGACAGTGAGGAGGGTGGTGGATACATGTATTTTTGAAAAAATACAATACTTAATTTTAGTCATGTAGGAGGATCCTTAAATTGTTTTGCCAATTGTGGGACAATATCATCTCTCACTTGAATAAATGGTAATTTATGCATAGTACTTTTCTTTTTCAGCCCATCTATTTTCTCACCAACCCTGAAACAAAACACGCAGACTTTGGGAAATGATTTTGCTGAGAGGAAGAACTCTGTTACCTCGCCTGTGCAGAGAAAAAATGGAGGTATGTTTACATTTCACTGGAATTCCTCAAATTGATTTTTTCAGTTCCATTAGCACTCTATTAGCAGGGGAAGATTTTTTTTTTAACATTTACTCAAAGAATTGAATAAATGTGTTTGTAACTTCTCCTTCAATTTCATTATTGAGTTATCTGGTACAGGGAATGGACAGACTTATCAGTTAGTAGGTGTAGTCTCAGTGTAACAACAAATTCTCAAAAAAAAAAATTACTAAAAAACGAAGAGCACAAATTTAAGGTTAAAGGGTTAAAGAAGGGTGTACATGATCAGGAGGTGTAAAATTTCTGGTTTGCTAGTGGAAATAGACCCTGACTTCCATTCGTGTACTGTTTTCCTACAGGGTGTGCCTGCTTGTACAGTATAGTTTCCTTGCTTCCTTGTTTCATACTAAAATTGCAATAAACTTCATGTGAAAGGAAAGGAGAAGTTTTGACAGAAAAATACAACTGCCAGTTTTTCATATGCTGGGATTACTTTACTAAGACATGTAACGATATTGTCGATGTTTTCATTGTTGTAGAGTTTGATGATTATGCTGAGATTGTTGATGATGATCCTGATTATGCCCATCCTATGGCAGGTATGAATGGTGTTGACAGTGTTTGGCTCTTTATAGAATTTGTTACTTTTTTTCAGTCTGTGTCTAAACTCACATAGGAAATTTGTTTGGAAAAATAATGCACAGCAATTAAATTTTGATGACTGAAAATCTAGTCACAAGGAAATTAATATTGTGCATAGGTAGTATCACCTACTGCTGCTACTACTACTACTACTACTACTACTACTACTACTACTACTAAAACTTTATTTGTCACCATTAAATTTTTTTTCTCTATGATTATGTACAATTTGTTTATTAGACAGTGATTTAAAAATTGTTGGTAGACTAAGATTTAATTTTGTGTTGAATCAAATAAAATCACTTTTAAAAAGTAAGGATTTTTAGTAAAATTTTTAACTCCCTGGATGATGAAAGAGTGAGTACTTAACTGAATGATTTGTTACACCCTAAAACCTAAAACTTTCACTTTTGGTCTTCTATAAGAATTTATTGAACATGTAGCTTTGTAATGTATTTTTTATGTAGTACAATCTTCAGAATACTGCATGGCAAACTCAATTACTCTAACGTTTTTAAAACCTTCTAAACAGTTATTGGTTTGAAAGAAAATTGTGATTAGAATTGTCAGGGAGAGTGTAAAGTAATGCAAAATATTCATTCATAACACTGTACCCTTCATGAGCCAAATTGGTAAATTTAAAAGTCTTATTGTAAATCACAACTTCACCTCCTGTCAAGCTCTAGATTTTGTCAATTCTTAAATAAAAACAGAACAAGCAAAGTTCTTATTCTAATTGACTCTCTTTTGTAGAAGAGATTGTATAATAACTTAATGAGCTAATTCTTTGAACTAGTGAAATACTTTAAGACTAGATAACCTTTAAAAGATAATGCATCCGTGTTTGAAATGACTCCAATACACAGTACTGGCTGCTGCACGTGTAGCGGTTGCAATGTCCAGCCGAAGTTCTCTGGTTATTAATAGGAGACCAGGTAAAATAACAAAAACATAATTTATTTTTGACATAATTTTTGATAAATGTTACAGTGTATTTTAAATTGTCTTTGATAACTGTGATGGCTGACGAATGACTGTGGAATGACTGAGTGGATTTCAGTAACAATTTTAATGCTGCCAAAAGTATTGTAAAGAGAAATTACTTTCCTTTTAATTTGTATTTTAAAGATCAATGTTGTATTTGTTTTGGATAATACATGTACCCTGGAGGTATTTTCTGTTAAAAAATTTATACCAAGACTTAAAGATTTCATATATTTTAAACTCCAAAAGAAAGAATAATCATTCTGAACTTTCTTTTTCATGATGTATCACAGTAAATGGTTTGAACCTAGGACTAACATGTAATCGTGTAGTCTGATCGGCTGGTTGTGGGAAGTCCTCAGAAAGACATGTGACTCTGATGATGACACCCACTTAGGATGTCAAAATGTCAGTCACTACTACTGACCACAGTCCTTCTCAGGACAACCCTCACCTGGACAGTCAGGCTAAACTTTCTCATTAGGTATCGTCTCTAAACAGTTAACCCTTTAAACCCTGGGAGTGACCAGCATCTAATTTCTCCTTACAGTAATAGGGCAGAATCATTCATTAAGGCCATGAGAATAAAGGAAATGATCGCCACTCAAAGAAGTTTTGATTGTTACACAAATTCTCCTTGTCAGTACTAAAGTAAACGTATAGAGAAGAGAATGGAGAATATGGATACTGATGTTAGGGTGTAAAGGGTTAATTCTGGCCATGTAATTGGTCTTACTAATGGCATAGGAAAAACCCGACCCCGCACACAAGGCCTTTCTTTCTTTGATCAAGAGAGTGAAATAACATGGCTCTTACCTTTAAAAGGTTTGAGACAGTGTAGCTTCAGAGACTAAGATGGGTCAAAACATTTTCAGCATCATTGAATAAAATTATTCTTTGTAATCCCTAGCCAAAGATTATCAAATTCCCCGGACAAAGTTGATTTTGGAGACGATAATAGGACAGGGTCAGTTTGGAGATGTACACAGAGGAACCTTCATCAGTCCAGTGAGTGATGCGCTCTCTAAGAACTTGACAGATAACCGACGTTTGGATTGATTTCAGATTTACAGATTACAAAAGAGTGCTTTACTTTTATTATCATTGTACCATGGCCACTGCTGAATTATACCTAATGTTTTGTTTCCACCAGGATGATCCTAATTTACAAGTGGCTATTAAATCATGTAAGAATCCGGATTCAAGGGAGAAATTCCTGGAAGAGGCATGTGAGTATCAACTGTGTCAGTCTGAACAAAAGGGAAGTTCGAAAAATGTAAACAGTAACCTTTTGAAGTTGTTTTCATTAACCGATAATTGATCTTTAGTGTGGAATAAATAAGACCTGAAACACGAGTGTTTGACTCTTTTTTCTTCTTGACAAGGTTGACAAGGGCGTAGTTAGGGGGAAGGGTCCTGGGGTGCCAATAGCCTCCCCTCCCTTGTGAGCCTTTTTTTGTCACATTAAGTAAAACACAGCGTGAAGGTCAACATGACAATCTGTTGAGTAACCTGTATTTGACACTGTGTGAACGCCCTGACTACTCCCCTGGTTGATGGTAACTAAACTCAATGAATTTGGTTATTTACATTTTAAAGTTTTTGATTGTAATTTCTTTCTCAGATACAATGAAGCAGTTTGATCACCCGCACATCATAAAGCTCATTGGCGTGTGTACGGATGAAGAATTTTACATTGTAATGGAACTGGCTGCATATGGAGAGGTAACAGTGCTTCTTTCCTTCACCTATGTCATTACACCGGCATGTGATATAAACCCTAAAGAAACGTGCCCCTCGACAGTCAATCGACCGTTGACTTTTAGTCGGTCGACTTTTGTCCGACAGTGAACCCTACAGATAGCCCAGCGAACAATTGACAGGCAGTTGGTCAAAAGGCAACCAACAGTTGTCTGACAGCTGTCCTACAGTTGACTGTTACTAGGCAGTTGATAGACAGTTGATGGATTGTCAGTCGACATTCAAACGACAGTGATTCGGCAGTTGATCGGCTGTCGGTCAAGTGTCGCCCAATGGTTGCCTGACGCCTTGGCCTATTTGTTGGTTAGACAAAAGTCGTTACCATCCCTCTGCCGTTTGTTACTATAGAGGGGATAGCATCTTTGTACTGTATGTAAAAAAAGTGGTGTCACTGAACGTCACGGGCGCGTTTCTGTCTCTGCGTGAAGTGACTACTCCTCATGAACGATATACTACTTCTATCAAAGATCAAACAATATCTTTATAGTTTCTCTCTCCTTCCCCGGGAATTCTTATGTCTATAACGTTATCGTTTACTCAACCTTCAACCCAAAGAATTTTCCTCTGACAAGATTTCCCATGATAGATTTTTGTCAACCAGAAATGTTTTAGCGCTGCATCATGTGATATTTCAATTTAGGTACTGCATTTTGTTGCTAAAAGATGTCAAGACTTGATTGGTTAAGATGTCTCTTGGACTGTTATAGTAATAGATTTGTTTTGTTTGCTTTTAGATGAGATCGTATCTTCAGAAGAGCAGACACTCCATTAACCTAGAAACACTACTTAGTTACATTTTTCAACTTAGTACGGCCATGTCATACCTTGAGAGCAAGAATTTTGTACACAGGTTAGCGTTTGCTTCATGAAATTTACTCACGCAACGGTTTCGGCGTTGCTGATCGTAGCAATGCGCAGGCGCGTCACATATGAACCGGGTACTAAAAGGGGCAAGTTTGTAAAGAAACTGTGGTGCTGCATCGATGGGAGAGTATAACAGCGTGATTTAGCATCATCAACTGAGTTGATAACGTAAATTGGCCACCGTAAAGAATTTAAAATCTGACGTTTCGAGCGTTAGCCCTTCGCCATTCGCTTAGACGAAGGGCTAACGCTCGAAACGTCAGCTTTGACACTCTTTACGGTGGCCAATTAAAGTTATCACAGTTGATGATACTAAAGTACCCTGTTGAATCGGGTGATAGCCGAGCTAGCCAAGTGAGTGGTGGGGCATCGGTGTTGTGCATTGGCAAATAACGTGACTTAATCAAATGCGTTGCCACTATTTTCCTGAAACCTTGGTGGCGGCTATAAACAAAGTACAATTTTAGTAATGTTATTAGGGACCGATTCTGGTAATAAAAGAACGCTACAGAACTTTTCACTCAGTTCAGAAAATTAAGAGGTTTTGATAGTTCATGCTTCAAATTAGAAATCATATTTTACAGTACTCGTAAGAGATGAGTGGCAGCATTGTTTAAAGTAACCGTAGGTAAGTTTTCAACATTTTTGTTGCTTAGAATTTCTCCTTCTTATCCGATTCTTTTTTTTTTTTTATCAGGGACATAGCAGCTCGTAATGTCTTGGTATGTACGCCTAAATGCGTCAAACTAGCAGACTTTGGTCTGTCAAGATGGGTCGATGAACAGGCTTACTACAAAGGTAAGGATAAAAATGCAGTGAACCAAAATATACCAAATTTATCGGCTTCAAGACGAAGAAAGAGAAGGACATCAGATTTCTTATAGCTTGCTTCTTTTTTTATCCTGGGATACGTTTGATGCGAGTGTAAGATTCACCTCGCTTTACATATTCTTTGTTACAGCTTCAAAGGGTAAACTGCCAATCAAGTGGATGGCTCCAGAATCAATTAATTTCAGGAGGTTTACAACCGCTAGCGACATCTGGATGTTTGGTGAGTGAATTTCATTGTCTAATGGTATAGGTGGCGGGAACGGGGAAAGCTTCGGTTTACTACAGTTGTTGTTAGTTGTTTGCGCTTGGAACAACAAACCGAAATGGAGAAAATCCTGCTTAAAGTTGGTTTCAGTGATTGACATGAGTATGACTCGTGTCATGTGAATTTTTTTGCGCGAGAAGCACTTAAAAAAACTCTTGCTGCGAAGATCGTGAAGTCACGCATTCAGCAAGCTCAGGTGACATCTCCAAGCGGTACTGCTAGCAATGCATGCTTTGAAATAGCTAATTACGGCATGCAGCGTGCGTGAGGTCATAAATCGCGAAAACTCTAACTGTGAAATTGTCTTTCAGGTGTGTGTATGTGGGAAATCCTCATGTACGGTATCAAACCCTTCCAAGGTGTTAAAAATAATGAGGTGATTGGCAAAATAGAGAATGGAGAGCGACTTCCCCTCCCTCCTAACTGCCCACCCTCTCTGTACCACATTATGTTTGAATGCTGGTCTTATGAGCCCTCTAAGAGACCGGTCTTTCAGGATCTCAAGACGCGTCTAAGGTAAGTCACTTTACATCTTATAGTGTGAGTTAAAATTTATTTTTAAAGTAATCCGCGATGGCTTTGGTTTTGCTTTACTTCGCTGTGTGATTGGTCCAGAAAACTCGCGCCACTATCCCAACCAATAAGATTTAAAACTAAAACCGATTGCCACTTGGTCGCTTGCGTTTTCCCGCGCTACAAGCAGTTAATCCATCTTTGTTACGTGTCTAGTGTAATCGTCCAAGAAGAAAGATTTCAGGCAGATGAAAAAGTCAGAAGGGAAACTCGAAGAATACAGGCGCTGTCGATGGGTGAGTGAATATGTCTCTTCTCAGTCATATTCATTAACACAAACTGCTTTCCATCTATTGAAAGTTTTGTTGCGGTTATAGAAATAGAAAATGCCACCATGTTCAGTTTAAAATGCATACCCTTTTTCACACTCGAGCATCAGTAAGCATATTCTCCAAACTGTCATATTTACAATTCCTATGGTTCTGATAAGGAGAATTTGTGCAACAGTCAAGAGCTTCTTTAGGAGGAGATCATTCCTTTATTCTCATAACCTTCATGTTTGATTCCAAAGTAATAATGTAGTGAGAAATTAGGTTCTTGTCTCCCTTGGATGACGATGGGTTTATCTGAGACTTTTGGAAAGTCTCAATGGCGGCTTTCCTTACCAATATGTCTTAATTCGCAGCTCAATTTTTACCAGAAGTTAGCGAGTACTGCCTGTAACTGTGCACGGGCGATTTCCATCCAATATTGTTCTTGTTACTTTTTCTTGTGTCTGTCTAACAGGAGCCATACAAGACTCTGTCGCCCCACCCAAGGTACAGATGTTTTATTCAACTTACATTACTCAGTTCCTGAGAATCCATTTTGTGCTAAATAGTCTTAAACGATATACACCTAATTTCTATAACATTGTCAATGAAAAGTACGAAAAGAAAAAACCAAATACAGAATAATTACCGTACGTGTTTCCTTCTGAGGAACGTACCAGTTATAAAAACATATGCCATAAAATTTCTGTTATGTTGATTTTAAAGTCTTGGTTTCTTGTATAATTTTACACATAGGTCATTGTCAAAAAAGAACGATGTAAAGATAATGGATGGGATTAGGAGTATGTCTGAAATAATATGCAGTGGTTTTGAAATCGTTTTATTTTAATCTTAACCCCTCTATCAGGGGTTGCTGGCGGTCTTCCGCCGCCCACAAAACCTCTTACTGCCGTCTGTTGAGCCCGCGAGCAGGCTCTCCTTTCGCCGTATAGCCCTTTTCTGGACACACCCGTTTATTACACTTTCGGCGGCTGCTTATGGAAAAAGTTAGCGAGACCCCTGCCTCTATCTCCCTTGCTTAGTGATTATCCCTTGAAAGAGGAACATTGCAATATCAGAACCCTTAAGCTGATATTATACTTGGTCCAAAAGGACGTCGTGAACGTTTTTTTCTCCTTGTACCTTGAAATTGGACGTCAAATTTTTAGGCAAAATTTAGAGAAGTCGCTAAAGAATTGTCAAAGAACATGGACAACATTCCCATGATCTGTTGTTTTATTCAGAATTAAAATTCTACAGCCCCCGCATGGAGAATATTCCTACTAGCTTTTTGTATGCGTTTTTGTTGGGTAACTTCAGATCATTCATTCTTATGACCAAGCCTATGTTTTAAAGAACAATAAGAAAAGATGAGAGACTACAGTGCAATTCATTCGTTTTAGAAAGGCAATAAAAAGAAGGTGGTATTACTTGTTTCCAGTGTGCAGACACTGTTGTTCCAAAGTAGCGAGGGCATTCGCTTTTGTGTTTGAAATACATTGCATAATGGAAGCTTTATAGCTAAAACTTTGCGACTTTGTTGGATTATGTTTAGCCCTCAAGACCTGGGATCCAGCCATCTTTTGTACAAATCCCTACTGGTGCGGCTCAATCCTCGGCAATGTCAACATTTGACAGCAGTAGAGGAGTAACAAGTCCGAGAGGTAGGTTGGGTCCGAGTGTGTTTCAACCAGTGATTCTTTACACCCTTCACAATTATCTTGCTTATTTGATTTCTTATCACGCCCTGCTGAGGGCGTTTTATCCTTGAATTACGAATGAAACGTTTAAAGATAGCATATCAATAAGAGGCAAAAGCTGTGGGAATTGATTTTTAAAGGAGGTGACTATTTTTAAAGTAAAAGTCTCCTTTCAGATTAGTATCGATATTTGACTAAATACCTTCATTCTGTAATCCTTTAAGGGTCAACTCTGCCAGCTCAGTACCCTGGGAATCCAGGATCACCCAGATCTCCTCGTTCACCACAGTCTCCATCGTCCCCTTCCCGGACGCTCCCAAGGAACTTCAAGTCGTACCACGAGGCCAGCGGTGTCCACGCATTGCTGGAGCAGCCATATCGGAATTCTATTGGTGGGAGTCAAACCTTACCGAAAAATTATAAAGCGACCAGTCCAGTAACGAGTCCTCTTGGGAGTCCAACGAAATCCAGAGATGCCGTTATTGATTTACCGGTAGGAGAAGCTGAAGCTTGATTGAAGGGTTTTCGTGTAAAGTGCAAGTTTAGAGAAGAAATCTTAAAAATTTACATATTGGGAAGCTTTCATATTGAAAGTCTTCAAGAAGTCTTTTCAAGAAAAATTGGTTCGTACCGTGTGTACTCTTGCGCGGAGCCAACTCCACTTGTTTGATATTTCTTTGATTTGCGCGTCATTTACTTTTGTCGCTCTCTCCAAGCTTAATCCCTCGCGTAAGTCAAGCAGGAAAAAATTAATTGGTATCACGCGAACTCTCGCGCGGAGCCACCTTCGTTGCTACTTTATGTTTGAATTTGGTAGTACCTAGTTTTCCTTTATTCCTCTTTCACGCTTGCGCACTGTCTCTTTAAGAAGGATATCACTTGCTTATAGCCGTTCACGTCTGACATGCTAAAATCTAAGTATTTAGGACAATCACTCATTTGTTTCGCACAGAGTGACGAGGAACTGAAACGACGAGAAGATGCTGAAAGAGCCCACATGGAAATGAGAGAGCGGGCCATGTTTCGACAAAGACTTCGTCAGCAACGCCTTGAATCAGAGGCAGATTCCAAATGGCTTCAACAAGAAGAGCAGAACATTGAGCTCCCCTTTTCACCGGTTCGTGTTATGGCTTTAACTCGCGCAATCACCAAGATATATCTTCTAATGAAGTAGTTTTTAGTTGTCTGTCGAGAAAAACGAACTAAATAATTCACAATAGCAAATTGTAACAAAATAAACACCATCATCAGCCAATCAGAACTTTGACACGAGGTGGCCGGGATGGCAATTCTGGTTGGAATTGTCTGATTCAAGTGTTCGATGTATACCCTTTGTCTAAACAACTAGCAGGACTACCACGCCAATTTTACTTTTAATTATTGTAGAAGATTTTCAGCGGTGGTGTTTTGTTCATGCAGCCTCGTTTTTCCCTTCAGGTTCAGCAATCACCCAAGAGTCCTAACTTCCTCTCCCCTGAGGACGGAGTTTCGGCGGCGGTAGAATCATACAACCCGCGTGGATCAGCGTCATTCATCGAACAGCGCCAAGCAGCTAAGGAATGTAAGTTTGGCGTAGTAACTCTCTCCTTTGCTTTACAAGGTATCATTCAGTTTAAACTTGGGAAAGGAGAAGAATAATCTGAATGTCAAGTAGAATATCTGTTGTTCCGTTTACTTTGAGGTACAAAGGGAAGATTTATATATCAGGCTACTGTTATGATGGGTAATTTAGTGTTAACAACTGGGTTGAAAACGTAAATTAGCCACCGTAAAGGGTAAAAAAGCTGACGTTTCGAGCGTTAGCCCTTCGTCAGAGCGATTAGACGAAGGGCTAACGCTCGAAACGTCAGCTTTTTTACCCTTTACGGTGGCTAATTTACGTTTTCAACCCAGTTGTTAACACTAAATTACCTGCTATACTCTCCCACCGACGCAGCACCACAGTTTCTTTAGAAACTTACCCCTTTACTGTTATAATGCCCCGGGGTTGAGATGAGAGGAGGGATGAGGGGGGAATATGAGTGGAGCTCCTCAGGTGTTCCGCTGAGAATAGGTTCTTCCCTTTTCGGGCTAGACTTTAGAAAAGGATAGGATTTCACATGTTGAGGTATATGAATGCTGTCATTAGGTGTTTGACAAGGTCTAGTGGCTGAGCGATTTAATAAGTAAGCTGCGGGAGTAACAGAGAAATATTAGTGCAATTTCGCTCTCTTATTCACCAAGATTATGGCTGCTTTTGCCTCTGCTTTGTCACCACAATGTGAAGCAGAGGTTAAGAAACAGGTACATCTTTTCATTCTAGAAAGGCAGGGAAAAGTAAAAGACGAAGGGGTTTTCGGTCTCTAGTGGTCTTAACGTGAGTTAGTGTTTGGACCTCGCCACGGATAGTCCTCTTGCACAGCTTTTTTTTTAAATACCTTCTTCTTCCCTCTCATATCACAGCCTTTCGTGTACACTTCATAATAGATTTTGTCTCCTCAGATCACAGTACCCCGGTGGATCCACCGAGCCATCAGGCTGCTACAATAGCCGATACAGATATGAATGAAACAGTAAGTATTAGCCAGCAGTGCAAGAGTCTTGTTAGGGAGAGCTAACGTTTTCTTTGTTAATCTTCTACGATGAGAAAAAGTTAGAGTTTGACAATTAGTTTCCTCATCTCATGTACATTCATCTATATTAGCAATTTTTCATTTTCATAATAATTTACCGAAGTAAGTGAAAATCGTGAAATTTGGACTCAATCGTGGACTTGTGGAGATTACTGTAGCCTGCTTAGGTGGTCTGGGACGGAAGATTCTTTTTCCTCGGCGGCATTGCCTCCATGCTCATCACTTAGCGCACAAAATTGTAAAGCGCAAAAAAAATTGTAAAGCGCACTTGAAACTGCTACCTATGCTGGCTAAGATTTTCACTACTGATCGTTTCGTTTTCATTTTGTCATAGACTGTATTGACGCAGAGAGAAGAAGATCCCAGAGAAGACCGCTCCACAGACACTGTGTTCATTAACACCACTCATGTGGTGCAGGCTGTTATTGGTCTCAACAATGGCTTACCATTTGCCCGGTGTGAAGATTACCCTACCTTTGTTAAGGTATAGAACACCTTGTTTTAAATTTTCACATGTTGTATACGCTCGTTGCGTTTCACGGCGAAGGGAAGACACCACACCCCCTCCTAGCGGGATGTGAGAAGGTGAAAGTGAATTAGGTCTCGCTCCAATCTTTCGAGACTTCATACGCCACTTAAGGTTATGCCGCTTGAATAAATCTAAAGAAAGGCCATACAGTGAAAGAGCCTAATCTCCCTGTCTATTGCAGCCATGGAATTATTTGTTGCTCGAGCATCTTTGTTATTGCGCGTAATTTTTATCTTGTTCCATTATTTCCGCACAATACCAAGAGCTGACATGGCCTCTCTTTCCCGCAGGCAATCGGTCTTTCGCTCAGAGATTTACTAGCACGCGTTGACGAAGAAATTCACAGATTAGATCCGTCATCCCACAAGGAAGTAAGTATGAACTTGAGAGAAAGATTTTTTCATTTTGTCACGAGCGTGGGACAAAGAAAAAATTCCAAGTCCCCATGAGGAATCGAACCTCAGACCTTTGTTCTACCACTGTGCCACAGAGACTCTACGGTGAGTGAGGTCTGTTACGAAGTTTATATGACACGCGTCCTGCATACTGCTAGGATCAGCAATGTCAATAACATGACGTTATCGTCATGGAGAAAAGGGGAAATTAGCTAACGAGCACACCACGCTCGGCGAAAGACACCAAGACTCTCGAACTTTTTTTTTCGGCGTTATTTACTAACTGGGTTCTCCAATTCTACTTACTTCCAGTTTTACCTCACTCTGTGTAATTCTGGTTAATCTCTTAGGCTGTCACACTTTGATTCTCTCTGACTTGTGCTGCTAAGAAATCACTTCAACTACGGAATTCTGTCTATGCAACTCTGCACACTGTCTACATTCTTCCCACTCTCTCCTAAGTAAGCTCTAAAGAACATGCTTATATAGCCAGCTGGCTGACCTTTCACGAGATTTTCGAAATGAACAACAAAGTTCTTAATCATGAGGCTTCCGATGAATTGAATCAACCTCTGACTGCGTTATCCATAACAAGAACTTTCGAGTGTGTCCAAAACAAGGTCAGCGGCAGACAACCTAAACACGTCCACCTATAGAGGTTAGACAAAGCTGTCACAATTCGGAAGCTCGTCACGACAGCTCCAACCCAAATAACTTCGGAATTCAAATTCACACATTACATACATTTTAGGTATAAACGAAATATTAGACCATACTAAACTAACTAATTAACTAATTATAAACTAACCGAATACTTCATATCGCTGTTAAGAAAATCAGGATAAATGACCCTTTGGAAGAACAGTCAGCGATGTTAGTATTAGTCAGTTTGACTTTGATTAAGCGTTCCAGATTCGGTCCAGGATTTGAGCCTTTGTAGGGGTCATTGATGCGCGCTGTTGGGAACGACCGCGTCTCTTGCCATACAAAGAGTGCTTTTGAGTTGTAATTGACCAGTGAGGGGTGGAGTGGGGGAGTGTAATTGACCTGTGTGGGGTGGAGTGGCGAAGTGGTATTGACCTGTGTGGGGTGGATTAGGGGAGGGTAGCTCGGAATGGACTAGCATCCTACATAGAGGGGACGTTCGATTTGGCTCCTTCATGTCCAGAGGACAGGATCTGATGTCAGGTCGAGTCTAACCATTTGTGCGCGTTTTAATTTTTTTCCCTTCCTGTTCTATTTTAGGTGGAAATGGCCCACAAAGTGCTCTCCTCTGACATGGCTGAGCTGATCAACTCCATGAAAATGGCGCAGAAGTACAGCACTACTACACTGGACCAGGAATACCGCAGAGGGATGTTGTCTGCTGCGCATGTGTTGGCTGTTGACGCCAAGCATCTGTTTGATGTTGTGGATGAAGCCAGGAAGCAGTCTGCAAAGTTGTCATCCAGCGCCTAATTACACTTAGGCGTGAATTACGTTCACGAAACTTGGGCACAACGTGGATATTTTATTCGGAATATCTCGGTACGTGTCAGAGGAACTTAATAAATCGAAGGATGAAAAAGAACGCCTTCTAAGGAGCAGATAACCTCGTCTTTTACTTAGCTACATGGAGTAAAATATACTGCGCTGCAGCTTTAAAGAAAGGATCGTTTCATGAGAAGATTTAAGGATCTTCAATTGACTCTGCGATAACATGGCGGATTGAAAAACCCTGTGAGATGCTTTTGTTGACTTTTTTTCATGTGCTGTGAAAGAGCATGTTTGGCAAATGACTTGTGGAGTGACACGTTGATTTGAGTGTCATGCTCAACAATTTGATAATTCAGCTGTTGTGTTCGACCAATAGTTGTTGTTCTTGGTTTGTGAGCTGCCTGTGTTCATGGATATCTTCTTTCTTGGCCGCTTTGTGGACTTATGCCAGGGAAGTCGAACACCCACCTGCCTTTCAATTACCAAATTTTTATACTTTTTAGAAACGATGAAAGAAATTTGTAATGCTGCGAAGCTGCGCACTTTGGCCGACTATTTGAACTAAGGGCTATATATTTTGGACCATCGACTTGAGATTTTTTTAGAATTACTTAAAGTTTACTCTATTAAGGGACTTCTGAATTTCTTCTCTTCTACAGCTTTTGCCTGTAAGGGTATTTTCTTGTGGTATGAAATTTCTAAAAAAGTATCGTGTTAATCTTGAAGCTTAATTAGATTGTTTTAATTTTAATCCCGATTAAAAAAAATGAATACGCAATAATTGCATGCCGTTTGAAATGATACAAAGTTCGAAGCTATTTTTTATATGAACTTTTAAAAGGAGTTAGTTGATGTGGATAGTTAATTGCTGTACATATAAAATTAAATTGGTTTAGGTTACTTTGTGTACATTTCAGCTTTGTATCGCATGTTACGATCGCGAAATTTTAAACGCGCTGCAACGAGTGATGAACACGCGCGAAAATTTCGCATATGGCGAAGTTTGGTTTTGATTGATATTTCAAAGCTAATGAGTTTGAATTCTGTAGTTTTAGTTATTACACAATTGAACAGTTTTTACGTATTTTCACTCGGCTGGTGTACTCCGCAAGAGCCACCGGATGTTGTAATGAGGCCATTTTGTTCGTTTTAGTTTACTTTACGTCTATAGTCGGTAGTATTTCTAACAGAAATAAAATGCAATAGAACTATAGTTTTGGCTCTGGAAGAGCTTGGGTGTTATTATTTGCGGGGAATGAGTGTGGGAAATCATTTGAACGTGCGTGTTATTCGCGAGTTATTTTTGAAATTTCTCCAATTCGCTCCAGCCGAAGGCGGATACTGTTAGAGAAGTTTCAAACCATCGTGAATGATTTTTAATAATATTTGTTATATGTATCATTTATCTTATTCTTTTTCTGTAGCAACCTTAGTTTCGAACCCAATGAAAAATGTATCTCTATGACCTCTATTGCATTCAAACTTTTCATTCATCTGTTACTGGCCAATAAGAAACAAATTTCTTGTTTGCTTAAATGAAGGTACAGTCGCATTAGACTTCCACTCCTCTCTTGGATAACAGTTTTAAAAAGCTTCTATGGACTCGCGTATTGAACCTTTCAAGATAGGGATTATGACAATTGTTTGCAATACGGTCAGTAATGTTGGGCTCCAAATAAACCTTCGTCCCAGACGATGGTTCTTGAGGCTCAAAATATATTCATCTTGAACAAATTGGGACAACAGAGGATCCACAATCCTTTAATACAGTTAGAAGATGATACTGAATGAAACACTCGGCAAGATTTCGCGTTGTTAGATTGACTTTAATATGTATCCGGGGCTCCGCCATCGCACGTCCACGAGCTTTCCTTAAGGACCATAGTGCAGGGCAGAGGTAAGGGACAAGAAGGCGAAAGACCACCCCTGAAGTGAAGAGTAAATCCCGGCCTCTCCTTCGTGGGAAAGCAGGGGAAAGCTGGTTAAAAGGAGGGCTGTAGTACCTCAGAAGTTACCTTAACTAAGAAACTGGAGCTAATAGGACAGACAACGCCCTTGAGCATGAATACGTTAGCAGTTGTCTAAAAGGGAGGAGACCCCTCCAACCACCCCCTCCCCTTCCCCTCAAACCGCTTTCCCTAAGTACAGAGATCAGGGAAAGTTGCCAATCACTTCCTCCTTTAATCAGTCCAAGAAGGCATCGCTTTTAACTGATACAATTTTCGGGAGGCAAATACTTGGATGCCGAGACATAGAGAACGCCCAGGAGATGACTGGAAATCTTGTATACCTTCAGGTACTTACGAAGCAGATTGATGATGGGTTAGTGATTTATTCTTTGAAAAAATCTATTTTTCTGAGTTTTCAGGTTTTTCACATTCTCTTTGCATGTCTTACTACATCGGAGCATTCTTTCATCCCGAGAGAGATTTAAAGATAATGAAATCAGTAAATTGAAAAGTGTTTCAAGGATATTGATTTGAAAGGAAGCTAGAGCATGGTTAGCGTCAGAGCTAACCTCTCTTGATCAATAAATGCTGATGGTATCAAAACTTTTATTGCTAAATCATCATATTTTGCTAACACTCTCGGTAGACGCGCATTTTGCGTGTAGCGTGACGCGCAGATTTGCCTTGTCGAAAAAGACTGGACACAAGCTAAAAATAAATCAACATGGTGGCGTCTTCTTCTTATGGAGAATTTGAGGTGCTGCTGAGGTTCTCTGCTTTTTTTGAGACCAAACTGACAACGAATACGACACTTACCTTTGGTAACATGTACGCTGTCGTTTGGTGTTGTTTGGTTGAAAAAAATAGACGACAGCCGAGCGGCGTCAAAATACTGAAATGGAGACCATGTCTAACATTCAGATTAACTGAAGGTAAGGAAAAGAACTGATGTTGCCTCAATTTATTTCTGCCCCGTGATGTATTATTAGGAATTTAGCATGTAATAAGATAAGATTCGCCTGATACTTCAAGTGTTCATCTATTGCCTGTTTTAGTTCCTTCTGGTCAAGCTATGATCATGAATTATTAATTTTTTCTTCACCCAGGATGGTCATCATTGTTTCTTTATGAATTTTTTTTTCATCCTTAAAACCCAATAAACTAGCTTCTTACTTCATAAATTATTATACGGAGTAAAATTTTCTTTTAAATCTATAAGTTTTGTCTTTTATTTATAGACTGGTACATGGTCTGTGGACTGGAAGCCTCAGTCAAGGGTCTGTTTACTAGTCTTTGTGGGTAACATATGGACAAGCCTTGGTATTTGGCCTCTGGAGAACCCATGGAAGGTGGCCTGTGGAAAATGACTAGTAGGTAGCCTTTGAATAAGCCATGGTATGCATTCTTTGGACAAGCTCTATTGGTATGTGGTCTTTGGACAAACCCTATTGGTATGTGGTCTTTGGACAAGCCCTGTTGGTATGTGGTCTTTGGACAAGCCATGGGAGGTAGCCTGTGGACAAGCCATGGTGTGTGGTCTTTGGACAAGCCATTGTACTGGTAGCCTGTGGACAAGCTGTAGTATTCAGTCTTTGGACAAGCTGTGGTATGCATTCTTTGGACAAATTGTGGTATATGGTCCTTGGAAAAGCCATGGAATGTGGTCTGTGAATAAGCTGTGGTACATGGCCTGTATACCTGCTGTGTTACTTGTATTTGGTCTGGAAACAAACCTTGCTACACCTGCTGGATGGGATGTTAGTTCTTTGCAGGTAACCACCCTAGCAATATTATTTATTAGTATATACTAAATCAGCGGATAGTGTTGAAGGTGTGCTCTATTTGGCTATTTAAACTCTGAATATCATTTGCTATACACCTCCAGGCAACTCATGCAGGATTTATGCTTGAATAGATTGTAATCGTTGCAGGAATAAATGAGTTTAAGTCATCTTTTGTACTATATTACCTCACTGTGTTAAGTATATACTAAAACAACTATTCACCTCAGTGGTGGCTAAATTGGAGGATACATACCTTGTCACTTCATCACTCAGTAAATATCCACCACTAGCCATGCCATTTGGGTGAATAGTTGTTAAGTATCAAGTTTCCTTTAACAGACAGTTTGCTTGTGTCAGTTATACTCTGAGATGGAGAGAGGCAGTGTGTGACTGAACTGCCTCTGTAGAGAAAATAAAACAGTGACCCTGGTCAACAACCAACCCTGGTTGGGTTTTCATTTTCTTGAGCCTTAAACAGGGTAGCAGCCTCATTAGAAAGAGCCTTTTCTGGGTTGGAAATCTTAAGTGTGTTATGAGAGTAGCAGTGAACAGTCTGTGCAGCTTGTGATGATAACAACTTTTTAAACTTTTACTCTATATGTCCTTTTTGAATCAGTGTTCTCCCTCATTAAGGCACAACATGTAAAAGAAATTTTCAAACCAGTACAGCAATCCTTTTACCTGTTGAAATTTCAAGATCAAGGGATTTTAGTTGGTATTAAGTGGTACTATAAGTGGTAAATTTTTCTGTTTGCTGCCTGAAAAGGAAAACATCACTGAATATCATAGGGGTGGCTCACTAAGGTTGTTCCACAACTTACATTTTTCCCAAAAAGGATTGCAAAAATACTAAATGAAAAAATACTGGAGTTGCCTGATGTTAATCCTTTGGACTCCAGATCAAAATATTCAGTTTCAATCCCTGGATTGTGTGCTATGAAACTTTCTCCTTTCAGAGCATTGTGATCTATTTTCCTCCATCTTGAGAGTAGTAATACTTTCAGTTGATGTCAGCTTCAAAAACTGAATTGAGTCCTAGAGGAGTAGGCCTCTTGGCTTGTTTTGGTTTTGTTTTGTTTTGTTTTTATGACAAAAAAATAACAAGACTAATTAATGTCTTCAGTTTATGGAATGAATTTTTGTATAAAAATTTTTTAAATTTCATTTTTCTAATATATTTTTTTATTGACACTGTAGAATACAGAAGTGATCAAATCAGACCAGTCTAGGAAGAGAAACCCTGACAATGGACTAAAGGGAAAAGAGTACAGGAAGATTCAACATTTATTTTTGTGGTATTTTAGTCTCTTTTAAATATCTAATTGGCCCAGCCCAGGAGGCCTTTGAATGTGAGGTACAGCTGGCATGGGGTTTTCCTCCTAGGTGCAAGTGGACGTACAAGGAGGTTTTTCACCCAGCTGTTGTTCCACAACCTCCATTCAATACTTGTTAAATTAATAAGCCACTCTATGGCTTTTTTCATGTAGACAATGGTTATGTGTGTGTGCCACAATTATTCAAACAAGTGTTGCCTGGACAATTGAGTCTTTGATTTTTGGTCTAAGGTTTCCTGGGTCTTGATTTTTCAGGGGTAGTTGGGTTTTTTTTGGAAGTTTAGGTTTCAGGTTTGTAGGTTTTGTAAGATCTTAAGCTTTTTTGGGTCTCGAGTATTGTCTGGGTCATTGGTATTTTTGTGGTAAGGGTATTTTGAGTCAATCATTGGTTTTTGGGGATTTAAGATGTAAATTTTGTAGGTTTTTTTGGATCCTTGGATTTTGAGTCTTAGACTTTTTTGAGTGTAAAGTCTCTTTAGGTTTTAGGCATTTTTAGGCTATGGATTTTCTAAGTTTAGGTGTTTTGGGGTCTAAGGTGTTTGGGACATAGCTATTAATGGGTTTGGGTTTTGGATCTCAAAGTTCTTGTAACAAGGTTTTTTGGGTCTAAGGGTTTTTGAGCCAAAAGTT